CCATCTGAAACAGAAAGAGAGAAATATGAGACACAACATCAAGGTTTAGGTTTCAGAGGGAAGGCAGAGTGGAACTTATTCGTAAGGCGGGGAGCGTTGACATGTTCCCGCAAGACCCATTCCGGATGGATGGCCTTAGAGGCCCACTGTACCAAGTAATATAACTTTCCCCGTGCCCTTTTAGAGTCCAGAATGTCCTTGATTTCAAAATGAGTGTGGGCCCCCACCATGATGGGGACCGGTTGGGAATCCGTCTCCGACCATTTAGGAGAGGGACACGCGGGTTTCAACAAGCTCACGTGAAAGACTGGGTGTACCCTCCTCCAGGTGTGGGGTAGTTCCAGCCGGACTGTAACCGGGTTGACGACCTCCCGGACGGGGAAGGGCCCCATAAACAAAGCTGACAATTTTCGAGATGGTTGGGTGGATTTCAAATATTTGGTGGACAGGTAGACCAGGTCCCCCACCTTGAGCTGGGGTTGAGGCGACCTCTTTTTGTCAGCGAACTTTTTATAATCAGTTTTGGCTTTGTCTAAAGTCTCTTTGACCACAGGCCAGGCCTCTGCAATCATCTTCCCCCATCCCTCCGGTGACGTCTCTCCTGGCCCCCGGGGGGTGAGGCCGGGGAACGGGGGAAAGTCTCTACCTCCTCCAGCTCCGCCTCCTCCTCTGCGGGGAGCTGATGCGGGGCCAAGGCCGTTTCCACCGCCGTGGAAGCTTTCCCCTTCGTGGGTTTGGATCCGGGCGCTGGTCTTGGGGGGGTGTCTTGGCCGGTTTGGGAGCGTTGAGTGGGTCGCGTCCTTTCGGGCATTCCGCTGCTCTGTGTCCTTCCTGGCCGCACGCGAAGCAGGAGAAGCCCCTCCTCCCTTTCCTCTCGCAGCTGGCTGACCTTCCTCGGGGCGAGGGGCGCCTTGGTCCTCCTTGCGGCCCTGCTGCAGGGTGCCGGGTTTGCCCTCTCTCTCTCGCTCTGCACGGCATCTGCTCCTGGTCGCACTCGACCCTCCCCGCCAGCACAATCCACTCCTTGAGCGTGTTGGGATTGTTCCGGTGTAGCGACCACTCCAACACATCGGAGCGCAAGCCCGCTCGAAAGTATTCGAGCTTTGTGGCTTCCGACCAATCCCTGATCCGGCCTGCGATGGCCTTAAATTCCAAGGCATATTCAGAAACAGTCTTGTTGCCTTGGTAGATTTTCTTAAGCTGCCCCTTTGCCTTTTCCTCCGCCAAGGGGTCTTGAAATCTCTCCCGGAGTGCTCCCAGGAAGTCGTCCAGTCTCCTCAACTCCGGTGCCCGGGTGTCGTACATTTGCATGAGCCAGTCGGCCGCAGCTTCCTTCAAATTTGCCCCCACGGCATGGATCATGGCTCCCTCTGAGGGGAAGGTGTCACCATAGTCCTCCATGAAGTGTCTCACGTTTGTGATGAAATAGGAGAGCTGCTTGGGGTCCCCGTTGAACTTTACGCGCAGTTCTCCTCTTGGGCCTCCATGCAGCTGGCTTCTCCCCGCCCATCCGGAGGTGAATGCCGAGGTCCCGGGGGGGATGGGCCTGCTCGCCCTCTGTCGCGAACGCCACTCTCCCCGAGGGCCGGTACCCTCGGCCCATACCTTGTGGTTGGGAGCGTCGCTGCTCTCTCTCCTCCAGCGTGGTTCTCCACGATGCTGCCACCTCCCTTCTCATCTCCTCCAGTTGGAATGAAAAAGTTTGCAGCATCCTCTCCATCGCATCCACCTTCTCCCCGAGATGCTGTGCAGGCAGCGCCGCTGCGCTTCCGAGGGGCGAAGGTTCTCTGAGGGGCTCCCGCACCCCCAACATGGGCAGCTTGCGCCTCACTGTTACATCCTTCCTTGGGGGCATCTGCGTGGACGTCAGGGGAGCCCTCCAATCCTCGGGCACCGCTGGGAGTTCTCTTCCCATCTCTGGGTCTCCGTCATGGGAAGATTCCTCGTCCCCAAATCCCTCGTTTTCCAGCCCCGGGGAGGGGGAAGCTCCAATGCTCTCTTCAGCTCCCATCGGGGTTTCTCCTTCCTGGAACATGCTCTTTTCCTGGATAGTTGTAGTCCTCACAGTTAGAGCAAGAAGTTGTGAGTTCTCTCTTTATGTCAGGTTCCGCTGGATCTCAGAATGAAACACACACTCACAAGAGCAAATCCTGGAATTGCGGTTTATTCAGTCCATACAGTACAGAGCCAAAGAGAGAACTGGGGTTTCCCGCCAAACGCCTCCAGATCCCCCTTCTGTCTTCACTCCCCCCTCTTCCCCCTTGCTTATCACAGTTTAGACTACAATTCCTTTCCCACATCTTCAAAGCGAAAGCTTGGCCCAGATGGCCCTACTATAAACTAATCTATCATGTCAACTCCCTCTAGTGTCAGGAGGAAGACTTCTTGAAATTCCTTGGAAACATGAAGGCACATCCTGACACAGAGCCTTGGGACCTTTTTTCCTGGAATTTCTGTTTCCCCGGATGTTACTGAGAAAGGATGCTTTTCTACGGGACGAACAGGTCTACATCCTATAGCTTAGCTTCCTTATGTGAGACTGCCCAAAAAATGGCTCCTTTCCCTCCCAGAGTCCTGAACAAGTGGCGGAACCAAAGCTTAATTATGACTGACAGGTAGCCTGCCCTATGATTGCAAACTTTAACAGAAAGAAAATAAAGTTGGAGCTCCTGGTACAGCCGTACCAGCACAGACTCAGACCTGCTCACAGCAAGAATTCAATGCTAACAATAAAAATCTGAAATATCATACATCAACAATAGAATAAAATATATATAAGCCATTCGCCAAGATAAAATAATATCCAACTCAGTCCTTATATTGTAGTCAATAACTTTGGTCAGTTGCCATTATTCTGGGAATGCTTCGTTCCATAGCCAGGATTTCACTAGCTTCCTGAAGGTTAGGAGGGAGGGGGAAGATCTGATCTCAATTGAGAGAGAGTTCCATAGCCGAGGGGCCACCACCGAAAAGGCCCTGTCTCTCGTTCCCACCAGACACGATTGCAAAAATGGTGGGACTGAGAGCAGGGTCCCTCCAGAAGATCTTAACAGCCTTGATGGTTCATAGGGGAGAATACGTTCAGACAGGTAAACTGGCCAGAATCATATCTTTATTTATTTACAGTATTTATATTCCGCCTTTCTCACCCTGAAGGGGACTCAGGGTAGATCACAATGTACATATATACAGCAAACATTCAATGTCGTTTTAGACAGACAGACAGACAGAGGCCATTCAGCAGTTCTTCCATTTTGGATCCTAGAGGTTGCTCGATTCATCGAGCCTTTTTGATCATAGCATTTCCTCCTTGCGCTCCGGCATTTTTATGATGTCATAAATTAGCTTTAATCTGTCCCTAATTCCTCTACTCACAGTTCACAGCTGGGCATTTTTTAAACAACTAATTTTTTTAGCAGCTATTAACAGTCGGGCACTCAACCCTGACTCGGGCTTCGAACTTGCCACCTTTCGATCGGTAGTGATTTATTGCAGCTAATTAACTAGTTGTGCTACCAGCCCGGCCCAGCTCAGGGTTTTGTAGGTTAACACCAGCACTTTGAATTGTGCTCAGAAGCTAATTGGCAGCCAGTGGAGCTGGCACAACAAGGGAGTTATGCGCTCCCTGTACCCCGCTCCCGTCGGTAGCCTGGCTGCCAAGCATTGGACTAATTGCAGCTTCCGGGCAGTCTTCAGAGGCATCCCCACGTAGAGTCTTGCAGTAGTCTAGACAGGATGTAACCAGAGCGTGGACCACAGTGGCCAAGTCAGACTTGCCAAGGTACAGACGCAGCTGGCACACAAGCTTTAGCTGCGCAAAAGCTCAGCGATGAGTCCAGGCTCAGCGATGAGTCCAGGTTCACTCCCAAGCTGTGAACCTGTGCCTTTAGGGGGAGTGTAACCCCCATCCAACACAGGCTGTAGCCCTATGCCTTGTTCAACCTTACGACTGACCAGGAGTACCTCTGTCTTGTCTGGATTTAGCTTCAATTTGTTGGCTCTCATCCAGTCCGTTACAGCGGCCAAGCACCGGTTCAGGACCTGGACAGCCTCCTTAGTACAGGTGGGAAGGAGAGACAGAGTTGGACATCATCTGCATACAGATGACACCGTACCCCAAAACTCCGGATGATCTCCCCCAACAGCTTCATGTATATGTTAAATAACATAAGAGACAATACTGAGCCCTGCGGGACCCCACAGTACAATGGCCATGGGGCTGAGCAGGAGTCCCCTAACAACACCTTCTGGGAACGACCCTTGAGGAAGGACTGGAGCCACTGCAAGGCTCCAGTACCTCCAAGGCCCATTCCAGCGAGGCATCTCAGAAGGATACCATGGTCGACGGTATCGAAGGCCAGTGAGAGGTCCAGCAGAACCAACAGGGACACACTCCCCCTGACTTGCTCCCGGTATAGATCACCAACTAAGCATTGAATTCTTGCTGTAAGCCGGTCTGAGTGAACCAAATACATCAATCCAGCAAGGCTTCTCTGAAGATTCAGACTACCAGAGCAAATGAACCAACCTGCATTGATATTAAAACCTATTCCTACACATCGTATTGACTGTGGGCCTTTCCCCCACAAAGCAGTTGTCTCTGGAAACCATATTATGATATAACTGTGGCACTTCCAAGTGAGCTGGTAAAGTTCTGTTCCTCCTTGAACCTATCTGTAGAAGTAGACATGCTTCATTCAGATAAGGTCAAAAGCAAGGAGTCTCCGCTTTCTGATTTAAAGGATAATGATCCATTGTGTCCTTTTAACTGAGATAAACAAGGCCTTGAGAATGTACACCAAGGCTAAGTACACCGGCAAGTGGTTTTTGTTGCTTCCATACCACTTCTTGAGTCAGATATAACTGCAAAAATTCTCCAAAGGGAATCTGAGGCACATGGAGTACAGCAGACGAAGGCAGTGAAGGCCCCTGTCCCTGCTGCCACCAGCACACTAGTCTCTGTTGTCATTCGCAGCATCAACGGTCCTGGTGACATCACAAGACCATGCTCACTTCCTACCAAAGTAAACAAACATAATTTCAAACCCAAAAGTTCTTTGAAGAAATAACAGATACCTAGTTAGATTCAGAACCAAAACACAGAGATGGTATTCAGACACAAGCACCAGTTGCTGGCAAGCCACAGTCTACAAATTATGAAAATCTCCACAGTAACCTCTGCAGCCCACAATTTGTGTGTAGTGTATTCAACACTCTGTGATCCTATAATTACACCAAATGCCTACATAATCTCTTTCAAGGATCACCAGATGCGGATAGCATTGTGCAAACATAGTTCCATGCTTTAAGATGTTAACAGTGCAATTATATATACATCTATTTGGAAGCCAGACCTGTTGCAAAAGGCACAATGTAAGATTGCATGTTTGCCATTTTTATTATACTTTGGAAACTGCCCTGAGTACCTTTGGGGAGAGAGGACAGGGTATAAATATATTATTATTATTATTATTATTATTATTATTATTATTATTATTATTATTATTGTTCCTTGCAGAATAGGATGCTTTCAGTTTGTTGCAAAGTGAGTAAGTCAACAATCTGCTTCTCAATGGCTTTTGGACTTTCTGCCTAAATTCCTGARCAAGAGGCTGTGTGAGAGGCTTTGTCAGTGTTGCTATTCCCAGAACAGGTTATAATAACAATAATAACAATAATAATAATAATAATAATAATAATAATAATAATAATAATGTATTGTTGAAGGCTTTAATGGCCAGAATCACWGGGTTGTTGTAGGTTTTTTCGGGCTATATGGCCATGGTCTAGAGGCATTCTCTCCTGATGTTTTGCCTGCATCTATGGCAAGCATCCTCAGAGGTAGTGAGGTCTGTTGGAACTAGGCAAAAGTTCCACATATATCTGTGGAATGACCAGGATGGGACAAAGAACTCTTGRCTGCTGGAGCTAGGTGTGAATGTTTCAACTGACCACCTTGATTAGGATACAATGGCCTGACTGTGCCTGYGGCAAACTTTTGTTGAGAGGTAATTAGATGTCCCTGCCTGCTTCCTCTCTGTTGTTGTGCTTCTTCTTCTTTCTTGCCTGAACAACATATTCACCTCAAATCTGCTTTTAACAGAATCAATATTGCTGATATGTTAACAGGACCAGTCCTGTTGATATGCACTCTGATATTTCTAATTTCACTTCTTCCCAACTTTTTCCTCTGTATGCATGGATTACTGTCACCTGCGGATAACCATGCTGTTGTATGTTCAGAAGAAGAGCGCTTTTAAAACACAACTACAAGGGAACATGTTTTCTTAATTCTTAAACACCACAGAATTCTTCACTGCTTTTGAGTCATTCAGAACTTCCACCTGCAAGGGCAGATCAAAGCATCTGATTGTGAACATTTAAATAAAGTGTCAAACAGGATATGATCCAAATTATTTTATGTCTCTACCAAATGTAGTAAAAACTATTTTGTCTCCTTGGACATATAAATATATGAACAATGGTGATAATTACAGAGATTCAATCACCGGTTTCCTGTTTAGGTCCTCCTTCCTTCCTGTCTTTGTTGCCACCATTCCAGAAATGAAGGACTTTTGGAGCTATATCCATTCTACTAAGTCCAGCTAAGGATACAAGGGAATTATTATAGAAACTGATAGAAATGGCCAGAGCTTCTCTTTTCTTCAGGTGATTCAAGTTCAGAGAATCTGGTGAGGAATGCTCTCAGGAGCACCTCAAAACATGATGGCTGCATGCTCCATGGTGATGACCAACAAGTATCTGGTCCAAAATGCCAATGAACATTGTTGGTGGTGGTGCTCTGAGAGAAAAGGCATAGCAGTCAAGGATGTAAGAGAACAAGAAGTTACTCTGAAGCTCTGAATGTAAAGAAGTCTGGTTTTCCTATTGATTTGATTGACGAAAATCTTGTGCCCATGGCTCGGGACCTCCAGGTACCTTGGTTCTCTGCAACATCTTGACCGGAGTTCTTGCATGATGAAAAAGTCAAGATGGATGAAAATGAAGGAGACGAAAAAATACTGGTGAGGGGAGTAAAGCATGAAGATGAGCATCACATTTAGCCAATTCTCATGGACACTTTCTCCTACTTGCATTATCTGGTGTGCCATGATATTTACCTCCTCCACAACATTTTCATGAATGCCTTTGAGTGGTCCCCATCTGTGGAGCAACCTGTGCACAATCATCCACAGGTCCTCCATTACTACTGGATAATAATAATATAACTTACCACGGAAACAGTGTACATGCTGTTATCAAAGGACGTCTCTGTGAAAGAAGCCATATGGATACGGTGACTAAGAGACGGGCTACACAAACATCTTAAGGTCTAAACAGATGCACACTGTCTTTATACATATTTTCCAGGAATTGTTACCAAGGAAGTATTCATGCCACAAAAATGCAGAAGTAAGATTAGCATTGAAGACAATGTACATTCAAAGTTTTTTTGCTGCCGTGAGCAGATGAACAGCTGGCAATGAGACTTGTTGCAACAGCAAAAGAGAAGTTTTCAATATAAAATAATTTTTAAAATTCTTTGTTTCTTTTTAGCATTCCCAGTCTCTTTACTGCCCCCAGCTAGCCCTTATATCTTGTTGTTATAGGTCTGGAACTCATTTCCAGACCTATAACAACTGCCAGAAGAGATCTACATTTTACATACCTGTTGCAGGGTAACTTGTTTCTGTCCAGCAGGAATCCAACACCCTGTGCAAACCAAAGCATATATCTAATTAATGCAATTCTTTCACAAAATTAAAATACGTGCCTCTTCTAAAGCTCAGCTGAGATACTGCTTATATTAGCCGCTTTAGGACCTAGAGAAGAATAAAGATTATCCTCTCACAAGATGATGATGGTGATTAGAGTTAACATACCCTTATTATTATTATTATTATTATTATTAGCTGTACCCGGCCACGCATTCCTGTGGCCCATTGTGGAGAAATGGGAAAGAAAGAAAAGAGGAAAGCTGTCCACCTAATACAGGCCCATTTCAGTTTCCTCAAGGCCAAAGGGTTATATGGATGTGTGGAAGGGCCCTGGGTTACCTGAGTCCACACTGCCATATAACCCAGTTCAAAGATTTTATATAGGTATTGTTGCCATTATAGACATATAGATATTATTATAGGCATATAGATATTATTATTATAGATACAAATATTAAATTATTATTATTAAATCTATATAGGTATTAGTATTATAGATGTTATTTTTTATGAATTTCATATCAAAAGCATTGCATAAATTAGTATAAAACTGATAAAAAATAGAAAGAGCATAGGGCTCAATATCTTTCGAGCAAAAACAGGCAACAGATGTATGGATATTATTACAGACCTATAGATATTATTATAGACATATAGATGTTATTATTTTTATTGTTATTTTATAGATATTATATAGCTATTATTATTATAGATGTATACATATTATTATACATATATATAGATGTTATTATTATTATTATAGACATAGATATTATAGGCATATAGGTATTATTGTTATAAATGTTCAGATATTTTTGACAGACAGATATTATAATTATAGACATATGGATATTATTATAGACCTGTAGATATTATTATAGGCATATAGACATTATTACAGGCATATAGATATTATGATAGAAATGTAGATATTATTGTTAAAGACATGTAGATATCATAGACATATATATTATTATAGATTGCTAGATATTATTATGATAGATATATAGATATTATTATTATTATTGTAGAAATATTATAGCCCAGGGTTGCTATAAAGTAAAAATGGATGGCCATCTTTTGGGAGTATTTTGATTCTGCCTTCCTGGACAGCCTTTGCTAACTCACAGAGTGTGCCTTTTTGTCCCTTCTTTGAATACTGGACTTCATTTCCCAGAATGCCTTTCCATAACACAGTATGGGTGAGGTTTCTGGGCACACACACACACACAGAATCCCTGTGAGTTCCCAGCAGCCCAGCGGAGGCAGCGAGGCAAGAAGGAAAGGATCTCTCTCGCTCTCTCTCTCTCTCCTTCCCTCTCTCTCTCTCTCTCTCTCTCTGAATCCTTTGGGAAGAGAGAGGCAGGGGGTAGCCACCTTTCCCTCTCTTGTGCCGCCTCTCTCTCTCTCAGCGGTTGGGTTTTTTTCCCTCGTGCAGGAGCGAGGGGCGGGGGAAGGGGTTCTTTTAACACAGGCTCTATATAGGCATTTAGCCTTGTTGGGGGGGGGGGGAGTTCTTTCCAGTTAATTGTTATTATTATTATTGAATGGAGAACATAAATTGGGTTGTTAGGTGTATCGTGTCAAAATTTGGTGTCAATTCCCCCAGTGGTTTTTGAATTCTGTGAATATCACAAACAAACATTACATTTTTATTTATATAGACTGAACGTAAGAAATAAAATTATAATCATTATAATCACTATAATTATTAATATTTGTCATCAGCCTCTCCTTGCAGCAATCAAAACGGGGTACAACACCGTTAAAACAGATAGGCACATTATTAAAATTCATATACTGAAGACCTATCTCTTCTGGCAGGCCAACCCAGTCAATATTAAACCGTTAATTTCAACCTGCATTTTATTGCTGTGTTTGTCTTGTGTATAAGACAAACACACCAATAAAATGCAGGTTGAAATTCACAGTTTAAAATTGACTGGATTGGCCTGCCAGAAGAGATAAGTCTTCAGATGAATCTTGATTTCTGACAGTTTAATTAGCTGACAAAGCTCTTCCAACAGGTCATTCCACAGTTTTGGGGTGGGCGATTAAAATGTTAGATTACAGGTAGACATGAAGCCCCTATTCCATGGGAGTCATGCTATCATAGATAGTAAAAACATACTGGGATGAGAGCCTTTCACATTGCGCCTCTCTTCATTCATCCAATTGCATTGATTTGACAATTAGTGGCCTTGTAGTCATACTTCTGGATACCCTCACAATCCCACCTTCTCGCTGCTTCTTAATTTCAGCAACAAAAAACAAAAAAGGACATATATAACTGTAAAATAGAAATTAAAACAAAACAGATTTCTCGGGAAAAATTATGGGAAGAGAAAGGAGACATCCTCCACCCCCTGAGATCACTTTACTATTGGCATGCTATCACTGGTGGAACAGAGACATTGCAGGATTGTGAGCTATTAATGGGTTTTCCCCATCAGTAGTAGGAGAGGAGTTGATGATGGAGAGGAGGTAGACCAGCACTGGGATGCATACAGTGTCTTGTGATAGGGATCTTCAACGAAGGTTCTCTAACCAGCTACTCAATTAACTTTTGGCCTTAACTGCTCTATGTGGAAACAGTCCTGCATGATGTTGAGCTCTCACCTTTTCTTCTGTCTTCTTTCTTTCACTGTCAAAAACAAAGATACATAAGTGAACAGGTCTGGTAGAAAAGGAAAGGCACTCGTAGCTTTACTAGGCATAATAAAAGCCAATGTCTTACTTGTTCAGTGAAACCCAACAGTTTTATTGATCAACTAGCCGTCCCCTGCCACGTGTTGCTGTGGCTCAGTCTGTGTATATGTGTTTTGTGTGTGTATATGTGTGTATATTTGTGTATACGTTTGTGTGTGTGTGTGTGTGTATATAGATAGATAGATAGATAGATAGATAGATAGATAGATAGATAGATGGTTTTGTGCATGTGTTGTAATGTAATTTTTGTTTTTTGGCTTTTTAAGTCCCTTCCGCTGTGTTTTTCAGTGTTTTATGAGTGATGGTTACTCGCTGGCCTGATAGGTGCATTGTGTCCAAATTTGGTGTCAATTCGTCCAGTGGTTTTTGAGTTATGTTAATCCCACAAACAAACATTAGATTTTTATTTATATAGATAAGAAACAAGAGGGTTCAGAATGCATCTACACTGCAGAATGAATGTAATTTGACATCACTTTAACTGCCACGGCTAACTATTACGGAAGTGTTAGGATAAGGATTTGTGTTTATTGTGTCTCTGTATGCTTGTTTTTTGCCTTTTACTTTTGATATGGTCAGAGGACTAATCAATAAACAAATCTAGCTATCTGTCTCAGATCCAAAATTTGGAAAAGGATGGCAGCTCTAAATAAAAGAGGTATTGAAAAAAGGCAAAAAAGAAGCATTTACCTCTTTAAATATTGCACCCAAAGATGGAGATCAATTCCCCAAAGAAATTCATACAGCACAAAATGTATATATGCTACTAAGTAACAACAACAGAGAAATGACTTAAAAATATTTTTCTTTCCACAAATAAAATCCAAATCATTCCACTGTTGAACAGCTCTCACAGTCAGGAAGTTCTTCCTCATGTTCAGATGGAATCTCCTTTCTTGTAGTTTGAAGCCATTGTTCCATTGCGTCTTAGTCTCCAGGGAAGCAGAAAACAAGCTTGCTCCCTCCTCCCTGTGACTTCCTCTCACATATTTATACATGACTATCATATCTCCTCTCAGCCTTCTCTTCTTCAGGCTAAACATGCCAGCTCCTTAAACCACTCCTCATAGGGCTTGTTCTCCAGACCCTTGATCATTTTAGTTGCCCTCCTCTGGACACATTCCAGCTTGTCAATATCTCTCTTCAATTGTGATATTGTATTGTCGAAGGCTTTCATGGCTGGAATCACTAGGTTCTTGTGGGTTTTTTCGGGCTATAGAGCCATGTTCTAGAGGCATTTCTCCTGACGTTTCGCCTGCATCTATGGCAAGCATCCTCAGAGGTGTGAGGTCTGTGATATTCATTTGATTGTGATATTCATTTGATTATTCCTCTGAACTCTCTAAATCCCCCTTATCTTGTTATAACCGCACATCTTTCATGACTATAGTGTCTACGGAAATATATCTCATCTGACAAGACAGTGTCACTGAGTCATAGATAACTGAGACAGATACTCAGTCATTTTGACAATCTGACTCTTGCACAACTACACTTTGAGGATAAAACATTTCTCTTTACTTGCAATGGAAATATGCTCTGGGATCTAGGCAGGACCGTAGCCAGGATTTTGATTCCCGGGTTGGGGGGGGGGGGGGGGGCTGAGTCTGAGTGAAAGAGGGTCTACCCTAGCAAACCTTTTGTATCGTTGCCCCAATACCCCCATGCATATGGGATATATTGAGTATGGTGATCAGATCATGATATGAATAAACATAACAGTTTAAATAATGCACCAGTAAGGCCTTCTCGGGGACCACCATGAGAATTTCGGGGGGGGGGGCTGAAGTTCCTCGAGCCCCCCCCCCCCCTTGGCTACATGCCTGGATCTAGGGAATTGTACTTTGGTAAGAAGTAGCAGGAGAGGATCCATCGCTTTAGGGTTTGGCTATTCAGGAGGATGTCCCCTCCTAAATAACCAACCCCAGGTTTCTGTTGGATGGCACCAGGGCAGTCGAAGCAGGATCATAACACTATAATTGTGTAGAGTGAAAGGCCTATGGTTACTTCAAGTGAAATGAGTCCTAAGTATTCCATCCTAGAGCTAATCTGTGCTCTTAAGCAGAGCGATGAAAGATGCTCCATATATTAATTCTACATACATCGTCCAACTGCGATCACAGCAACCACCAGGATCAAAATCAGTAGTAATACTCCAGTCACACTCAAAGCAGTGGGGAGAACCCAAGCTGAACCTGGAAGTGATAGCAGGAAATCATTTGGTGACATTCAGCAAAATATAAAGTCCGCAAAATATAAAGTAGCAAAGCAGTGCATAAGTTGACTAGTTCGAAAGTGGTCAGGCTTGTGGGTCATCAGTCAATGAGGGCCAGAAATGTGGCCTCTTTCCCCAGTCCCAATCACAGCAAGGAGTAGTTTTTCTGGCTGTTTAATTATTATGATTATGATTATTTGTATGTCCCCTGAAGGCTAAGAGAGAATGGTATCAGCCTTGTCTGTCTATAGAGAGCGGCTGTAATTGTTGTTTCCTTTTCTTATTTTTGAAGAGTAAACCATGCAGCACTGGCTACCAACTTTCTTTGGGGGTTTTCACCTTTCCAGGATGGTTCAGCCCTCCGCCCTCTGAATTATTTCCTCAAATGCTTTCTTAAAGCTGAATGCTGCTCACCTTTTGAGCCAGAATTTGGAGGATCAGTTGGAACTGAAGTAGTTAAACTGGACTCTAAAACACAAAATGAGATGACGACTGAGCAACTTAATCTTAGGAGAAAATGAACAAATGCAAGACAAAAAGTGGGTGCACCAGAGGCGGCCCCAGGTAATTTTCAACGGTAAGCAAACAGTATTTTGGCACCCCCTCCCCCCAACCAATCACTGATATATATTTTCTGTTCGTCGTGGGAGTTCTGTGTGCCATATTTGGTTCAATTCCATCCTTGGTGGAGTTCAGAATGCTCTTTGATTGTAGGTGAACTATACATCCCAGTAACTACAACTCGCATATGTCAAGGTCTATTTTCCCCCAAGAGCGCCTCAAGAGCGCCCCTGGGCAAAATCAACTATACTGCGAATGCTTACTTTGCATAATGGGTTGAGCCGCCCCTGGGGTGCACTGAAGATGCAAGAACAAGCTTAAGGATTGCTAGATCAGGACTATCCCAGAAATGTATAGCCCAGAGATAGCCCCTGCTGACATTATTTAGATGAGTCTTACTTAGTCATTATCAAATACTTGTCACCTAAGGACCCCCCAGTACACTTGTCTTGGAAGACTATCCTACTCGGACAACGAGGGATCACCTAAGTAAGTAAGTAAGTAAGACTCATCTTATCTAAACAATATTCTAAGCCTTGCTAATTGTTGTACTGGATATATATATGTGTGCAGGCCCGTAGCCAGGATTTTGATTCGGGGAGGGGGGGCTGAGTTTGATTGGGGGGGGCTGAGTCTGAGTGAAAGAGGGTCTACCCTAGCAAACCTTTTGTATTGTTACCCCAATACCCCCATGCATATGGGATATATTGAGCATGGTGATCAGATCATGATATGAATAAACATAACAGTTTAAATAATGTACCAGTAAGGCCTTTTCGCAAACCACCATGAGAATTTCGGGGGGGGGGGCTGAAGCCCCTCAAGCCCCCCCCCCCCCCCCCCCCCCCCCCGTCACCAGACCTGTAGCCAGGATTTTGTTTGGGGGGGGGCTGAGTTTGGTTCGGGGGGGGGGCTGAGTGAAAGAGGGTCTACCCTAGCAAACCTTTTGTATCGTTACCCCAATACCCCCATGCATATGGGATATATTGAGCATGGTGATCAGATCATGATATGAATAAACATAACAGTTTAAATAATGTACCAGTGAGGCCTTCTCGCGGACCACCATCAGAATTTCGGGGGGGGGGGAGGGCCCCAAGCCCCCCCCCCCCCGGCTACATGCCTGGCAGGGTATGCTAGTCAAGTAAAACATAAAGCAAATAAGTCTTAAAATGAAGAAAATAAATACAGACACATATACACATGTGCATATCAATCTAACAGGAAAGATATGGGCAATAGTAGGTATGCTCAGAGGATAAGCTTCTTTTCTGCTATTGGGGGTGCCTCTGTTATCTAGGAATTATGGCTATTTAAAACACAATGTTTAGAGTGAGTGGACCAGTTTAGGCTACTGGATTGGGAATAAGATCCAGCAAGCCTTGGACTTCAGTCCTCCTTTCTCATGAAATGTCACTCTATCAGAAGAAAATTAAAGAGTTTGTTGCACCTCAGAGTAGAATCACCTTGCTGAAGAACACCAAACTGCACACAGCCAAACTGCACACAGTCTTTATGGTTTATTAAAAATAAAAGGTAAAAAGTTCTTAAAAGCAAAGGTAATGTTTCAAAAGATCAGGATAACATAGCACTTGAAGCATAATCCAATAGGCATCAGCAAAGCAAAACTCAAGAGAACATGACAAAGTCCTGGAACCATGAACACAAAGACTGCAAGGTAAATCCAGCCTAGCTTAGGCAAACCCCTTAGGTAAATGCAAAAGTTGCTTTGACAAAGATCTGGTCTCAAAACCCCTGTTTAATACCCTTTGCGAAACATGAAGGCATTTCTTTGGCCTCTGGCCTCCCTCTTGTTAGCTATCTTTTCACTCCTTCAAACACGGAATTCCAACTGGGCGGCCCTATCTAAAGTTCCTGTATCATCAAGGTCAATCTGCTTGTTAGGTATAGCCTGTTTTCCTGCTTGTTCGTTATCAGGCTGAGAACTAGGCAAAGAGCTATCCTCTCTTTTGGAGTCAATCTGCACATGGCTGCTATCTTCAGTTTCCACACTCTCATGCCTTGCTGTGGGAAACTGTATTTCTTCATTGTCTATAGCAGGGACATCTTGAACCAAACTGTGAACCTGAATCTCATCATCCTAGTCAGAAACACTCTCTGATTCCAACTGTGTCACAAGAGTGTTATACATTAGTTAATGGGAGTATGCTTTGAAGCTATTATTTATTTATTATTCAAACTTATATGCCGCCACTCCCCTGGGGCTCGGAGCGGCTTACAAGAACAGGCTAAAATCTAACACAATTTAAAAACAATTTAAAACAATTTAAAAAGAGCAATATTAAAAGTCAAAGGCCTGTTGAACAGGTATGTCTTACATGCCCTGCGGAAAGCTGATAAGTCCCGCAAGGCACGGACTTCAGGTAGCAGAGTATTCCAGAGTGATGGTGCCACTGCTGTAAAGGCTCTGCGTCTGGATGCTGTTAGACACAAGGTCTTGACATTGGGAATTTCCAACAAATCATGGTCCTCAGAATGGAGGGATCTCTGGGGTTGGTAGGGGGTGAGGCGGTCCCTCAGGTACATAGGCCATAAAAAAGACCATAAAAAAGACTCCAGCAAAGCACTCCAGCAAAAAAAGCGTGCGGGGAATGCGGAAGTACTTCATCAGTGTCGCTGATGGACGATGAAAGCGACAGCTCCCCTGGCGGCCAGAAAAAGTTAAATAGCCTCTGTGTATGTCTGTATATGTTGTAAGTTAAAATTGGCATTGAATGTTTGCCATATATGTATACATTGTAATCCGCCCTGAGTCCCCTGTGGGGTGAGAAGGGCGGAATATAAAAGCTGTAAATAAATAAATAATAAATAATAATAGGCGCCAGACCATGCAAGGCCTTAAAGGTAAGCACCATCACTTTGAAAGTGATCTGGTGCTCAACTGGTAACCAATGCAGCTGCCGTAAGATTGGTGTTATGTGGCATCTCATTGGAATTCCCGCAAGAAGCCGAGCAGCTGCATTTTGTACCAACTTGAGCTTCCGGATCACCGACAGAGGAAGGCCAGGTAGGGGGCCAGCCATCTAGCCTGCCGCAGATGAAAAAAGGCGGTTCTGCTAACGGCGGAGACCTGGGCCTCCATCGTCAGCAGAGGGTCCAAAAGGACTCCCAGACTCTTTACCAATGATGACGGGCGTAGCGCCTCGCCATCCAGGGTAGGCAGCTGGATGTCCCCACTGCCTGGTTGACCCAGACATAGGATCTCCGTCTTTGCTGGATTCACCCTCAACCTGCTGACACGCAGCCATCCAGTAACGGCCTCAAGGCACTGATGGAAACAATCGGGTACAGAGTCCGGTCGGCCTTCCATCTTCAGCACCAGCATTCATCAGCATACTGGTAACACTCAAGCCCAAAATCTCGAACCAGCTGAGCAAGTGGTCGCATATAGATGTTAAACAACAGAGGGGAGAGAATGGCCCCTTGAGCAACCCCACAAGAAAACTAAACCAAGATGAAATTGGGATTCAAATCCTGGTTTGTTTGAACTAAGTTGGAGCCTACCACAACTGACAAAATTTTGATAAAATGTAGGGTTACAGTTTGTTCTAAATTGAACCTTTCACTTTCTTCTTCTTCTCTATGAAGGAGGAGTAATTAAAAAGGACAGTACATGAACCCAGAACTCACTGCATCTCTTTAATAAGTATCTAAATAAGGAAGAGAAAATGGTGGTCAGAATGGTCCTTCATCGGAAACAAGAAAAACAAAATAACACCAGTAACAAAGATAAAACTGCAAGTGAGCAGCAGGAGCATGTATGTATGTCCATCCCTGCTTCAATCAAACTTCGGAAAACAAGCAACTAGAAAATTAATTTTGGAAACAAGTAATCTTTATTTCTTTCCAAAACAGATAGCAATGTAGGCACCAGATGAACCATCCTAGGGTGAGCCATAAACAAATTTTCATAATCAGGAAGAGGCCCTTTTCTTATGGGGTTTCACTATGAATTAGTTTTGAGTGGTGTTTATTTCTAATACTGTTCATTTTTAATTCTATTTTAATGTTTGTATATTTTTAGGTTTTAAATTGTACTGTATCGTGTTGGTTTTATTGTGAGCCGCTTTGAGGTTTTGTTTTTTAGAGAGAGAAAGCAGGATACAAATAACAACAACAATAACAATTTTTTGTAGGTATTTTTCCATTATCTGGGTAGAGGCCACTGGGGGCTGCTAGAGAGAGAAAGATACTTCATGGGGGAGGGGGCAGAGTTGAAGGAGGAAAACAATTTCCCCCGTTTTTGCACCCCCCCTTCCCATATCATAAAGGAGGGTTGTTTCTATGATAGGGACCTTAGTCCCCTCTAGACTGGATTACTGCAGTGCACTCTATGTGGGGCTGCCCTTGAAAACGGCCTGGAAATTTCAGATGATCCAATGGGCGGTGGCCAGGTTGCTAACTGGGGCGGCTTACAGAGAGCGGTCAACCCTCCTGTTCAAGGAGCTCCACTGGCTGCCATTAATTTACCGGATCCCATTCAAGGTGCAGGTTCTTACCTACAAAGCCCTGAACGGCATGGGACCCACCTACCTGTGTGACCGCATCTCTGTATATGAACCCACACGATCTCTTCGTTCATCTGGAGAGGCCCTGCTCTCGATCCCGCCAGCATCGCATGCGCGATTCGGTGGTGACCCCTCGACTCTGGAACTCACTCCCTAAAGACATCAGACAGGCCCCAACCTTGGCAGTCTTTAGGAGGAGCTTGAACACGTGGTTGTTCCAGTGTGCCTTCCTGGAATAATGATCCCATAGCTCTTTGTCCTCCAAAGCACTTTACACTTATTAGATCTGCTCGTATGCCCTTCCACAAACGCCACTATCACCTTTCATCCATGTCCCAGCATTATTTCCATTTTAACTTTACATTTGGCCTTCCCACTGTTTTTAATTGTGTGTTGTCTTATTGATAATGTATATTTTATTGTCTATGTTTTATTTTAATTGCTTGTACTGTTGTTGTTTTGCTTGTATTGTTGAATTCGGGCTCGGCCTCATGTAAGCCGCATCGAGTCCCTTGGGAGATGATAGCGGGGTACAAATAAAGTGTTATTATTATTATTATTATTATTATTATTAGGGACATAGGTGGGGGGAATAACAGGAAAACAAGGGGAAATGGTTTTCCTCCTTCAACCCATAAAATGAAGTATCCTTCTCTCTCTAGCGTACCCTAGTGGCTTCTGCCCAAATAATGGAACATTACTTTTTGTATGTGTAAGGTCTTGTTGACACATTTTACCATATATAGAATGCAATTAAAAGCCAAATAAAATTCAGGAACTGAATCACCATTTGGCAGTATGCGTGTATGTACCATTTGCAATCAACATATTATGATGAATCATGATGAATTCTAAATAGTGAAAATGAGTTGGATATATGCTTACCCTCCACTGTGATCTCCAGGACAAAGCTGAGTTCAGACATCTGCAACTGGCTTCCATTATAGAGGCCATATTGACACCTATATTGGCCCCCATCTCCAATAGTGATGTTCTCCAGATGAAAAGTAACAGCGTGTTGGGTTTCTGCAGCTGGCTGAATCTGAACTTGCTGGGCTTGTTCCCCTTTGAGCAAATAGAACCAGGCATCCACATAGGCCCTGGGTGCTGCACATACAATCTTGATGGTGTCTCCTTCTTTGATGCCATCAGAGGGCACATCCAGGACAATAAGTGGATAAGGAAAAAGTCTGGAAGCCCCCAAAGAGCCTGAAAAAGAACAAGGTGGAAGGTGTAAAGAAAGGAATTTTTGCAATGGACACAAGGCTGCAATATCGGTTTGTTTCATTAGAAGTTATGTAAATATACCTGTTTTAACCTTGAATGTATTTTAAGTATGTTTATTTATTTATGATGTTTATTATGTTGTCATTTTAATCCAAACCATTTTAGGTGAATTTTGTATGTTTTGAGACACTGTGTAAGTGTTATGCCACCCCGCTACAGTATTGTGTCAAAGGCAACGAAAAATGTGAAATGTGAAAGGCAGAACTACTTAATGCCTTCTTTGCCTCAGTCTTCTCACAAAAAGAGTCATCTTCAACCTCAGCAAGGTGGAGTGGATGAGGGATTAGAGGGTTTTAACACTTCTTTAAACACTTCATAGTGTTGTTTTGTTAATTTTTGAAAGCGTGTTCTCCCTTTTAATTTAAAATGAATTAAACTCTGTAAATAAATTGTTTTCTAACATATATACGAAAAACGAAAAAAATGTTTTTGTGTGCCTTTAATCAGTACTGTGTGTTTAATAAAGCACAGTACAGATTAGAGGCTCCCATATTAGGAAGAAAGTAGAAATAAAATCACTATCACAATATAACAGAAATATGTAAAGCATGGTAGATCTTAAGCACAGGGTTCTGACATGTTACTGGCCTTGTTTTTGTAGAGAGAATTAATTTCTCAATCTACTGCTTCCAATTAATTGATTTCTATATCTGTCAAGATGTAATGTTTATGTATATAGTCATTTTGGTTGCTTGAAGAATTTATACAAATAAACTGCTGGCCTTTAGACAGACACTCTCTTGCTTCACTTCTTGTTCTTAGGTCAATTTTTCTTACAAGCTTTGCTTCTGTGATGTTTCCTACTCTCACATTCCAATTGCCTATGATTAACAAGACATTCATTTTGGGTCTCAATTTCCCCATGGACCCCAGCATATAACCAGAGGCGGCCCTAGGTAATTTTCAACGGTAAGCAAACAGTATGGTAAAAAAAAAAGTTGGGAACCACTGCTCCAGATAAAGAGGAGGATGAAAGATCAGTCACAAGTGTGCAGAAACCTGACTACCCGTGCGATGACTATGGAAATCCAAGCAGTCAGGTGAAACTGGAATTTGGGGCACAGAATGACAATCTCTGAGTTACAAACATCCAACTTACAAATGACTCATAGTTACAAACAGGGGTGAGACAACAGGAAGTGAGAGAAATCTACACCTTGGAAGAGAAATGCACTCCTGAAAGAGTTATCACAGGGAAAAGGTATCTCCACTGAAGCTTTATCACTGATCCTTATTTCCACAACAAGCCATTTTTTTCAGAATCCAGTTCTCACAGAGACAGAAAGTGAGGTGAAATCTTCGGAACAGGGGTGTTAATACTTCCCAATGCTATTCAAAGCGCTATATTACAAATTCGACTTAAGAACAAACCTACAGAACCTATCTTGTTTGTAACGAAGGAACCGCTGGCATGTGATTATCTAATAAGACAGGTCATAAATGTCATCAATGCTGGATTTAGGACAATGAGGCCCTGGTATCCGTAGGGATAATAATAATAATAATAATAATAATAATAATAATAATAATAATAACAATAACAACAACAACAACAACAACAACACTTTATTTGTACGCTACCATCTCCCCAAGGGACTCGGTGCGGCTTACATGAGGCCGAGCCTGAATACAACAATACAAGCAAAACAACAACAGTACAAGCAATTAAAATAAAACATAGACAATAAAATATACAACATTATCAATAAGACAACACGCAATTAAAAACAGTGGGAAGGCCAAATGTAAAGTTAAAATGGAAATAATGCTGGGACATGGACGAAAAGTGATAGTGGCATTTGTGGAAGGGCATACGATACCAAGGTGCTTGTTTATAAAGCTATTGTCCTCCCAACCCTGCTATACGCCTGCGAAACGTGGACTGTCTACAGATGTCACATGCAACTCCTAGAACGATTCCATCAGCGCTGCCTCTGGAAAATCCTGCAAATCTCTTGGGAAGACAAGCGGACAAATGTCAGTGTGCTGGAAGAAGCAAAGACCACCAGCATTGAAGTGATGGTCCTCTGCCATCAACTCTGCTGGACTGGCCACGTTGTCCGGATGCCCGACCATCTCCCAAAGCAGTTGCTCTACTCCGAACTCAAGAACGGAAAACGGAGTGTTGGTGGACAGGAAAAGAGATTTAAAGACGGGCTCAAAGCCAACCTTAAAAACTCTGGCATAGACACTGAGAACTGGGAAGCCCTGGCCCTTGAGCGCTCCAGTTGGAGGTCAGCTGTGACCAGCAATGCTGTAGAATTTGAAGAGGCACGAATGGAGGGCGAAAGAGAGAAACATGCCAAGAGGAAGGCGCATCAAGCCAACCCCTGACCGGAACCGTCTACCACCTGGAAACCAATGCCTACTGCGGGAGATGATGCAGATCAAGAATGGGACTCCACAGTCACCTACGGACATACCACTAGCACACTGATCTTGGAGTACCATCATCCTTGGACAACCCTTGCAGACGGCCAATTCTCTCACAACAGGAGCAATTCCTGACACGACAAAAAAAAAATCCATGGACAACGAAGGATCGACTAAGTAAGTAAGTCTTATCTGATGTCAATTTCTTATTTACTCTAAAATCATTTTGATTTTTGTCTCATGAATTTTAAACCCATTCCAATCACATCTAAAGCTCCATTCTGTAGTTATGACAACTGACCTCTAATGTCCCTCCATTTTAACTCTCCTCTTGTGGAAATAGGTCTTCTTAGAACCACAGCCTGTGATCCAAAAACACAGAAGAGTTTGCTTTACCCCAGAGGTTGAACTTAACAATAAACAGAACAGTGCGATTTTTTTTTCCAGAAGCACTCTATAAATAACACCCCTTCTCCTGAAATCTTTCTCTTTGTTTTATCCAGAAATGTCTGGCTGGTGAGATAGAAGAAAAGAGAAAACATACCAGCGAGAAGAAAGAGAATTTTCAGATTCGTGTTACCGTGGAACATCTTGCATCTTTTGCAGACAATGGAGAAAAACCAACTATTCTTAACAAATTATATTCAAGATGTGGACAACAAAAAGGAGAAGGTTCTTGCTTAATGTTGAGTTTCATGTGCAACGAGGAAATTGCAATTCATCCCTCAATGGGGAAACAGAAATTTTCCATTTCCTATTGCACATTTCAAAGGCGCTGCTTCAACAAATGCCAAATTTGGGGGATGTGGGGCGGGGTTGGCAACTTCAATCCAATCCAAAATTAGCGAATCTAAAGGAAAGTATACATGCTGACATATCATCTGTGTCTGTCTGCCCATCCAGCTTACTCTTTGGACTGAAACCACTGAGAAATCTAGGACTAGCTTGATTGCAGAGGACTTTCTGGGCCTAATTTGGACCCAGTTCTGGGGCAAAAGTGCATTTTCTTGGCACTCGTCAGTCATATAATTAAGCCAGAAAGGTGAGAAGGCAGTAGAGTTACTTATTTATGGCAACTTGCACTTATGATATCAGGGCCGTCGCTGGGTTATGTGTATTAATATTTCATTATGTGTATTAATACTTCATGATACCTTACAGGCTGCGGTACGAGATTACGCAAGAGTCAAGAAACACTTGTACATTGTGTACATATGATATCTGCTAAGAAAACCCCTCCTGATGGTGTATTTACATTAATAGGGACACACACAATGTCTTCTTTTGGCTGTTTAAGCTCTGGAAACTAAGTGTCCAAAAATCATCCCAACTTTCAATGAAACATAATAAATTGGTAACTGATTCCCAGATTCGCTGTATTGTGGTTATAATAAAAGAAAAATCCAATTTGCCAACATTTCTTTGAAAAGGCAGTAAGATTCTTCATTAATGACTTAGATGAAGGGCTAGAAGGCATGATCATCAAGTTTGCAGATGACACCAAACTGGGAGGGATAGCCAATACTCCAGAGGACAGGAGCAGGATTCAAAATGATCTTGACAGTTTAGAGAGATGGGCCAAAACTAACAAAATGAAGTTCAACAGTGACAAATGCAAGATACTCCACTTTGGCAGGAAAAACGAAATGCAAAGATACAGAATGGGGGATGCCTGGCTTGAGAGCAGTACGTGTGAAAAAGATCTTGGAGTCCTCGTGGACAACAAGTTAAACATGAGCCAACAATGTGATGTGGCAAAAAAAGCCAATGGGATTTTGGCCTGCATCAATAGGAGCATAGTGTCTAGATCTAGGGAAGTAATGCTACCCCTCTATTCTGCTTTGGTTAGACCACACCTGGAATATTGTGTCCAATTCTGGGCACCACAATTCAAGAGCAATATTGACAAGCTGGAATGTGTCCAGAGGAGGGCGACTAAAATGATCAAGGGGGTCTGGAGAAAAAGCCCTATGAGGAGCGGCTTAAGGAGCTGGGCATGTTTAGCCTGAAGAAGAGAAGGCTGAGAGGAGATATGATAGCCATGTATAAATATGTGAGAGGAAGCCACAGGGAGGAGGGAGCAAGCTTGTTTTCTGCTTCCGGAGACTAGGACAAAGAACAATGGCTTCAAACTACAAGAAAGGAGATTCCATCTGAACATGAGGAAGAACTTCCTGACTGTGAGAGCCGTTCAGCAGTGGAACTCTCTGCCCTGGAGTGTGGTGGAGGCTCCTTCTTTGGAAGCTTTTAAACAGAGGCTGGATGGCCATCTGTCAGGGGTGATTTGAATGCAATATTCCTGCTTCTTGACAGGGGGTTGGACTGGATGGCCCATGAGGTCTCTTCCAACTCTTTGATTCTATGATTCTAAGCCTGTGCTTCCCATTTTGGGATGTCCTGAGAAGATGCCTTTCTGTGGTTTGTTTAAAAATGCAAGCTCATAATTCCTGAAAGCTGCCAGTGATTTTACATGTGCTCCAATAAATTATGCTTCTTGGAAGAGGTTTGGACTGGATGGCCCATGAGATCTCTTCCAACTCTATGATTCTATGATTCTTCCAACTCTATGATTCTGTGTGACATGAGATGCATGCCCAGTGTGGAACACATCTCACCTTGCTAAAACAGTGGATGTGGTTCTTAATGAGACATGCCGCATTATCACGGGGTGTCTGCGCCCTACACCACTGGAGAAATTACACTGTTTAGCTGGTATTGCACCACCTGACATCCGCCGGGAAGTAGCAACCAATAGTGAAAGGACCAAGGCAGAGACATCTCCAGCTCATCCCCTGTTTGGGTATCAGCCAGCATGCCAACGACTTAAATCAAGAAAAAGTTTTCTAAGATCTACACTCGCTGGAACACCTCAGCAAGCGAGAGTCCAAAAGTGGCAGGCTCAAACCCAGAACCTCAACCAATGGCTGATACCAAATGAGAGACTCCCTCCTGGACACACAGAAGACTGGGTGACTTGTAAGGCGCTGAACAGACTGCGCTCTGGCACCACGAGATGCAGAGCCAACCTTTAGAAATGGGGCTACAAAGTGGAATCCTCGACATGCGAGTGTGGAGAGAGCAAACCACTGACCACCTGCTGCAATGCAACCTGAGCCCTGCCACATGCACAATGGAGGACCTTCTTGCAGCAACACCAGAGGCACTCCAGGTGGCCAGATACTGGTCAAAGGACATTTAATCAACTACCAAACTTCACAAATTTTGTATTTTGTCTGTTTGTTTGCTTTATTCTGTTTTTTTTTTTTTTTGTCGTGTCGGGAGCAACCGCTCCTGTTGTGAGAGAATTGGCCGTCTGCAAGGACATTGCCCAGGGGACGCCTGGATGATTTTTGATGTTTTATCATCCTTGTGGGAGGCTTCTCTCATGTCCCCGCATGAGGAGCTGGAGCTGATAGAGGGAGCTCATCCGCCTCTCCCCGGATTCGAACCTGCAACCTGTCAGTCTTCAGTCCTGCGCACAGGGGTTTAACCCACTGCACCAGTGGGGGCTCATGTAATATATTTGACTGGTTGCCCTGACATGACAAATAAATAAATAAGTCCCTAACATCCAGACTTATCATTTGTCATCTACTAGGCATAGAGCCTTCTCGATCGTGGCTCCTTATTTATGGAATGCCTTGCCGGTTGAAACTCGAACCATCCGAGACATACTTGCTTTTTGGAAAGTCTGTAAAACTTTTCTTTTCCGGCAAGCTTTTGATGGGTGAACAACCAGGGCTATGCCTGTTCTTGATGACTATTGTTATTGTTATTGTCATTTTAAATCTGTTTCTGTAAACCGCTCCGAGCCAAACTGGGAGCAGCGGTATACAAGTTGAATAAATAAATAAATAAATAATAATAATAATTATTATTATTATTATTATGAAAGCTGTAGTGAAACTGACCTTTTTGGCAGGAAGGCCGAAGCCTGGAAAGTCAGTAGCTGACATGTTCTGGGTTAGGCAAGAGAGCCAGAGGCAGGAGGGAGGAGTCAGCCGACTCCTGATTGGTTAGGACAGTCAGGGGTGGAGTTAGGATTTAGAGGGGGAAAAGGCTGGCTTATTTGACAAATAAGGAGAGTTGGAGTTTAGACATCGTGGAGTAAAGACGTATATTTTAGGAAGGGATAGCTGTGAATATCTTAGGCAGGGAGGGAAGACTTTTGTGTGAGCCTTGAGAAATTAGAGCAAGGGATAGGCAAAGGATCCTGGTTCACTGGTCAGAGTAGGGACAGTGAAAGGGAAGCCTGATTTGCTCTAGGAGGCAGTTTGTGTACTGTGCTCAAAGACACACTGTGTCAGTTAGAGATCAGTGTGGGGACAAGGAACTCACTGTGAAACAAGTCAAAGCCTTTAAGTAAGACTGCCTGTTTAAAACCAGCTAATCCTCAAGAACTGAACTGCATCAAGATTATTGTACCACTCTTTTAAGAGTTGATCTGTTTATCAAGTTTCAAAATAAACCTGTTTCTCATTTCACCTTCAAATTAGAGTCTGCCTCAGTCTATTACAACCTTTATAACTCAGCTAACTTAAAGAAGATTTCTTTCAGTCCAGTCAGCAAAAGTAGCAGTGGTTAAAGAAGAATAAAGAGCTTAAATATAACTTTTCCTATTTTTCACATTCACACATGTGGTTTTCCTCAGACCCATTTAAGTGAGGTGGTGGCAGTGATTTAACAAATACATCGGTCTACAACTACATCACAGTTGGTCATTTAAAAGATATAGTACTAATGTGGGATAAGAGTCTTTCCCCCTTGTTATAGTTAACAATCTTTATTCAAAGAAGTGTCCAGCTGAATAATAACCCTGTAACTGATAGTTCTTGTGGGTTTTTTCGGGCTATAGAGCCATGTTCTAGAGGCATTTCTCCTGACGTTTCGCCTGCATCTATGGCAAGCATCCTCAGAGGTAGTGAGGTCTGTTGGAATTAGGACAATGGGGTTATATATCTGTGGAATGGCTGGGGTGGGGCAAGGAGCTCTTCCCTGCTGGAGCTAGGTGTGAATGTTTCAACTGACCACCTTCATTAGCATTTGAAGGCCTGCCTGAGCCTGGGAAAATTTTTTGTTGAGAGGTGTTAAGATGTGCCTGGTTGTTTCCTCTCTGTTGTTTTGCTGTTGAAATTTTAGAGTTTTTTTTAATACTGGTAGCCAGATTTTGTTCATTTTCATGGTTTCCTTCCTTTTCGTTGAAATTGTCCACATGCTTGTGGATTTCAATGGCTTCTCTGTGTAGTCTGACATGGTGGTTGTTGGTGTGGTCCAGCATTTCTGTGTTCTCAAATAATATGCTGTGTCCAGGCTGGTTCATCAGGTGCTCTGCTATGGCTGACTTCTCTGGTTGACGTAGTTTGCAGTGCCTTTCATGTTCCTTGATTCGTGTTTGGGCGCTGCGTTTGGTGGTCCCTATGTAGACTTGTCCACAGCTGCATGGTATACGGTAGACTCCTGCAGAGGTGAGAGGATCCCTCTTGTCCTTTGCTGAACGTAGCAAGAAAATCCAACAAATGCTACTCTAAAATTACAACAGCAAAACAACAGAGAGGAAACAACCAGGCACATGTTAACACCTCTCAACAAAAGATTTTCCCAGGCTCAGCCAGGCCTTCAAATGCTAATGAAGGTGGTCAGTTGAAACATTCACACCTAGTTTCAGCAGAGAAGAGCTCTTTGCCCCACCCCAGCCATTCCACAGATATATAACCCATTCCTAGTTCTTACAGACCTCACTACCTCTGAGGATGCTTGCCATAGATGCAGGCGAAACTTCAGGAGAAATGCTCTAGAACATGGCTCTATAGCCCGAAAAAACCCACAAGAACCTAATTATTGTATTGTTTTTAAGTGTTTTTTGGCACTACAAATAAGATATGTGCAGTGTGCATAGGAATTCATTCATGTTGTGTTTTTTCAAATGATAATGCGGCCCTCCAACAGTTTGAGGGACTGTGACCTGGCCCTCTGTTTAAAAGGTTCAAAGACCCTGTTCCAGGACGAAGGTTCTTCCTTCCCTGAAGCCTCCCTCGGGCAGGACGGAGGGGCCACTCAGGAGGCCTTCCCCCAGCCAGGCGCCCTCCTCTCGCCTCAGAGGGCGGCGGGGCGGGCCTCCCCTTTTCCGGGGAAGGCAGGGCCTACAGGATGGCGGCGGCGGCGGCCTGGCTGCTGCTCCCCTTGGCCCTCCTCTTGGGGAGCCCGCCTGGGGAAACGGCGGCGGCGGCACCGGGCCTCCCTCAGGACGCAGAGTTCACCTTCTTGCTGCCGGCCGGGCGCCGCGAGTGCTTCTACCAGGCCGCGCCGGGCAACGGCTCCATGGAGGTCGAGTACCAGGTGAGGGAAGGAAAGGAAAGGCAGGCGCGGGAGGGAGGGAGGGAGGCCAAAGGCCGCCGCCTCCGCTCTCGGTATCCGCTGGGGTTGGCTCTCTCTCTCTCTCTCTCCTCTCCCCCCCCCCCCCAAAATCGTGGATACCAAAACCAAGGCCATTCTCCCTAGTGCCCTGGCCAAATAGGGAGGGACCTCTGATCTGAAATGACAAGGCTCGCATGTGCTGCTCTCTCGGAGCGCGTTAGGGTCGCCTTCCCTCTTTCTTTCCTTCCTCTTCCTTCCTTCCTTCTCTCTCTCTCTCCTTCTCTCTCTCTCTCCTTTCCTTCTCTCTTTCTCTCTTTCTTTCTCTCTTTCTTCTTCTTCTCTTTCTCTCTTCTCTCTCTTCTCTTTCTTCTCTTCTCTTTCTCTCTCTCTCTTTTTTCTTCTTTCTTCTCTCTCTCTCTTTTCCTTCTCTCCTTTCCTTTTCTTTCCCTCTTTCTCCTCTCTCCTCTCTTTCTTTCTCTCTCTTTCTCTCTCTCTTTCTCTTTCCTTCTCTTTCTCTTTCTCTTTCCTTCTCTCTCTTTCTTTCTCTCTCTTTCTCTCTCTCTTTCTCTTTCCTTCTCTTTCTCTTTCTCTTTCCTTCTCTCTCTCTCTTTCTCTTCCCTTCTCACTCTCCCTCTCTCTTTCTTTCTTTCCCTCTTTTTCTCTCTCTTTCTTTCTTTCTCTCTCTCTTTCTTTCTCCCTCTCTCGCTCTCTTCTTCTTTCTCTCTCTCTCTTCTCTCTCTCTCCTTCTCTCTCCTTCTCTTTCTTTTCTTCTCTCCTCTCCTCTCTTCTTTCTCTTTCCTTCTCACTCTCCCTCTCTCTTTTCTTTCTCTCTTTCTCTCTCTTTCCTTCTCTCTCTCTTTCTCTCTCCTTCTCTCTCTCTTTCTCTTCCTTCTCCTCTCCTCTCTCTCTTTCTTCTTTCCTCTCTTTCCTTCTCTCTCTCTCTCTTTTCTTTCCTCTCTCTCTCTCTTTCTTTCTCTCTTCCTCTCCTCTCTTCTTCTTCTCTCTCTCCTTCTCTCTCTCTCTCCTTCTCTCTCCCTTTCTCTTTCTTTCTCTCCCCTCTCTTTCTCTTTCCTTCTCACTCTCCCTCTTTCTTTCTTTTCCTCTCTTTCTCTCTCTTTCTCTTTCTCTCTCTTCTCTCTCTTTCTCTCTCTCTTTCTCTTTCCTTCTCTCTCTTTCTCTTTCCTTCTCTCTCTCTTTCTCTTTCCTTCTCACTCTCCCTCCCCCTCTTTCTTTCTTTCCCTCTTTCCTTCTCTCTCTCTTTCTTTCTCCCTCTCTCGCTCTCTTTCTTTCTCTCTTTCCTTCTCTCTCTCTTCTTCTTTCTCTCTCTCTTCTCTCTCTCTCTCCTTCTCTCTCCCTTTCTCTTTCTTTCTCTCTCCTCCTCTTTCTCTTCTTCTTTCCTTCTCTCTTCTTTCTCTCTTTCCTTCTCTCTTCCTTCTTCTCTCTCCTTCTCTCTCTTTCTCTTCCTCTCCTTTCTTTCTCTTTCTCTCTCTCTTTCTTTCTTTCTCTCTCTTTCTTTTTCTTCTCTTCCCATGCTTTGCTTTTCCTTTCTCTTCTGCTCCCTGCCTGCCTTCTTCCCTTCCCTTCCTTTACCTTTTCTTTTGCCCTTCCTTCCTTCATTCTTTCTCTTCCATGACTTTGCTTTTCCTTTCCTCTTCTCTTTCCTTAGAATAATAGAATCATAGAGTTGGAAGAGACCTCATGGGCCATCCAGTCCAACCCCCTGCCAAGAAGCAGGAACATTGCATTCAAACCACCCCCGACAGATGGCCATCCAGCCTCTGTTTAAAAGCTTCCAAAGAAGGAGCCTCCACCACACTCCGGGGCAGAGAGTTCCACTGCTGAACGGCTCTCACAGTCAGGAAGTTCTTCCTCATGTTCAGATGGAATCTCCTTTCTTGTAGTTTGAAGCCATTGTTCCATTGGGTTGTTGTAGGTTTTTTTGGGCTATATGGCCATGTTCTAGAGGCATTCTCTCCTGATGTTTCGCCTGCATGTATGGCAAGCATCCTCAGAGGTAGTGAGTGCCAGGCCATCAAATGCTAATCAAGGTAGTTAGTTGAAACATTCACATCTAGCTCCAACAGACAAGAGTTCTTTGCCCAACCCTGGTCATTCCACAGATATATAAACCCATTTTCCTAGTTCCAACAGACCTCACTACCTCTGAGGATGCTTGCCATAGATGCAGGCGAAACGTCAGGAGAGAATGCCTCTAGACCATGGCCATATAGCCCGAAAAAACCTACAACACAGTGATTCTGGTCATGAAAGCCTTCAACAATACATTGTTCCATTGCATCCTAGTCTCCAGGGAAGCAGAAAACAAGCCTTCTCCCTTCTCCCTATGACTTCCTCTCACTTATTTATACATGGCTATCATGTCTCCTCTCAGCCTTCTCTTCTGCAGGCTAAACATGCCCAGCTCTTTAAGCCGCTCCTCATAGGGCTTGTTCTCCAGACCCTTGATCATTTTAGTCGCCCTCCTCTGGACACATTCCAGCTTGTCAATATCTCTCTTCAATTGTGGTGCCCAGAATTGGACACAATATTCCAGGTTTGGTCTAACCAAAGCAGAATAGATTTACCTTTACCTAGAGTTGGAAGAGACCTTGTGGGCCATCCACTCCAATCCCCTGCCACGAAACAGGAAAATCACATTCAAAGCACCTTAGACAGATGGCCATCCACCCTCTGTTTAAAAACTTCCAAAGAAGGAGCCTCCACCACACTCCGGTGCAGAGAGTTCCACTGCTGAACGATTTTTGTTTCCATCAATGGTTTTTGTGTCCTCTAGGTTATTGGTGGAGCCGGGCTGGATGTGGATTTCTCCTTAGAAAGCCCTTCTGGGGCCTTGCTGGTCGATGAGTATCGGACATCGGACGGGGTGCACACGTGAGTCCGTCTCTCTCCCCCCCCCCCCCCGGGCTTGTGTCCCCAGGTCTGCAGGCCATTTCAGGCAAATAGTCGCACTTACAACTACAACAATAATAATACATTTTATTTATGACCCCCTCCCCTCTTAATGGCTCGAGACAGGGCACAACAAAGTCAAAAATCTACGAACATAAAATATATGCGATACATGGCATAGGTTAAAAAATAGAAATATTTTTGAAAACAACACAGATACAAAATTGACATACATTAGCAACAGAATGCATATCAAAACTTATGATTGAAAGTTGATTGGATTGGGCTGCCAGAATAGATGGGTTTTCAATTGCGTTTTAAATTACGAAACCTTGTGGATTGTGCCGGAGAGGTGATCCTATAGGTAAACTGGACACAAACCATGCAGGGCTTTAAAGGTCTAAACCAGGGGTCCTCAAACTTTTTAAACAGAGGGCTTGGCCACTCTGAGAATGAAATACTGTCTTGGATGAGAATTGGATCTGATACAGCAGAGTTCTTACATTTTAATGTTCTTATAGGTAGCTATAAGGGGCTTGACGAATGCAAGGCTGGGGTAAAAATTGCTGGAAGAAACATTAACAACCTTAGATATGCAGATGATACAACTTTAATGGCCGAAAGCGAGGAGGAACTGAGAAGTCTTCTAATCAAGGTGAAAGAAGAAAACGCAAAAGCTGGGTTGCATCTAAACATCAAAAAACAAGATTATGGCAACAAGAATGATTGATAACTGGGAAATAGAGGGAGAAAACGTGGAGGCAGTGACAGACTTTGTATTTCTAGGTGCAAAGATTACTGCAGATGCAGACTGCAGCCAGGAAATCAGAAGACGCTTACTTCTTGGGAGGAGAGCAATGACCAATCTTGAAAAAATAGTGAAGAGTAGAGACATCACAGTGGCAACAAAGATCTGCGTAGTTAAAGCAATGCTATTCCCCATAGTCACCTACGGATGTGAGAGCTGGAACTTAGGGAAGGCTGAGCGAAGGAAGATAAATGCTTTTTATTATTATTATTATTATTTAATGACCTGTGGTGTTGGAGGAAAGTCCTGAGAGTGCCTTGGACCGTGAGAAGATTCAACCAGTCCATACTTCAGGAAATAAAGCCTGACTGCTCATTGGAGGGAAGGATAGTAGAGGCCAGATGAAGTACTTTGGCCACATCATGAGAAGAAAGGAAGTCTTGGAGAAGACAATGATGCTGGGGAAAATGGAAGGAAAAAGGAAGAGGGGCCAAACAAGATGGATGGATGGCATCATTGAAGTGACTGGATTGGCCTTGAAGGAGCTGGGGGTAGTGACGGCCGACAGGGAGCTCTGACGTGGGCTGGACCATGAGGTCACAAAGAGTCAGAAGCAACTGAACGAATGAACAACAACATAGGTAGCTAATAAATGTAGTAAATGTAGTAATGCATTAGAATTGGCCATCTTGGTTGAGGTGAACAGAAATGGGTCTAAACTTGCCGGAATCAGGATCTCAAATAAATGTGATCATAAAAGGGAGTTTCAAAGAATTGACATTGTTGGAATCGGTGTGTCTTGTGCTCTTTGTGTTGTCTAATTGAGATGGAAATACACACTTTTTGTTATGCTGTCTTCTTCTCTGCAGCGTTGAACCGACAGAAAGTGGTGATTACAAGCTGTGCTTTGACAACTCCTTCAGTACCATCTCAGAGAAGTTGGTGTTCTTTGAGCTCATCTTTGACAGCCCCCAAGATGATGAAGACTTGAATCATTGGGCAGAAGTGGCTGAGCCAGAAGAAATGCTTGACATTAAGATAGAAGACATTAAGGTGGGCAAAGAGGCAAGGGGAAGGTGATTCATGCAGATTAGCACAACAAACTCCCCATGGAATTAGAGAGACTGCATTGGCTTTAGATAGGGAACAGAACCAGATACAGGCAGCCCCCAAGTTACAAACAAGATAGGTTCTGTAGGTTTGTTCTTAAGTTGAATTTGTATCTTAAGTTGGAACAGGTACATTTTTAGTGTAACTCCAGCTCTTGTCTGTCTGTCTGTCTGTCAGTCTATCTATCTATCTATCATCCATCCATCCATCCATCCATCCATCCATCCATCTATCTATCTATCTATCTGTCTGTTTTGAAAGCATAGGGAAGGGCTAACACCCCTGTCTGTGCCCCTGTTCAGAAGATTTCACCTCACTTTCTGTCCTTGTGAATTGGAGTTTTTAAAATGTGGCTTGTTGTGGAAACGGGGCTTGGTGAGAAACAAACTCCCATCTCACCATCAGTGATGCTTCCAGGGACTTGCCAAGGCAAAGCTGTCACAACCACACTGAATACTTAACTCAAGAGGAAGGTTATAGAAACGGTTTTGATTTCATTTTTGTTATATTTGTTTGGTGGTCAAGTAGCTATTTGTTAAGTCCTGATTTAATTTTCTTGACAAAAGATTCCAACTTGTGGGTGGTTGAATCTATGGATACAGGATCTGTGGATAAGGCTGGATGACTATAAATAAGTCAACAGGAAGTGAGACCTACCACATGCATCCTAGACCCCTGCCCGATAAAAGAAGCCAGAGGGGGTTTGGCAGAGTGGGTAAAGGTGGTGGTAAATGCCTCCTTACAGGAGGGAAAGTTTCCAGCGAGCTTAAAACAAGCTATTATAAAACCACTAAGTTCTTGTGGGTTTTTTTGGGCTGTATGGCCATGTTCTAGAGGCATTTCTCCTGACGTTTCGCCTGCATCTATGGCAAGCATCCTCAGAGGTGAGGTTTGTTGGAACTGGAAAAGGGGTTTATATATCTGTGGAATGACCAGGGTGAGACAAAGGACTTTTGTCAGTTGGGCTAGGTGTGAATCCTTCAACTGACCACCTTGATTAGCATACAATGGGCTGACTGTGCCTGGAGCAAACTCTTCTTGAAAGGTGATTAGATGTCCCTGCCTGTTTCCTCTCTGCTGTTTTTGCTGTTGCAATTTTAGAATTTTTTAATACTGGTAGCCAGATTTTGTTCATTTTCATGGTCTCCTCCTTTCTGTTGAAATTGTCCACATGCTTGTGGATTTCAATGGCTTCTCTGTGTAGTCTGACATGGTGGTTGGGAGTGGTCCAGCATTTTTGTGTTCTCAAATCAAATGCTGTGTCCAAGTTGGTTCATCAGGTGCTCTGCTATGGCTGATTTCTCTGGTTGGACTAGTTTGCAGTGCCTTTCATGTTCCTTGATGCGTGTCTGGGCGCTGCGTTTGGTGGTCCCTATGTAGACTTGTCCACAGCTGCATGATACACAGTAGACTCCTGCAGAAGTGAGAGGATCCCTCTTGTCCTTTGCTGAACGTAGCATTTGTTGGATTTTCTTAGTAGGTCTGTAGGTGTAGGTATTATAAAACCGCTGTTGAAAAAGCCATCATTGGACCCCACTTGATTAGACAACTTTCGGCCAGTTTCCAATCTCCCCTACTTGGGCAAAGTCATGGAACGTGTGGTGGCAACACAACTCCAGGGATTTCTGCTGGACACTGACTATCTAGATCCGGCACAGTCTGGCTTTAGGCTGGGACATGGAACTGAAACAGCCTTCGTCACCTTGGTAGATGATCTTCGCCGGAAGCTGGGCAGGGGGAGTGTGTCCCTGTTAGTTCTGCTGGACCTCTCAGCGGCTTTCGATACTGTCAACCACAGTATCCAGACGCCTCGCAGATATGGGACTTGGGGGTACTGCTTTGCAGTGGCTCCGGTCCTTTCTCGAGGGAGGGTCCCAGTAGGTGTTACTGGGTGACTCCTGTTCGGCCCCACAGCCTTTGTTGTGTGGAGTCCCACAGGGTTCAATTCTGTCCCCGATGTTGTTCAACATCTACATGAAGCCGCTGGGGGGGATCATCCGGAGTTTCGGAATGCGGTGTTATCTCTATGCAGATGATGTCCAAATCTGTCACTCCTTTCCTCCTGTCACTGAGGAGGCTGTCCAAACCTTGAACTGGTGCTTGGCCGCTGTGTCGGACTGGATGAGAGCTAACAAATTTGAATCCAGACAAGACAGAGGTCCTACTGGTCAGTCGTAAGGCCGAACAGGGCATAGGGTTACAGCCTGTGTTAGATGGGGTTACACTCCCCCTGAAGATGCAGGTTCGCAGCTTGGGAGTGATCCTGGACTCATCGCTGAGCCTGGAACCCCAGGTTTCGGCGGTGGCCGGGAGAGCTTTTGCACAATTAAAATTTGTGCGCCACTTGCGCCCGTACCTTGGGAAGTCTGATTTGGCCACAGTGGTCCACGCTCTTGTTACATTCCGAATAGATTACTGCAACGCGCTCTACATGGGGTTGCCTTTGAAAACTATTCGGAAACTTCAGTTAGTCCAACGGGCGGCAGCTAGATTAATCACCGGAGCATCATACAGGGAACATACCACCTCTCTGCTATGCCAGCTCCACTGGCTGCCGATCCAGTTCCGAGCACAATTCAAAGTTCTGGTTTTGACCTATAAAACCCTATACGGCTCCAGCCCAGCATACCTGTCCGAACGTATCTCCTTCTATGTCCCACCTCGGAATTTAAGATCTTCTGGGGAGACCCTGCTCTCGGCCCCGCCTCTATCACAAGTGAGGCTGGCGGGGACGAGGGACAGGGCCTTCTCAGTGGTGGCCCCTCGCCTGTGGAACTCACTCCCCGGGGAAATTAGGTCATCAACATCCCTCCTGTCCTTCAGAAGGAAGCTGAAAACATGGAAATGGACCAGGCCTTTGGGTAATCTGGCAAACTGTCAAGGTAATGACGACCAGAATTTGGAAAGGACTATGGAAATGCTGAATGGACTTATGGATTTTAGAACTCAATGAACGTTGGCTACTAGATTGGCTTTTAGTTGTTTTTATATTAATTGAATGTTTTAACTTGTGGTTATTGTTGTTATGTATTTTATCTGTTGAATTGTTGGCATCGAATTGTGCCGGTTGTAAGCCACCCTGAGTCCCCCCTTAGGGGGTTGAGAAGGGCAGGCCCTGAAATAAAATAAATAAATAAGTAGCTGTCAGCGCCTACTCTCTTCAAGGCCCCAGTAAGACCCAAGGTCTGTGCTGCGCTCCAGACAATGTAGGGGAGTCACACTCATCTTCATCAAAGGCCATGTCGGCCTTATGGTTGTCTTCAAAGGGCCATTGACTCCATCAGGCCCATAGGTGGGGGTGGGGGGGCTTGAGGGGTTTCAGCCCCCCCCCCCCAAATTCTCAGGGTGGTCCACGAGAAGGCCTTACTGGTACATTGTTTAAACTGTTATGTTTATTCATATCATGATCTTATCACCATGCTCAATATATCCCATATGCATGGGGGTATTGGGATAATGATACAAAAGGTTTGCTAGGGCAGATCCTGAGCCCCCCCCCCCCCCCCCCCCCCCCCCCCCGGAATCCTGGCTATGGGCCATTGACTCCATAAATGGAGAATCCATGAGTGCAGAGGGCCAACTACAATTTTGTTAATTAGTGGTTGGCTTTTTTAGTTTCTGTAGTTTTTACACAATTTGGGTGAGCAGATGTTAACAGCTCCCACAACTTTTGGTCATCTGCCTGGAAGACTGGGGATAGAGGAAATTACAACCCAACAGCACTTGTGGCTCTGAGGTCATTTCAAAGAGGTATCATATCCACAAGCCTTGTATCTAAATCCAAACTCCACTCTCCTGACAAGACAGAACAAATTGTAGCCTTACAGATGTTACTGTATCACAACTCTCATTGGCTCTAGTCATGATGTCTAATAAAGAATTCAGGAAGTGTAGTGCAGCAACATAAAATGACATGGATGGTATTTAGGCCACAGGCCTTAACACATGATGTAAGGCATCAGATGCCTAGAAGAGAGTAGGTGCTGACAGCTATTTCCTGTTGACTTATTTATAGTCATCCAGCCTTATCCACAGATTCTGTATCCATAGATTCAACCACCCACAAGTTGGAATATTTTAAAAAATCAGAAAGAAAAGTTAGATTTTGCCATTCTATCTAAGGGTCACTATTTTAGTACTCCAAAAATAGTGGAGTAACCTTTGGGATTCCTATGTAACAAATCCCAGTGTAACAAAGGCCCACCACATTTGATGTATATCATGCCTTTCTTCAAAAATGGGAGTCATAGTAAGACTGAGTTTGTGAAAAGATAGTTTAAAATATAAAACTATCCACACTCACATGTCGTGGATTCCACTTTGTGGCCCCATTTCTTAAGGTTGGCTCTGCATCTCGTGGTGCCAGAGCACAGTCTGTTCAGCGCCTTCCAAGTCGCCCAGTCTTCTGTTTGCCCAAGAGAGAGTCTCTCATTTGGTATCAGCCATTGATTGAGGTTCTGGGTTTGAGCCTGTCACTTTTGGACTCTCGCTTGCTGAGGTGTGTCTCTGTAGATCTAAGAAAACTATTTCTAGATTTAAGTCGTTGACGTGCTGGCTGATACCCAAACAGGGGATGAGCTGGAGATGTCTCTGACTTGGTCCTTTCACTATTGGCTGCTACTTCCCAGTGGATGTCAGGTGGTGCAATACCGGCTAAGCAGTGTAATTTCTCCAGTGGTGTAGGGTGCAGACACCCCGTGATAATGCAGCATGTCTCATTAAGAGCCACATCTACTGTTTTAGTGTGGTGAGATGTGTTCCATCTGGGCATGCGTACTCAGCAGCGTAGCATAGCGCAAGGGCAGATGTCTTCACTGTATCTGGTTGTGATCCCCAGGTTGTGCCAGTCAGCTTTCGTATGATATTGTTTCTAGCACCCACTTTTTGCTTGATGGATGGCTAGTTGAATTAATATAATAAACTATAGTTGCTGCCAGGCACCTCTTCTGTTTAGAGCTAGAAAAGAACAAAATAGTCTCTCTCTCTCTCTTTCCTAGAAGCCCTTGATTCCTCAGCATGAGTCCATGCCTCCCCACAGTGACACCAATAATCTCCACTGCCATTGTTTTCTTCCCACTATAGGAATCTATTGAAACGATGAAGAGCCGCCTCGAGCGAAGTATCCAGATGCAGGCACTGCTTCGTGCCTTTGAAGCACGAGATCGCAATTTGCAGGAGCACAACCTGAGCCGGGTCAACTTCTGGTCTGCTGTCAACCTCACTGTGCTGCTGCTGGTGTCCTTTCTCCAGGTGTATTTGTTGAAAAGCCTCTTCGAAGACAAGAGGAGGTTCTGGACGTAGCACAAAAAGAAACAACAGACTCCCCACCCCCCTTTATGCCTGTTGGGTCCAGGAATAGGGCCAGCATCCTTATTGCCAAAGCTTAGTACTGCCAGAATTAGCGATCGATTTGAGCTTGTTCCCTGCAGGAATTAGGGTTTCAAGAAATTAGGGTGGGGGGCATGAAATGTCCACATCTGGTGCAATGGCAGGGCAAAGCAACAGCATGTGGAAACTGAAAACCGGCAAGTGGGAGTTGGGGAGGTGGAGCTGTTGGGTTGAAACAGACATTAATAAGGACACCAACTTCAGTGCCACCTCCACTTGTTTCCCTTCTGTTGACAGTGAAGAGTGGACAATATCCTAAAGGATTATAGCTTGTCTCTGGGCCCTAATCTTGAATATTCTGCAACCGACCCGATCCATGTGTGCCTTAGCCAGAGGTGCTAGATTGACTGGAAGTAGGTATGACTGCTTCCTGCACTCAGTAGGTTTGTCATGCTTCCTCTCTGTTTTGACTTTCCTTGCCTTAAAGAGGTACCACAATATTTCAAAATGTTAATAAATCTCCCAGGGTAAGTTTGATAACGTTTGCTCGCCATGATTATCTTGGCATGAAAACACGAGGAATATGTGCAATTGCTGAAGGGATTGTGGAAAGAGCTTTGATTCCACTAATGTACGAGGGGTATTTTTTAAGTAAGGTCCATTTTGTTGTAGACACTAGTAGTTCGCGCGCATACCGCAACGAGCGCGTGCATTGTGCATGCCTCGGGAACAACTGTGCTCTGTTTCCGCTCTGTAGCTAACCTGTACGGTTCTATTCTGTGCTTTTAAAATGTTTAAGACTATCAACTCACCCGCCGCATGTGAGGTTCGCTCAGTGATACGGTTTTTGTCAGCAAGGAACCTGCCTGCTGCAGAAATTCATCGGCGGGTGAGTAGATAGTTTAAACATTTTAAAGCACAGAACAGAACCGTACAGGTTAGCTACAGAGCGGAAACTGAGCACAGTTGTTCCTGAGGCATGCCAGTACACAACGCACGCGCTCGTTGTGGTATGCGCGCGAACTACTAGTGTCTACAACAGAACGGACCTTATTTAAAAAATACCCCTCATAATAAAGATAAAGTCCTTTGGGTTATCCACCTTCCCCTTTCCAGTCTAGAATTCCTAATTCTATTTGGAAGGCACATTGAATGTGAAACATTTGCTCCCCTGAAAGGCAAGGAAGCCCCCCTTGCCTTTCAAGATCGCTTCTTGAGGGACTTTAAGTGTTGGAATTCAGTAGCAAATAGGCTATCTTTGGGCTGATGCTCATTGTTTATGAGTCACGGATACAGTCTGGTTGGTTCCATCTGTTTTTTTTTTCCCTTGAGTTAAGACTATGGTGCTTTGAATTATTTTATGGACCCTAGGATATGCGATCCCTTTTACATTACATAGGTACAAACAGTATGATTCACCTTTAACTGCAATGGCTGCTTCCTATGGGATCCTGGAGATTATGGTTTAGTCCAGTGGTTCTCAACCTGGGGTCCCCAGATGTTTTTGGCCTACAACTCCCAGAAATCCCAGCCAGTTTATCTGCTGTTAGGATTTCTGGGAGTTGAAGGCTAAAAACATCTGGGGACCCCAGGTTGAGAACCACTGGTTTAGCTGGAGGCACCTGAGGAAGAGCTCTTTTCCTTCAGCTGACATTCCCAGAGTTCCAGGGCCATGGAAGTGCAGCCATTGTGCTATAACTAGTGTGGAAAGGCCCAGGAATATTTCACTTGGTGAATATATATGATGGTAGCCGATCCCTTATCTTTATATATAATCAGAAGAAATTTGTGTTAAAAATAGAGGGTGGGGATTCAATCCCTATCACTCCTACTGTGCTCCTCCTGTAGCTGGCCCAATTCAAGAAATGAGGCAAGCTAGAAGTGTATTTGGGAGAAAGGTGGAGAGGTGTGTGAGCAAAGGAAAAAATTGAGCACTCCTTTGCATTTGACACATCACCACTCTCATTTACAGGGCAGATTTCCTATTGCTTCAGCCTTGATTTTTCCCTCTCGTTGGCAATGAATTGACTGAGCAGGAGTAGCTGGTGTCTTGTCCCAACAGCTATTTTTAATGTGCTGTTGCATTTCACTTTTTCCTATGTAGACATAGTATGAGGTTTACTTGTCTATAGCAATATGTGAGCCTAAGCTGGCTGTTCATGGTACTGTGCCTTCAGCTGATCAAACTCTCTGTAACCTCATCCCAGGTCAGCCGGTGGCCGGACAATGCAGTGTTGAAATATGGCTGGTGTAGTATTAATGGCAGAGACTGCCAACACTGACCCTTATGAGTGGATCTAAGAATGTGTGTAAGTCTATGTTTGTTCAATAAATTGTCTTTGAATTAGAGTATCTGCTGTCCTAAATCTGTTACAGGGTGTGGATGGCATAGCGTTCCCTTCAGTAAGAATTCATCCTCCTAGTGTACTAGGGTGGGAAACCTCTGCTGTGCCAGCTCCACTGGCTGTCGGTCTGCTACCGGGCATAATTCAAAGTGCTGGCTTTAGCCTATAAAGCCCTAAACGCTTCTAGTCTAGCTTACCTATCTGAACGTATCTCTCCTTATGAACCATCTAGGACAGGGGTCCTCAAACTTTTTAAACCGGGGGTCAGTTCACTATCCCTCAGACCGTTAGAGGGCCGGACTATAGTTTTTTTAAAAAAAATCAATAAAAAAATTCCTATGCACATTGCACATATCTTATTTTGCTATGTGGAAGGGCGCTTAGAGGGGGTTCTCTCTAACCCTCTTTAGGCAGTAATTCCAGGAGCAGGGAATGGGAAATCTTCCTATTTCTAGTCTGAACAAAATCTGGCTATCAGTATTAAAAAAAAACCTCTAAAATTATAACTAAATAAAGAACAACACTCAAACACAGGGGAACTCCAGACAAGAAACAATCAGGGCCAGCTAATCACCTCTCAACAAAGGATTCTCCCTAAAAACTGTCAGGCTATGAAATGGTAATCAATGTGGCCAATTGAAACATTCATACCTACCTCCAACAGACGAAGAGTTCTTTCTCCCACTCTGGATCTTCCACAATTTTTCTATTTAAAGGTTTTCCTCTGACATGAAGTCCAGTCGTGTCTGACTCTGGGGTGTGGTGCTCATCTGCATTTCTAAGTCCAAAAGCCGGCGTTGTCCGTAGACACCTCCAAGGTCATGTGGCCGACATGACTGCATAGAGCGCCGGGGCAGCCTCCCGATGGGCAGCGTGAGCCTGCCAAGGGAGGGGCAGCCCCACACGGCCTACTCGTGCGTAAAGCACCTTGCGAGGTGCTTTACGGGCAAGTAGGCCGCGCGGAGCAGCTGCCCTTGGCTGGCTCACGTTGCCCATCGGGCCTGACGGATAACGTGAGCCAGCCAAGGGAGGGGCACTGTGTGTGGGGGTTGCTCCTCCTCCGCGGGCCGGATAAGTGCCCTTGGCGGGCCGGAAGTGGCCCGCGGGCCGTAGTTTGAGGACCCCTGATCTAGGACCTTAAAGATCGTCTGGGGAGGCCCTGGTCTTGATCCCGCCTTCCTCACAGATGCGTTTGGCGGGGACGAGACAGGGCCTTCTCAGTGGTGGCCCCTCGGCTATGGAACACTCTCCCCAGGGATATAAGATTGGCTCCCTCCCTTCTGTTGTTCATTCGTTCAGTCATTTCCGACTCTTCGTGACTTCATGGACCAGTCCACGCCAGAGCTCTCTGTCGGTCGTCACCACGCCCAGCTCCTTCAAGGTCAATCCAGTCACTTCAAGGATACCATCCATCCATCTTGCCCTTGGTCTCCCTTCTAACATTCTGCAAAATGCTTAAGACCTGGCTCTTCGAGCAAGCTTTTTCTACTGGAGCATAATTAGACGTAAACTAATATATGGAATGACTGACAATGCAACTGGACAATGATTTTAGTAAGGAGATGCCGAGGATCTTGTTTTTTTAGATATATTTGATTTGTATATTCCATTTTAAATGTTGAATTGTTTTTATAATTGTTTTAACTGTATTTTGATATTTGTTATGGCATCAAATTGCTACTTTAATGTTCTGCTGATGTTGTTAAGAGTGTTGTTGAGGTTCTTTGTCAACAGGGGGCGGACTAAAAGATCTTGGAACGTACTGATGGTTCTAATGTTTAAGCTTAGGAGATATGGCTTCATATCAATTCTTTGGGATCATGGGGTCCATAAAAGTGATGATTATGCGAGTGGTGTTGAATGTATTATATGCCACTCCATCAATTTAATATCACTTGTCCTCAGCAAAAGCTGTAATAGTTTATTTATTTATTTACAGCTTTTATATTCTGCCCTTCTCACCCTGCAGGGGACTCAGGGCAGATTACAGTGTACACACATATGGCAAATATTCAATGCCAATTTTTGACATACAAACATATACAGACATACACAGTGGCTATTTAACTTTTTTCTAGCCTTCCCTTGCTACGCGTTGCTGTGGCCCACATGGGGGTTCTGTGTGGGAGGTTTGGCCCAATTCTATCATTGGTGGGGTTCAGAATGCTCTGTTATTGTAGGTAAACTATAAATCCCAGCAACTGCAATTCCCAAATATCAAGGTCTATTTTCCCCAAACTCCACCAATGTTCATATTTGGGCATATTGAATATTTGTGCCAAGTTTGGTCCATATCCATCACTGAGTGCACCGTGCTCTCTGGATGTAGGTGAACTACAACTCCAAAACTCAAGGTCAATGCCCACCAAATCCTTCCAGTATTTTCTGTTGGTCATGGGAGAACTGTGTGCCAAGTTTGGTTCAATTCCATCGTTGGTGGGTTCAGAATGCTCTTTGATTGTAAGTGAACTATAAATCCCAGCAACTACAACTCCCAATTGACAAAATCAAATTTTTTGAGTGAAGGACATACATTGGGTTGTTAGGTGTCTTACGTCCAAATTTGGTGTCAATTTGTTCAGTGGTTTTTGAGTTGTGTTAATCCCACAAACGAACATTACATTTCTATTTATATAGATAAATACATTGTGTGTTTAGAACTGGGTCCCATCTCCAAGATATCTAATTATGTATACATATGCAAATACAGGTATTCCAATATCTAAAAAACTAAAAATCCCAAACAATTCTTGTTCTAAGCATTTTGGATAAGGGATACTCAACCTGTTTTACCTGTGACAGATGTCATTATTGAAGGGACACAGTAAATGTAATAGAATCATAGAATCAAAGAGTTGGAAGAGACCTCATGGACCATCCAGTTTAACCCCCTGCCAAGAAGCAGGAATATTGCATTCAAATCACCCCTGACAGATGGACATCCAGCCTCTGTTTAAAAGCTTCCAAAGAAGGAGCCTCCACCACACTCCGGGGCAGAGAGTTCCACTGCTGAACGGCTCTCAGTCAGGAAGTTCTTCCTAATGTTCAGATGGAATCTCCTTTCTTGTAGTTTGAAGCCATTGTTCCGCGTCCTAGTCTCCAAGGAAGCAGAAAACAAGCTTGCTCCCTCCTCCCTGTGGCTTCCTCTCACATATTTATACATGGCTATCATATCTCCTCTCAGCCTTCTCTTCTTCAGGCTAAACATGCCCAGCTCCTTAAGCCGCTCCTCATAGGGCTTGTTCTCCAGACCCTTGATCATTTTAGTCGCCCTCCTCTGGACACATTCCATCTTGTCCTCTCTCAAACAAATTATCCAGTGGAATGCCAGCAAGATACAAAAAAAACCAACACCACAAGCTGCCAGAGACCTTCCACCAGCAGAATTTCCCTTTATTTTAGTTTATTAATAAGATACATAATGGAGGCACTTATCTCAAACTTCTGGGAGCTTTTCTCATCTAAGACGAGTGAGAGAAAGTCTCATAGCCCCTTCACACATGGTAACAGGAAGAATCAAGAGGAAGCAAATCGGAACAAATGAAGTCCATGTTACCAAGCAAATGCCAGCTTTCAGAGAAGTGATGGGCACAAGTGGCAGGAGGTCACAAAATGCATTGGAAGACGGGTCAAAGTTCTTGCTAGTGACTTTGGAGGCAGAGGGACATTTGCAGGAAGGCAACATTGGTTATTAGGGCAGACGGTATAGAATTCAAGCAGTAAAGGCACAAAGGTAGCACTGTTTGTGGAAGGTTCATATCCTCCAGGACATGAAACAAGCAACTACTGCTCCAGCTCAGGTAGAAAGGGAAGAGGCCACTGGAAGAAAACATTTAAGGCAGATGGTGTGTGTTATTGTTCCTTACATCTTGTCTCAGGAAGGGCTGAGGAATCCCTGATAGGCTTGTGCATGGGGGGCCATTTTTAAAAAATCTAGAGTTTATACAAGTATTAATACAGTCTGACTTTATGAAAAAAAAATATATACAACCACAGCCCAGGGAGGGCAGAGTGCTTTACTAATCCTGCTGAGAAGGTTCCAGTGTTGCTTCATGAACCATTGGGGAAAGGAATGGCTCCACAGATAGGACAGCCATTGCTGAGATCTCTTCTCAGAGAAGCAGAGCTTATATTAGGCAGTGGTCCTTCCAGCACTACAGTCCCACAATGTGTTTCTGAACATAGTTTGCCATGAAAAACCTTCCTTGCCCTAAAGACAGAGACAAGCTGCACTGCCAAGGATCTAAAAAATGAATTAACTGTATGGGATAAAGTCACTCTTCTGGATAGATTGGGGGGGGGGGGGGGAGATTTCCACAGAAAGAAATCAGGCTGAAGAGGATAATAATCTGATAAAACCCCTGACAACCTGCACCACTTCTCCACATGGGGCTGGGAACCTAACAATTAGTTATAGTGAATCAGGGCATGCTGGCATTACCAAATAAATGATTGACGTTCCTGCCATTGGCTATCAGGATGTTTCTCTCACATAAAACGGGAAGCCTCGCCAATCATTTTTTATCCATGCCAAAATTGGAACGTTGAGTTCAATGCCATTGCTTCTGTTTAAAGCACAAGCACAAGCACAAGCACTGGCAGCAGAGAGGATAACCTGGCGTGAGCATTAAACCTGAGACCCAAAAGCAACCCAATGCCTTCCTTGTTCCATTTATTTTGCTTGATACAGTCTGACTCCAGTTCAGTGAATTGGGTTTATGAGCAATGTGCTCTCTGTAGTCTGATCATTTTTCCCCTCTCCTTCTAATATATATAACGGAAATCGAGTGATAAATTCTGTGCTGAAATTTAAAGGGGGGGGGAGTTAAGGCAATCTAAGGGGGAGAATTTTTTTAATATATATATATATATATCTTATAGTACAAAGAAACCCATTGCAGGATGGGTGGGGCACAGGAAGTGGACAAGTTCTATGAACATGAATGGCAAAAGGAGATTCAATGTGCTGAATGCACAACTACAGGTGGAAACGCAAACTTTCCACTAGTACACATTCCCAGGTAATCCCTTGGCAATCACTCAATTCAGGGTTTCATTTCATATTTTCAACAAAGTGCAAAACAACTCCACAAAACAGAATCCTCCACGTTCCCATGTGGAACGGGTCTGGTGTGGTCACTGCAAGGAGGATGAGGAAACAAGCTCCCCTTCTGTCTAGAGAAGGATCTGATCCCCAAATCGCTCCCAAGCCAAGACCCAGGACAAAGAGAGGGAACTACTACAAGGAATGCTTGGCCTCTCAGAGCTATTTACAGGTCACTGTCCCACAGCACCCATCCCATTGTGACTTCTGCCGTGGTCGGCTATGGTAGCAGGGGGAGGAGGGGGAAGAGGAAGAGGAAGAGGAAGAGGAGATGGGGAAATGGGCCTTGGCTACAGCTGATCAGTTGCAAAGAGCAGTTTTACATGAGATTAGGCATGAGTTTTGTCCACAAGATAGTTAACAAGCAATCATCCCTGCTCAGGGTAGTGGTCATGGTTAATCTAATAAGGAGGGCTCAGCTGGTCTGATAATGGTGGGCCGGTTCGGAGCTGCTGGGGGTCTTCTGCTGCAGAAAGGAAAAAAAAAAAGAAATAGTGAGCTGTGAAGAGTAGGAAGGGGGGAATCACAAAATATTAGTAGGTAAAGCCAATGCTCAGAACCCAAGCCAGTTTGAGCTAGGGATCTTCTCTGTCCTGAAAGACAAACAGCCACACCTTGGGGCATATTTTGCCAATAAGGGATGACTACAAGAATGTTTCCATTTACTGGAAAAAATCTGGAGCTTTGACACCTTGTAGGAGATAATCAGCTCTAGCTGGAGCCCCCGGTGGCACAGTGGGTTAAACCCCTGTGCCGGCAAGACTGAAGGTCGCAGGTTCGAATCCGGGAAGAGGCGGATGAGCTCCCTCTATCAGCTCCAGCTCCTCATGCGGGGACATGAGAGAAGCCTCCCACAAGGATGATAAAAAAATATCAAATCATCCAGGCGTCCCCTGGGCAACGTCCTTGCAGACGGCCAATTCTCTCACACCAGGAGTGACTTGCAGTCACTCCTGACACGACACAAACAAAATCAGCTCTAGCTTATTTCTCTATACATGCTCTAGTCAAGCAGCAGGGAGCCTAGGCAAGGGAGTGCTTGTTCAGGGCCACTTGACAGACCTTGTGATAATTTATAAAAACACACTGAGAGTTGTCGAAGGCTTTCATGGCCGGAATCACTGGGTTGTTGTAGGTTTTTTCGGGCTATATGGCCATGTTCTAGAGGCATTCTCTCCTGACATTTCGCCTGCATCTATGGCAAGCATCCTCAGAGGTAGTGAGGTCTGTTGGAATTAGGAAAAAAGGTTTGGGCGCTGCGTTTGGTGTTCCCTATGTGGACTTGTCCAAAGCTGCATGGTATAAGGTAGACTCCTGCAGACGTGAGAAGATCACTCTTATACTTTGCTGAACGTAGCATTTGTTGGATTTTCTTGGTGGGTCTGTAGATAGTCTGTATGTTGTGTTTCCTCATCAGCTTCCCTATGAGGTCAGGGGTTCCCTTGATGTATGGCAAGAACACTTTTCCTCTGGGTGGATCTTTGTCTTGACTCTCGTGGCTTGTTCTCGGTTTTGCAGCTCTTCTGATGTCTGACGTGGAGTATCCATTGGCCTGTAGAGCCTGTAGAGCAGCTGTGGACAAGCCTACATAGGGACCACCAAACGCAGCATTGCCCAAACACAAATCAAAGAACATGAAAGGCACTGCAGACTACTTCAACCAGAGAAGTCAGCCATAGCAGAGCACCTGATGAACCAACCTGGACACAGCGTATTATTTGAGAACACAGAAATGCTGGACCACTCTCACAACCACCATGTCAGACTACATAGAGAAGCCATTGAAATCCACAAGCATGTGGACAATTTCAACAGAAAGGAGGAAACCATGAAAATGAACAAAATCTGGCTACCAGTATTAAAAAACTCTAAAATTACAACAGCAAAACAGCAGAGAGGAAACAATCAGGCACATGTAATCATCTCTCAACAAAAGATTGCTCCAGGCACTGCCAGGCCATCAAATGCTAATCTAGGTGGTCAGTTGAAACATTCACACCTAGCTCCAACAGACAGGAGTCCTTTGTCCCACCCTGGTCATTCCACAGATATATAAACCCTTTTTCCTAGTTCCAACAGACCTCACTAACTCCGAGGATGCTTGCCATAGATGCAGGCGAAACGTCAGGAGAGGATGCCTCTAGAACATGGCCATTTAGCCCGAAAAAACCTACAGCAACCCACACTGAGAGTTGTGTTCAAACTCTCATCCTGCTTTCCCCCATTGTCATGTGAATAGGTGAATCCTACAAAGGTCTGCTGCAATCAATATTCTCAAGAGTAGGGCACAAATCACACAAGTTAATTAAGAAATACAGCCATATTTGTGGCTTTAACCTTCCTGGGTTTGATGATTCACACATTTTTTGCTACACCTCCACTGGTGCCATCTTAAAGGTAACACTAGTGTCCAGGTTGAGCTGTGTGTTATCAGGCAAAAATCAAACTGATTGTATGGCTGGGCCTGGCCATGGACATGATCCCATTTACTTGCTTAGGAGGGTGGGGGGAAAGGGGATGAGAGGGGGAAACACAAGGAAGGAGATTGTGTGTGCACTCACTTGCACAGTCGCTAACTTGGGTGGCAGTCAGGGAAGTGTAAGAAGGAAGGCTGATGATGCACAGGTTTCTAGGGAGGATTGAGGGCAAGGGATGGGGAGAGGGAAGGAACAAGGAGCCGGGTCAGGGTGGCAGTGGGAAGAGGCTGCAGCAGTTACTCTTACAGCGGTACCCATGTACTAATGCCATCCCATCTCGTGGTCCATTCATCCCATGCATGCATCCTCCCTCCCTGCGCTCCCTCTATCTCATCCCCTTCACTGTTGAACAAGTGAATATGTGATGTAATGTGTGCAAGGCTAGGCCCAGCCACCTTGCCAGTACAGGTATCTTTTTGTGTGATTTAAATATAGTTTGAGTGGTCAAAGATATATTTTTCAAATACATTTTCAAAAGATTCCTTCGCCAAAGTAGGGGGCCAACCTCACCTTTGCAAAATGGTAATTTGAATTTTGAAGAAAAAAATCCCCACTATATTACATACATTTGCATAGGTCTGTTTTAAATTAACTGGGGTAACCTATTCTGCTGATTTTATGCAAATGGCTATCTAAGGGTCAACAGAGCTATTTCAGTTGAGACCAGCAACTACGGTTAAAATCCAGTGCCTGATGACTGGATTTTTATCAGCAACCACATACTGATAATTCAATGGATGCTGAACACATATTTTTTAAGGATACCTCGGCATCACAACAATTAGAAACTTATATTGCAACTCTGAAAGCTGTAATTCAGAGAACTACATTTTATGACTCCTCTGCCATATTCTGCACCTTCTTCACATTTGTGCAGAATGGTGGTCCCTCTTTGTCCTACACATGAGAATGCTTCCAGAACAAATTTTGGCCCCCTGCTAACATTTTGATAAGATGAACCATGGCAGACTTGCTCAACTTGCAACCTTACAATGCCTCAGGCTGTAGGGAGAGATAGGTAACTAATTTATTATTATTATTATTATTATTATTATTATTATTATTGTTATTGTTATTGTTATTGTTATTGTTATTATTATATACTACTACTACTATTACTATTATCACTATGATGACTACTAGACTGCAGTTCATGTTCTCCCCAGCCAGGATGACTACATTTGGCCAAAATGATGAAAACTGCCGTCTGGATGGCGTGAAGCTGAAGAACTAGGAAAACAGCTTCACAGGAGCCATGACAAAATATGTGTGTGTTGATTGGACAGTATGGTAAACATGGCAGCTAAAAAAACATGTGAGGGGAGCATTGGGGCACTTTACAATAACTACAAAAAGTTTAGCTAACATCAAATTCCTGGAACAACTATTAGCTAGAATGAATCTGCAGGCTGGTTGCCTATTCACATAATTTCTTTTCATCAAGGAGAAGTACAAAGCACACGGAGGCCCTGTGCTTGACCACATTCTTGGCTTCTTGAATATCACCAGCCTTTTCCTACATATTTTCAGCTTCTTTCTGCAGACCTAAGAGACACATGTTTAAAATTAAAGTTGTAACACCTAGGCAACTAAAAACTACACCCTGCATATTCACGTTTTCTTTTTCTTTTTGCAAACCATTTTTCTGGCACTGATGTCTCTGAATTTAGAAATAATTCCTATGGTACCCCATACTAAGTTCTAATAAGTTTCGAAATGGAGATATTTTTTCTCTAGCCTGAAAATGATTTCTCTCTCTCAAAAAAAGAATCTGCTGTTTGTAAAGGGTGGTACTTCAAGAGCGGTGAACAAAAATGTAGAATGTTACATCTGATTCTCTTTGAATATATTCTGCCTATTCTAATGAAGCTGCACCAAATACATGTTGCATATGCTTTTCCCCAGTTTTCAGTTATGAATTCTCTTATATTCCCCTTTATTTCTAATGGGGACATTGTTATACAGAAAAAAAGATAAGAAAGACACGTAAGTTTGGAGGTCAACTGACATGGTGTTTCCTGTTGCTTTGCAAAGCCAAGAGGAATGCTGTGGAAAGTGAGGAACCTGAACTGGCCTCTACCTGGGCACGCCTGGAGGGACGCCGGGTGGAACGCGCGCTGGCCGTGAAGGGATCTGAGGAGGGGCTGCAAAGGGGTCATTATTAGCCACAAATGCACTCTGAGGCCCAGGGCGTGAAGGAATGGGTGGTGCCACAAAAGAGGAAGGGCCTGATGACAGTACAGGGAGCAAGGGAGGGCCTGGCATGGGGCCCCTCACAGCTGGAGGTCTCCCTGGTGGAAGCACAGTAGACGCCGGCCTGCGTTGTGGCGTTGGGCTGCAAAAGAAAGGAAGGAGGACAATTAGAATCAATAAAACAGGCTGCTACGGGTTAACATAGCAGGATCATAAACTCAACCAGAAGTCCAATGGCAAAATGTAAACTGTGTGCCACTGTTTCTAGAGCCAATCAATGTGATCTAAAAATCCTATTGAATTGAAGAATTTAAAAACTACCAAGAAACTCAACCTAGATCAGTGGTTCTCAACCTTTCTAACACCGGGACCCCTAAATATGGTTCCTCATGTTGTGGTGACCCCTAACCTCGCCTGCCTCGTGCTCTCAGATGGCAAGAGCGCGAGGCAAGCGAGGCCGGCTTTGCACGAGGCCAGGCCTCGTGCAGAGGACCCCTCGCCTGCCCCGCGCCCTTGCTGGATGACTAGAGTGCGAGGCAGGCAAAGCAGGCTTTGCACAAGGCCAGGCTTTGCGCGAAGGAACCCTTGCTTGGCCCATGCCCTTGGGGCGGGGCCAACAGAGGTGGCCTCGTAACCCCTCCCAAATGGCCAGGCAACCCCCCAGGTTGAGAACCACTGACCTAGATCATTCAGTGCTGAAATGGTATGGGGTGTTGTTTTAATGAAAAGCTTCTGAAACGTTCCATGTGCAACCACTTTCCAACTGGGAAATGTTTACATGACTCCAGATATATACATATATAAATTAGATATAAAAATCAAACATTTACTGGTCACAAATCCGCATTTGCAAGTCTTGCTAAACAGACTGTTTTTTCTTTCTATGACGTAGAGCTGATGCATTTTTTGCAGAGTCCACTGTAAACACTGTATGTTGTTGCTAACAGATCTGTGGAAATATCTAAAACAGTCACTAGGGTCATACTCAGAGAAAAAGTTTTGTGTCTCCAACATTGAGTTAAGGGTTGGGACCCACAGTTTAAGAAGCAATGGTCTAATTTAGTCTCCAAATATCTTGCTGCAGGTCTGCGAAAGAGAAGTTTCTGCCCATGTCATTTTCACTTTGATTTGACCCTTGCACCTTCTGGCCTTGCTGGTTCCCCCCACAACTTAACTAATATTTACCTCAGATCCAGATTAACAATTCACTGCAACTCACCTATGCCCACTGCCCCCTGCCTGGAGCCATGTGTCATCCACAGGAGGAGGGACTGGTGTGGAAACCGTGCTGGTACTGATGTCTCCAATTATGTGTAAGGCTTCCTTCAGGGCATGGTACATTCGCAACATGTCATCCCTGCGTTGGGCCTGGTCCGCAGACTCCTCCATCAAGCTGTTTTGGTCTGCGGAGGAGTACAGGTAGGCCAGCAGTTCTGAGTGGATGAAATCCTTGGTCTGTGGGGATGGAGGAAGGCAAATAACACAAAAGAGACAATGTTTTCTGCATGCATTGGATCAGATGTGATGACTGAAATTGTGTTCCAGTCTCAAGTAGAGAAAACTCACTGAATCTATGCCTCATTGATGAATTAACATGTGTGAAAAATCCTATTGATATAATGAATCTACTCTACTTGGAATTTCTGATTGGCTTCAGGCTGGATGGCCATCTGTCAGGGGTGCTTTGAATGCAATATTTCTGCTTCTTGGCACGGGGTTGGACTGGATGGCTCATGAGGCCTCTTCCAACTCTATGATTCTATGATCAGCATTGGATTTTTATGAATGAGAGTCACCATAGACTGTGACTTTGGATTAACATGCAGGATATGTATATATCATTCATTTACTAATTATAATTCAACCTCTTCCAAGGATTATTTTTAAACAAATAAAAGTGATGTATGAGTAATATTTAACTCAGATTTTTAACTTTGACAGGGGGAAATACTGAAGCAAAATTCCTTCACATTTTGTGGCAGTTCCTTTTAATTAAGAATTCTGAAAAAAGTTACCTGCTGGCACATGGAATATTAAAACATTTTTGGCTCAACTTGGTGAAAATATTGTCATGAAAAAGCCTCAGGAGCAGAATTAACAACACCTCATGATAGAATCATAGAATCAAAGAGTTGGAAGAGACCTCCTGGGCCATCCAGTCCAACCCCCTGCCAAGAAGCAGGAATATTGCATTCAAATCACCCCTGACAGATGACCATCCAGCCTCTGTTTAAAAGCTTCCAAAGAAGGAGCCTCCACCACTCTCCGGGGTAGAGAGTTCCACTGCTGAACAGCTCTCACAGTCAGGAAGTTATTCCTCATGTTCAGATGGAATCTCCTTTCTTGTAGTTTGATGCCATTGTTCCGCATCCTAGTCTCCAAGGAAGCAGAAAACAAGCTTGTTCCCTCCTCCCTGTGGCTTCCTCTCACATATTTATACATGGCTATCATATCTCCTCTCAGCCTTCTCTTCTTCAGGCTAAACATGCCCAGCTCCTTAAGCCGCTACTCATAGGGCTCATTCTCCAGACCCCTGATACGCTCACTTTAAGGCTGTCTTAGAATCATTATAAGGTGGAAATGATTTGAAGGCAACACAAAAACATGTTTTTATGAACATAAACAAGACACATGTATGACACCTATTTTCCTGAGGAAAAAAAACTTGAGGGGGAAACGAAAGTCAGCAACACTACAAAATATCTTTAAAACTTATGCAAAAAAAAAATTCCACACATTCCATGCCTATTAAAACTTTTAGCAAAATGTCTTCACAAAGAGCTGAGTTTTACTTATGTGTCACATAAACAGTACTATGTTAGGAGTTTGATGAAGGAAATGTCTGGTCAGGTGGAATTGGAGGCCCATTGACACTACTGATAATGTCACAGGGCCACATTATCTGAAACATGGCTGATAGGTAGCCAAAAACTAAGGAGGGAGGAAATTTGAGAACCTTCAAAGGTTTGTACAACTCCTAGAAACTTCCAGGAGAATCATTCTGACCAATTCCACCCATCAGAATTGAGATAAGTCAGAGGTAGAAGGGGGTGGGATGGATGGGGGAGTCTTCAGAGCTTGCAAAAGAGTGTTGTATGTCACATCTCTGCTTCAGTTTGAAAATTTCTCATTCAGATCTTGAGGCAGCATGCTGAGGCTTGTGAGGCTTGGGAAATGGATTCAAGCAAATCAGAGAATTCACTGTTAAGGCCAGGTGTATGTGTGTATATTCTAAAGTGTTCATTCTTGGCATCCTAAACTGATAGCATATTACAATAAAAAGACATTAGCAGCACCAAATGTGACAAATGGGATGCAAAACTACTTTGTGTTTCCTAATCTCCAGGGAACTCAGTCTAACCAGTCTTGCACATTCTGGTGGGGATATGCACAGGATTTCAGAAAAGTCGTAGAAACACAAGAATTACTGTCAGCAAGAAATTGCTTGAAATACAAAGACAGTAGCTAAAAGATAAGGCTGAAACTGATGGACAATGTTAGTTGTGGGTGGAACACTCTGCTTCACTTCTGTAAGGGAACAAAAACACCTCAGTACGCACATTGTTTATCATTAGGTGCATTATTGTCTTTGGCATCAGGTCCCGGATAGACTTGTTGATGATACCAACATATGAGTCAACAAGATTGCGGATAGTTTCCACTTGTCGCTCCAGCTGAGGATCCATGGAAAAGGTGTTCTCCTGAGCCCCTTCCTCATTCTCTACCTGCCCAGAAGAAGAAAAATAGATATTGTTGGAATGATCATTAAATCTTTCCGTCTTTAATTTTCAAATTAAAGTTACAGTGAAATGAATAAAGTGTAGTAGTAGCCATTTTGGCAGAAGCCCCACCCCTCTCCCCCACTGATATAAACAGGAGGGTCCTACCAAAAACCCAGTTCCAAACAGCAGCCAAAGTCACTAGAGTGCCAGAATCCCAAGAGAGATGACAATTCAAAGAAACACAGTTACAGATAAGCAACCTGTCCTTTTTTGAGGTTCTGTGAATTGCATAAATGGGTGATGAAAAAGCCACTACCGTTAGGGGGTGGGTGTCATGACACACAGTAAAGGATGTATATTCTTTATTGTGTGTCACAAAAGCAGTATCCCACTCAGACCTTGTGTCCACTCTGTAGTGGGAAAGAAGGTGAGGGATGTCACCAATGTAGCAGCCCTACATATGACATTCAGGAGAACTCCTTTCAAGGAGAGAGCATATGCCACCAGTGCACATGTGGAATGGTTGCGCATGCCCCTAGGGGGCCGCCTGCCAGTCAATTCATAAGACAAATAAATAGTTACAGCCACCCATTTTTACAATCGTTTAGAGGATACAGGTAAACCCAGTCCATTCTGAGAGTAACACAATAGTCTCTGTGATTGTCTATGGGTTTCAGTTCTGTCCACATAAAATGTCAGGATGCACCTGACATTAAAATAGTGCAGCTTCATTGTGAAGTCTGAAGACTGGTTTTGAAAGAAAGCAGATAAGACAGTGTCCTGATTGAAGTGAAATATTGAAGCTACTATTGGGCGGAACAAAATGTTTGGATGAAGTACCACTTGGTAGGACTTGTCTATCCAAAGAACACTAGGCTTACTGGCTTGCCTAGCTGATCTTACTGCCACCAAAAACACTATCTTCCATGACAAGAGGCAGAGGTCACATGACCTCAAATGGGTTTCTTGACAACTGGGACAAAACAAGGCTCCAGGCAAGGATATAGGTATTTTTGTACCCTCGTAAAAACATTTCAATCAAGGGGTCAGAGAAGACAGGCTCAGACGTCATCAATAGGTAGATAAGTACCAATACCACTGCAGTCTCTCAGCTGACTGCAGCTGAAAAGAAAACTCAAACTTCTGTGCAGTAGCATGCATTTTGTGCATATGTTTTAGTTTTGAGTTGCTGTCTGCATTGAAGAGATCCCTCTCCTCAAATGGAAGATCCTCAATAATGGACCTAGCAGAAGCGGAGAGACCCAAAGATCTCAGAGAAGCGTGGAGGTGCATGGTTATGGCATTCTAGAGTTGATCGGAGCAGTCGCCTGCATCTATGGCAAGCATCCTCAGAGGTAGTGAGGTCTGTTGGAACTAGGAAAAAGGGTTTACATATCTGTGGAATGACCAGGGTGAGACAAAGGACTCCTGTCTGCTGGAGCTAGGTGTGAATGTTTCAACTAACCACCTTGATTAGCATATAATGGCCCGACAGTGCCTAGAGCAAACTTTTGTTGAGAGGTAATTAGATGTCCTTGTTTGTTTCCTCTCTGTTGTTGAAACATTCACACCTAGCTCCAGCAGACAAGAGTCCTTTGTCTCACCCTGGTCAGTCCAGATATATAAACCCTTTTTCCTAGTTCCAACATACCTCACTACCTCTGAGGATCCTTGCCATAAATGCAGGCGAAACGTCAGGAGAGAATGCCTCTAGACCATGGCCATATAGCCCGAAAAAAACCTACAACAACCCAGTGATTCAGGCCATGAAAGCCTTCGACAATACATCGAAGGAAAACATTTTTCTTAAAAACACACACAAAGAAACCAATGGTTACAATCATTAAGGAAGGAGTACTGAAGGAAGTCACAGCATTTCCAATAGAAGGATAAAATATCATCTGCCCACTCCCTTTCTGGGTCTACATTAGAATGGGTTGCTCTTCACTTTTAGCAGCCTCAGGGAAGAACAAAGGGACCTCAATATGCATGCCATATCAGTTTTCTCTTTTCCAGAGCAAATATAGTAACTACCCTCCCAAATTTTCACAGGTATTGACAAGAGTGCTGCTATTAACTCATAAAGCTTGGCTCTTCTGAATATCTATGCATTATCAGTCAGAGGCAATTATCTGCTTAGGAGCCCCCGGTGGCACAGTGGGTTAAAGCCCTGTGCCAGCAGGACTGAAGACCGACAGGTCGCACATTCGAATCTGGGGAGAGCGCGGATGAGCTCCCTCTATCAGATCCAGCTCCTCATGCGGGGACATGAGAGAAGCCTCCTACAAGGATGATAAAAAACATCAAATCATCCAGCGTCCCCTGGGCAACGTCCCTGCAGACGGCCAATTCTCTCACACCAGAAGCGACTTGCAGTTTCTCAAGTTGCTCCTGACACGACCAAAACTCTGCTTAGTCACTAATTTTGGCTCACCATCTTAAATGCTTCATTGCTCTCTTATTAAAGCTAAACTTTATGCATCTAAATCATTATTACAAGGCCGAAGGATACAGCTGACATTTCTTGCTCTCTCTTCCTCCAAGAAAACGTTAATACAACCTCAAGATGTTGACTACCCCATTCAAGATATGGTGCCTATCATAGCACAGACTCTTAGTGGTGTTTTGGGCATTCACCAAGAGCCAGAATGAAAGACTCTGCCCACCCTTCCCCTACTGATGAAGACAAAGAGAATGTTTACTTGGTCTTTCTCAGGGTAAACACCAGCACGAAGGAAGGAAGCCTTCCAGCTGTCCACATCTTCCTGGGAGTCACAGGCAAGTTCAATCTGACGCAGATCTTTATACACATTCCTAAATTGAGAGTGAAGGAAAGAGGTGAGAATAGCATATGCCTCTGGACTAGTGATAAATAGTAAGAATATTAAGTAGATTTGCTCTTCCATTTTACTAAATGTTTTGGAATTTGGACTAATTTCTCTTGACATAAGAAAATTTAAGACTGCAGGAAGATACAGGTGATGGAATATTTGAGTCAGCCAGAAAAGCCGTACTGCTGTAACTAGAACAGTTAGGCACAATACAGGTTGAGTATTCCTTATTCAAAACCCTTGAGACCAGATGTGTTTTAGATTTCAGACTTTATTTTTGGATTCTGGAATCTTCTCTTCTTCTTCTTAGGTGATTCCTCGTTGACCGAGTAAGATTATCTTCCAAGTTCGGTGTACTGGTGGATACGTAGGTGACTATGGGTACGACAAGGTGACAGTCCATTGAGGGGGACCGTCCATTCTGGAATACCTATATTGGTGTATCTGTGCATAATGAGATACCAGAGATGGAACTCAAGTCTGAAAAAAATCACTTATGTTCCCTCTACATTTATAGATATAGTCTGAGAGTGATCTTTAATAATACTGTGCATGAAAAAAGAGTTGTACACACGGAGCCACCAAAAAGCAAAAATATCACTGTCCCAACCAGCCATGTGGATTATTTTGGATTTTGGGAAATTTTGGATTTTGGAATTCCAGATAAGTGATGCTCAACCTGTACAGAATGTACTCTGATCTCCATTGAGATTCTGCTCTCTTAGAGAGCCTTAGTTTGCCTGAGATCTTTCCCTCAGGTATTTACATTGTCTTAATCTTTCTGCGAAACCAGCATAGCTTCAGGTTTGTCCACCTGAACTGAGCGAAGATAATACAATAGGTTCTCAAATGGCCCGAAAGCAAGGGCATGTCCACATTGTCTTGCTATGTATGCCATGACTCCTTACCGTTGTTCCGTGTTAAAGATGGCAAAGACATGTTTGTTGGACATGAAGCCTTTCTCCACATCTCTGATTTTTAGGTTGTCCAGAGGCAGCATGTATTTCTTTTCTTTCTCCTGTGGGGACAAAGCAGGGATAAATGAACTTGTCCTAAATATTTGTTTTACATTCAAGAGCACATTTAATGGTTAAACTAACCTCTGAGAGTTTTCGATTTGGCAAGGCCATGATACTAGTCTTATCAACCATCAAGTCTTTATAAACAAGGTTTGGGTAGCCTAATTCAATGCTTATGCATGCAATTTTTTTCATACTCATCGTGGTCTTATATGTGCTACACTGCCATGTGATGTACTGCCATGCTTTAGTTTTATCCACATATCCTAGAATTCAAAAATCCTATGAGCTCCAACACAATTTCCAGCTTTTTATTTTCTTCAGTTCCCCCACCCCCAATTCCCAGCTCATAATATCAGGCAAGAATGATTCTGGCTTTGTTTAGCAGTTGAACACATGGTCCATGAAAGAGGTGAGCTCAGCTACTTTGGTGACTGAGTGCTACATTAGCAGTATGTATACCTGGTAGACAAAGTCCTGGCTTTTTGAAACCTCTCACATCTGGTTAAAATAAACATTAATAGCACAAATATAAGTGGGACAGAAATGAAAAGAAGGTCCACATTTCTCTTAGATTGCTGGGTGAAAAATACTGCAGAAACTGAGGAAGGTTACGGATTGTTTCCAGGATCAATTTAAGCTGCTGGTTTTAACTTTTAGAGTCCTGAATAACTTTTATTGCATTTTAAACAAAAATCTGCCCAAGGTCACACAGTTGACAACCATGGCTAAGTAGGGATTCAAATACTGGTTTCAGAGTCATATTCCAACACTCTAATCCAGGGGTCCTCAAACTAAGGCCTGGGGACCAGATACAGCCGTCCAAGATCATTTACCCGGCCCGCACTCAGGGTCAACCTAAGTCTGAAATGACTTGAAAGCACATAACAACAACAACAACAACCCTATCTCATCAGCCAAAAGCAAACCTACACATTCCATTAAAATACTAATAAGCTTGTATTTGTTAAAATTGTTCTTCATTTTATAGAATCAAAGAGTTGGAAGAGACCTCATGGGTCATCCAGTCCAACCCCCTGCCAAGAAGCAAGAATACTGAATTCAAATCACCCCTGACAGATGGCCATCCAGCCTCTGTTTAAAAGCTTCCAAAGAAGGAGCCTCCACCACACTCTGGGCAGAGAGTTCCACTACTGAACGGCTCTCACAGTCAGGAAGTTCTTCCTCATTTAATTATTGTATTGTTTTAATTTTTAATTATTGTATTGTTTTTCAGTGTTCTGTGCACTACAAATAAGATATGTGCGGTGTGCATAGGAATTCATTCATTTTTTTTCAAATTATAATCCAGCCCTCCAACATTTTGAGGGCTGTGACCTGGCCCTCGGTTTAAAAAGTCTGAGGACCCCTGCTCTAATCACTAGACTTTTAGATCTTTTGACTGCTAGATACTGCCTTAATGGTTTAGGTAGAAAGGCAGAAAAATAAAACAAAGAATGTATCTACAAGAAGTCAGTACATAGAAATTGAAGTCTGTTCATGGTGAAATTTGATTCAAAGGTGAAAACAGAACTTTTTCACAGTTTCTAATGGCTCTTTTTACTGCCATTAAATGCAACACTTTCTCCTGGCTGAGTACAAAAGTTAGTGGATAATTTTGCCTGTGCAAACCAGTTGCCTGTTCCCTACAGGATATTGAGTGGATGGGGGTGCTGTATGAAGAACGGATTTGGAAATGTTAAAAGCATTTCTGGCCACAAAACTCTGCTTTCCTTCACAAGCTGTGGCCAAGCTGGTGAGTGCCCCATCCCCATGACTCACACAGAGCTGCCTCTGCAGAAAAACCCACATCTGGAATTGTTTATAGCTCCAGATGCTGGTCCCCTCCCTCCCTCCTTTTTTGCACGCACTCACAGAATCCCAAAAGTTATGTTTCCTTTGTACGGAGGCCACAAACCTCACACCCCCCACCCCAGCCTGTGATTTCCTTGAAGGCCCCAACTAGTTTCCAGACTGGATTCAGCTGCAGACGTTGCCACGTCAGACAACGCCGAGATGATTTTTTCACAGAACAGTTTCACTTACAAAACCCAGGAAAGGAAAACAGGAGAGGACTGCACAGAAAGGAGTCTTCTGGGGACCAGCCCCGCCTTCCCAGTGTTCAGACTACCTGTTCAGGAAGCTACAAAGGTGTACAGTAGTCTGCACATTGGTTAGACTGGGTTTGGGTGAGCAACGTTTCTAAGGTCTTTGACTTTCAGGTAAGTTTTTGCCTCTGCTACGGGTAGCAGGAGATGGGGAGAGCAGCTTTTGCCAAGTTGCAAGATTAACAAAATCCTTAATTTGGTAACAATTGGCTAATTGCAAGCGCCTGGCTTATGTCCCTTTTTTCTAATCACAGACAATGACTTGATATTCAGACAAGCCACTTTGAGTCTCCTTTGTGGAGAGAAAAAGCAGGGTATAAATAAAAATAATATAATTTCCAAATACAGGTAGCTTTGATAACTGAACCAGGAGTCTTAATGCAATGTATTCCAGGAATTTGTGCTTAAGGATCATTTCCTAGGGAAGTAGGGTGTCCCCCGTAAATTTAGTGCAAGCAGAAGCTTGGTTTTGTAAATTCATTTTCCCTTGAAGAAAGTGCCATGTTTACACTGGGCCTGCTGGCTCTCATCTTCCAGACAAGCACTCCCCAATAGAGGCCTCCCCATCTCTGGGTTGTCTACGATACCGGGCAAGGGAAGAAGGAAAACATTTGTACTGACTCAATGTGCCTCCTAGTTTTGTTTTTTTTTAGGGTAAAAGCTTTTAGTCATAGCGTTAGAGATCCCATTTGCAGCTGCTTGGGAGATATATACAAAGATACAGCTACTTTGGGTGACTCTATGGGTGCTTTTATGTGGATAGGAGAATGCCTTGATGGAAGAATAAAAACTGTTCAAGGAACACGTGTTGCACTCGAGTAATTCAACTGAGTCTACTATCATTGCTGGAACCAAGTTCTATCAAACACGTACTAGTAATTCTGAAATGGTATCCACATGTATTCCTTGCCAGAAGGCGCTTACTACACTAGGGGTGGCCCCAAAAAGACCTCAGAGGAACACACTGTTCAGCCTCTATGTCAACCTTTTGCCCCCAAATGCCTTCTCACAGCAATTTTTTGAGAACTGATCTGGAAATCAATTCCTAATATACTTCCTACAAGGAAAAAAAATCCCTGGGTCTAACATATATCTAGAGAGTATTGAGGAGCATTTGGAAGTAACACCTTTTATAAATTCAATGGTGGTGGTTGGGGCACAGGGAATTAGAAAGCCAGCTTAGACCTAGCTTTCCCCACCCTGATCTAGAGCTAAAAGAAAGCTTGAGATCCTAAATCTCTGTTCTCCCACCACCAGGCATCTGTCAAACCCCAAGAGGACCCCCTGTTGGTCTCATTTACTGGATGAGGCAGAGGTGGAGGAAGAGGCCAACACAGACCATGGAGAAGCATTTAGCCTCAGCTTGGCTGGGATGTCACAAAAAGACGGTCTTTCAAATGGAGGGCACCCACTTCCCCCCTATTTTCAGGAGCCTAGAGTAGGCAGATCTCCATAGTCTAAAACATCTCTCCTCTCCCCTTGGCTAAGGAATTAGTGGCAGTAGCCACATCTACCAACTTTGAGTATGAGATGCAAGAAAATGGCCCCTTGCACCTTATCCAAAAGTGGACGTATTCACAAATGGCGTCATGCATTCTCTATAAGGTGTGCTTTATAACATTCAGTCTTCCCTAGGCTCACAACGCTTTAGTGTTGACAGATTAGAGATGCAAAATATTCCTGGAAAACACCAATACTGTCTGAGGTTTGCTGGTTTGTAAGATACAGTGGTCAAAAAGGCGTTGAAAAGCTACCTGTGTGAATACCTTTCAATTGTTATGCTTTTCAACATGCTATTTAAAATTTTATTGCTGCAACTTTAGAAATTGGGTTAAGACACACTAAATTATATTATTTGGGGGGGGGGTTGCACTGTTACTTGGGATCAGAAGTGTTTTGGATATTGGATTTTTATTTTTATTTTTGGAATATATTGACTTCTTTTTGCTGCCTTGAATGGACATAGTCCAAAAAGGCAGCGTATATGTATTTTAAAATAACGGTATCCAAACCAGAACAATACAATTCATTCTTAAGAATAACAACTACATACTGACAAAATGGTTTGGCGGACAAAGATTAATTACCATCTCCTCATTCCTTGGCTCTTTAAAAACCTTAATATCTGTGACAAAAGGAGGTCAAAGAATAAAACTCCATAAACAAAACAAAGGATCCATTCTGAGTCTTGTTTTCATTCCGAGTCCTGTTAAACCGTACTTTTCAGCTCTTCTCTATTCTTCCCACAACAGAGGCGGCTAGGCTTTCCGGAAATCATATGGCAAAAGTGCTGGAACCAGTTCCACAGCTAAACACAATCTCTGGCATAAAATTACTTGCTAATTATACAACGTATCTCCAACACCTAGGATCAGGGAAGGCAAACTCTAACTATTGGAAGACCACTCAGATGGTTCCAGAGTTCTTATCTGTCATGCTCCTGGCACTTTCTCTCCAACACCTCACTTAATTCATGAAATAATTTGCCAACTAGTTTACTGGCTGCTGAACTCACTAAATGTTTAGTTGGAAGTCAAGGGGAAGAAACAGGAAAATGCTTCCATTTGCTTCCAAATTAACAGGAAGCACTGGGAAATACCTGGGTGATTTTAAAGTAATTAGTCACATGACATTTCCATCACCTTTCAAATTGTCCCTGATGGTTGTTAACACTTACAAACCTAGTTGATATCAATCTGGCACTAAAAAATGTGGCTGACCCCACTGTACTTTAATTTGGTGTGCTAATAGGAACACTCTAAAGACAATAGGAAGAAAGAAGGGACAGGGTCAGGGATAACCTACCACCTTTGCTGCCAAAACAGATGCAATATTTCATCCAAATTAATTGTCCTCCCAAGTGCTGTAGTTCTCTCTCTCTTTCACACACACACACAACTCTTAATTAATTAACCCTTAAACATAGTTTGGAGACTTTCCTCAAATGTTGCTCAGTGTTAACACTATACATGTCTTCTTTTGGTTCAGGTATATTTGGAAGCAATTTGCTTATTTGTCTGTCCTTGAATTTACAGATGAATTTAAGGAACAAAAATACTGATTTATTGTTGTAATTACCATCTTCTCCTTGCATTTGCAAATCATCTAACGGCATACCAATACCCACTTCTCCAAGAACATCTGTAACATCTTTCTAGCATTTCATAATTTTTCTATTTTAGACGTCTTCCTTCATGTTCCTTTGATGGCCACAGGAGAGCACTTTCTTAGTGTGGTTCCAGACTAGGTAACAGCTTGTTGGAAGTACTTTGCCATGTCTGCCTTTTCACAGTGAAATGTATTTTGTTCCAATGACTCTTTTGGAAATCCGGTCTCTCATTCTTCTACTGCTTGACATTGTTTTTAATATTCTGATGAAATTTCAAATAAAGTGAAACTATAAACTAATTCCTATCTTCCTCTCATTCCAAAATATATTTCATAAATGTGCTCTTTCACTGATGAAAAATACTCTAGCCTTTCCTTATGATTTTAGTTATAGTTTAATTATAGTTTTAACTAGTTGCACCCACTCCTTTAACAGAGATTAATCTAAAATAGTTTAAATAATGTAGAAATATTTCAGTTTTTCAGCAATAATATCATCAAATCCTTATGCTGTATAAGCTCTGTCAGGACTCCCTACACTTTAGAACAGGGGTCCTCAAACTAAGACCGGAAGGCTGGATGCAGACCTCCAAGGTCATTTGCCCGGCCCTCACTCAGGATCAACCTAAGTCTGGAATGACTTGAAAGCAAAACAACAATCCTATCTCATCAGCCAAAAGTAGACCCACACTTCCTATTGAAATACTAATAAGTTTATATTTGTTAAAATTGTTCTTCATTTTAATTATTATATTGGTTTAAGTATTTTTGCACTACAAATAAGATATGTATGTGCATAGGAATTCATTCATGTTTTTTTTTCTTCAAATTATAATTCGGCCCTCCAACAGTTTGAGGGACTGTGACCTGCCCTCTGTTTAAAAAGTTTGAGGACCCCTGCTTTAGAAGTTGCCTTTATGAAGACACATTTGTTGCTATTACTATATCTCAGGAGGCATACTATTCATAAATAATGTAGAAATCTTTGACTTAAAGAGAGAATTAAGTGCTTACAATTTTATTCATGCATAAATACACACAGAAGTTACAAGTTAAGATGCCCACTTTAACTTCTGTGTCACATAAGGGGTAAATGTGTTCCACAGTCTCACATACTGTGCTTGCTTTCAACTTCATGCACTTGCCATTGGTTTTCCAGCTTTAATTGTTTCTTTCCAGTTGAGGGAAGACTGAAGCTCAGAATGCCATGGGAGCCATGTCCACTTAACTGCACCATGACTCCCGCTATTTGTTTATTTGGGTCAGAAAGGGTTATCTGGGTTAGTTGTGATAGGCTGCCTATCGGGATAGATAAACTGGACACGGGGCCGACAGGAGAAAGAGAATCCCAGGCCTAAGGCCAATTTGCATGCAGACAAATGAAAATTAAGATCTCTCCTCCTAGGAAAGACCTATACGTGGCACAGAATCCAAGTAAAATGGTAACTCAACATACAACCGGGGAGGGGTGTGGGAAAGAGCTGGAAGTCTCCAAGAAAAAAAAAGAGGAGGGGCTGTAGAGTGTTCATGGTGAGAAAATAAAAGTAGCTCAGTAAAATAAGTTACTGACACGCACTGGGCCAGAGAATCCAATAGCTGTACATGCCTGTTTTAGAAAAGGCAAGCCCTAATATGAAAAGCAAGCAATGACACCCAAAATGGAAGAAATGGAAGTTCCAAACCAGAGTCTGGAAAAGTTATTTTTAGACTACAATTCCTAGAACCTCCCCAGTGCATTTTGGGTATTGCAATTCAAAAGCAAACAATCAGTATTCTACAGCACAGGATGGTGACAAGAAGTTTCTTGGGTGGCAGAGGGTGGCTGATGTGTGTTTTCAAGCCAGCTCCAAATTGTGACAACTCTATCCTGAGCTTTCTTGAGAAGATTTATTCAGAGGACATTTGCCATTGCTTTTCCGCTTAAAGACAGTGTGATTTGTCCATGCAAACTTGGGAGAGTTTCCATCATTGAGCATGGATTTGAACCCTGGTCTCCCAGAGTTCCAGTCCAATACTGAAATCACACTGACTTTCTTGCTTTCGGGACACAAGGTCAATAAACAGGAGGTTGGTACTTGGAAATGTACTTCTATCACAAGGAGACACACAAGCCAGCAAGCTTTGTTGGTTTGATGTTGGGTTAAACATGCGTAAGACTTGCAAAAAAATCTTAAGCTTCAGAGCATAGCGGCTGGCAGTCAAAATGACAAGTTTAGAATTTCCGGGCACATGATTGACATACCACTGAGCCCCGCTCCAATGTTCCCTTAACCTGCAGAGGAAGAAGAACAGGATTGGGGCTGAAAGACCAAAGGATTGGTGTGAGCACAATGTGTGAGGCTGTAAAACATGTTTACATTTATATGCACGTGGAAGTGGTGATCTTGTGAGAAATTCATACTAATCTGGTGGAAATTGCCAAAAGAAAAATGCATTAGATGACTATAATCCTGAAAAAGGGATTTCCTCATCATAATTTAAAATTAATATTACAGCCTATGCATTTTTTGTGCTTCCATGTTCTGCATTCCTCTGGTCGGGTGCTCAAAAAGCTATCTATGTTGGTTCACGTTTGTAGATTACTGAAGCCACCATGAAAGACCCCCCCTCCGGCCCCCAATGGACACACTAGACCCCTATGCTGCGGCTTCACCAATCAATCTGGCAGAAATATCCATTACAAAACCTCACATAGGCTCCAAAAGAATAGGAGAACCTCTGAAACATTGCTAGTACAAATGATCGGTAGGGAGGAATAGTGAGGAAGAAACAGCCCCTCCCTCAAATAAGGGAAACACTGCAACCTTTGTTCATCTACCTCTCTACTTGCATTCCTCATTCAATTTATACATGTAATCTCAAATTACAGTGGTTGGAGAGTGGAAGGGGGCTGCAAGTGATTTGCCAGAATGTGGCTTGCAGCCACCTTATAAAGCAACTCATGTTTTAGACACACATATCCCTCAACTCCATAAGCAGCACAGTACCTATCTATGCATCAATACAATCTCCATATCAACCTGCTCTTTCTCACCAACTACCACTCCTGTTGTCACTTACCCAAGAGGAATACTTAACAGAAGCAGAAGGAGGCACACAACAATAAGTGATAAAAAGATGTAAAGAAAAAGCAATGCGCAGTAACCGACTACTGCAATTTCTGGTATTATTTTCCTTTTTTAGCTCTTCCTGGGGAATACATTTGCGCTGACACTCTTGAAGATTGGAAGAGATTAATAAACTTTCTTTGTATTACTAATATTGATAGTTTTTTCTGTGTTTCTTGTGATGAGCTTGCTCTTCATAGGTTGGGTGATCCTTACAATTCAGGACTTCATAGCCCCATTGGTTCAAACATAAATGTAATGGATAATTATTTTCTAAATAAATAGTACTTTTAATATACTGAATATGAATATATATATATATATATATATATATATATATATATATAATCTCAAAACAAAGGTATTGTACATTATATATTCTAGGTTCCTAATGTAACAAAAGTGACTTTCAATTTGGAAAAGGTATTAATATCAGATGCCCCTCCTCCATGCTTTCCAAATTTTGAAAAATCATATTTCTTTAGATGCCATCCATCTTACAGGAAATACCGCTATTGATGCCCCCCTGCCTACTACAGGTACTGCTTAGTTTCTCCTCCCCGGTTTCATGTTTCTCGCAATTAAGTGCTGTCATGCATAGCCTATATAAAAGTAATAGGGGGTAATTTATGTTTGTCTACTTAACAAACTGCCCCCCCCCCCCCATCGTTTCTAAGAGACATTGAGAATACATGTATGTATTCTGGAACCACACAAAGATAATTATGTAGTCATTGCACACTCAGACACATTTTTCTTGATTGTTCTCTGATGACAGTCGTATGTTAAGTTCGAATTGAAGCCAATGGAATTTGCCCACTTCTGCAATTCTGCTAACACATAAGTTATTTTTATAACAAAGGAACTTGATATTACAAATGTATTATTTTAAAAAGCAAATCCACTGAGGTACAATGGACCCCCTCTGTATTTGGAAGTAGAAGAGCTTAAAATAATTAACGTTGCAACAAGACTAGAGTCAAGGTATGGATGTGTTTTCTTCTCTGTTTTTATCATTCATGTAAACAGAATGCATATGGATAGCTGAGGCACTTCTCAAGTTGGGCTTTTGGGCTGTGAAACCATACTTGCTATACAAAGTAAGCACAAAACAACCCTCCTACTCAAGAACTCTCAATAAAATTTGGATTTGGAACTTCTAAGGTTGCAGAAGTCTTAAATATGTTGCTAGCTGCCTTGAGACTCATTACTGGGGGGAGGGAGGGAATCATCATAATCAGATCAAAAAACATTCCCATTCTACTCTCCTATACAGAAGGCTATCTGGCTGTTATTGCACCTGATATACTATCTGCACAAACTATCACCCCCAAAATATCTGGAAACACTAAGTAAATTCTAGGCCAGGAATGACTTTACTGAATAATGAATTCCATTCCTTTAACTCAGGGGTAAAGAAAGTATGGCCCGTAGAGAGAATGTAGCCTGCACAACCATTTTTGTGAGGTTTAGGATCACTGAGGGTCAAAAAATTATTGAACTTTATTGGTCCCCAAATACTGTCTAGACAGGCATGTAGCCCCCCCCCGAAATTCAGCCCCCCCGAAATTCTCATGGTGGTCCGTGAGAAGGCCTCACTGGTACATTATTTCAACTCTTATGTTTATTCATATCATGATCTGATCACCATGCTCAATATACTCCATATGCATGGGGGTATTGGGGTAACGATACAACAGGTTTGCTAGGGTAAATTCTCTTTCTCTCAGACTCAGCCCCCACCCGAATCAAACTCAGCCCCCCCCTCCCGAATCGAAATCCTGGCTATGGGCCTGTGTCTAGAGGATGTGGGGGCAATTCTGCCAAGTCTTTGGCCCTGGAAAGGCCTTTTTGTAATCAGGAAGTGAAACAGAATGGTTGTTTTTTTAACCCAAAAAGGTGAGGTTTTTAAACAAGAAATATAAGAAATAGAATGCAGCTGTTGTGGGGTTCCTTCTCTTATTATCACCTACCTTACTTCTATTTAGTTCTTCTATATGACATTCCTGGGTGACATATGAGACATATCTTTTAGACTGGATTTTAATTAATTTTAATTAAATTAAGAAAAAAGTGACAGAATGCAATTTTCTATTTAGCCCAGAAAAATGTCTGTTACCAAGATAATCAGGACATTATGTGGGTTGAATGGCCATCTGTCGGGGTGCTTTGATTGTGCTTTTCCTGCATGGCAGGGGGTTGGGATGGCCCTTGTGGCCTCTTCCAATTCTATGATTCTGTGAGGACTTGAGTACTGCATGACACACACCTTGCAATTTCCCAACATACAGACACTTTTCTCTGGGTTTGGATGGTTTTATTTTCCCCTTTCAACTGAAACCTGATTCTGAAATTGGGAGCGAGAGAGCAACAGAAACGTTCTTCTTTGAACTCTCCAACCACCAATCTCTGCCAGACCTATTAAAGATGAATCCCTAACCCTGACGTTTGTCCAGTACAGGCAGTAAATGAGATGGAAGGAAGATGGCACACAAAGGAGAAATTAATAGGCAGATGTGGAAGCAAGGGGAATCATAAAGTAGAAAGGGAATGGTTTTCTCCTCCTTCTCCCCCCCCCCCCATCCACTGCATTTTATGTATTTGTAACATACGCTCTGCAATATGCAAAATGATTAAGCAAACATTTGTTACAGAAGCTCATGCTACATTAAAAGTACTACAAGATGTCTTGATGTTAACATATTTCTTCTGAAGATCAGTGGCAGAACACCTATACATCAAGAACAAGCTGTTGCTATAAAATCCATCAACAAGGGGTTAATTTTGACATGTAAGCAATACGGTGTACTTAAGATAACATTATTCCAATATATATGTAATTTCAAGGATTCACCTTAAGACTGTGCAGTGAATTCACCCTGTTCAACACAACAATAGGCCACACATGAATCACTCACCTCTTCATCCTTGTACCAAGATAAACTCTCTGCTGTCAGGATGAACCAGTACTCCTTAGAGCCACCTTTCATGATGCTAATATTGTTGATGGTCAACCAACCACGTCGTATAACCTGGAGGAAATCAAGGAATGGGAAGGAAAATGGAGGAAAGAAGAACAGATTACAGGATATCTTGAAGAACACAAAGTGGAGGAGATTGCCTCAAGATCTAAGAAGTGTGTTTAAGAGGATTTCTAGCCTTAGCTGCAGCAGAAGCCCAAAAGAAAAAGCAAGAATTGACCTTCGCTTAAAGCTCCTTCATGGTTTTGGCAACCTGGCCCATAATTATAAAAGTGAGCAATATCACCAAAGTTAAGCAAGGAAGCATAAGACGAAATACAGATATACCAAGATTGCATTGAAAGCACACATTAACACCATTTTACCAATGTTTATGTATAGAGCAATCTAAGCGGAAAACCAAAAAGCAATAGTCTTGAAAGACAGGTTGTCATGTATCGACAACCAGGGCTATATGTAGCAGTTGGTAAACCAGAAATAGCTAAGATGGACCATTAAATTATTTTATACATTACCCTAATGTATATTATCCAGACATACCCATATTTTGACAAATAAAATAAAAATCAGGTCAAAACATATTTCTTTTAACAGCAACAAGTAAAATGTGGTCTGTAGTCCATCTGCGCAGTGAAACCCATCAGTATGAATAGAGGAAGAAGCATCTACAGTTTTGATCTGATCTCAAGAAAACACTGAGAAGAAGGGACAGCACTCATAGTATATGGAAAGCTCCACATCTCAAGGGCACATGTTTTGCTTTTAGGAAAATACAGTTGCAATATACAGAGATGCTACAAAACCAGCAATATATTCAAGATGAAAAGGAAACTCCTGCATCGAGGTCTACTTATGGGACACTCCGTGGTTCAAGTCCGTTGTTTCCAAAACGCCAGCATGGTTGCTCCTATCAACAGCTTCAAGTAGATATCCAGTTAATGAACTTGTATAGATCTGACACTTGCAGGTAATGAGACAATTCACCTGAAAGGACAATTCTCTTATCTGGCATGGTGATATCAACATCACAAGCAACTCCTGCTTGAGTTATAAACAAACCTCTGAGTGTCTCACTATCTTGTCAGAGAAGCACTTCTTGTCATTTTACTATGATCAGTTCAACAACATGAAAACTGCTGTACCTCTTATTGCCATTTACTTTTTAGTATGTGCTAGTCTCCAATTTCAACCACATAATCATAAATGAAAACATAAATGAGAATAATTGCTAAAATACCAGTATCTTCTGTTCTCTGCCTCTTGGAGGGATCATTCTCATTGCTTAGAATTACAGTTGGCTCCAGGGCAACAGCATTCTTTTATTCTGGAAAAAAATTTCAAGCCACCTCCACTCCCTCCAAATGAGACAACAAAGAATGGTTTATTATTATTTGTTACACACACTGAAACGTGTGTGTCTCAGGAGTAACGGGTCTCTGATTACTAATTAGGTGAAAAGTATGCACTGTTGGTCCTGCATATTTGCAGGTTTGGTTTTTGATTATATTTGGTTTTGATTAAAACATTCCTTCTAGAAATATCTAAGTCCTTCAGTAAGCCCATTATATGTAGGTCTATAGGACCTAGACATAAAACCTCTTTAGGAATCTCTAGGTTCTCCAGTGTGATTCCTGTGGTCATCTTCTAGCAAAAGTTGACCATGACCACAGAGTTGTCCTGGAGACATAGAAATTTTTAAAGAGATGTCCTCTCAAGTAAAATCTATTATTTCAAGCATATTGCTTCTTGGTTTTCTGCTTTTTAAACTGATGTTTCTAACAGCAAACAACAGCAAATGTGGAAGACTGATTGTAGCACACAGCGTCTCCTTAGATAAGATGGCTGATGTAGAAATATTCCCTGAAAGACGTCTGAAACTGTTTTACGAAACTAAGAACCATCCTACAACATGCCTATAGAGCACCATGTTTGAAGAGATGTTTGAACCTGAATGCCATGGCACCATACTATAAATCCTGGGCATATGAAATCTTTAAGGCAGGCGTCTTCAATCGGTGGCCCTTCAGGTGTCTGGGCTTCCAACTCCCAGAAGCCTTGGTTAGTTTGTTCAATAATCAGGAATTCTGGGAGCTGAAGTCCCAAACTCCTGGAAGGCTGCAAGTTAAGGAGGCCTGCTTTAAGGTAAATCAAATTCCATTTGGCAAACAGAGAAGCCCAATTCCAGAAGGATTTTAGGCTTTCCTCCATGGATGTAACAAAATACCACCCAGCTTCACTGTAAACTCCTAAATAATAATCAGCAAAGCAACTCCAAGTAGAGAGAGACACAAAATACTAGATTGGCAATCTAGTTGCTCATCCTTGAGTGTCTCCATCACAGTCCTACTTTTCCATTTTGCTTCACACATCATATGTAGTATTAATGACTTCCTCCCACCCCAAACCATGCTTTAAATATTTGAATGGGTGACATACACTTAAGTGGTAGTAAAAACCTTGGCTGCATAAAAAGCCGCTGGGCAGGAGAGTTCTTAATTTCATGAGACAACTAAAATGAACCAGCGAGTAGCCAGTGTGCTAGTTAAAACTATGAGCACGCTATCTTTCATATCTATATTTATATCTATCTATGTCTCAGCATCCCACTTTCTGGGTGGGACCTCCTGCAAGAGACCTGTAACTAAATTTGATGAGCCCAGCCTCAGGAACCCAAGGGTAGCTGGTCAATATCATATCGGCAATTCTTAATATTCTCATTAATTTGGTTCAATGTTCATATCAAGCTCTTTCTTCTAAAAAGGAAGCCTAGAGAGCTAAAAGCATGATAAAAAACTAATTTTACTCAAGCTAGTATCTCTATGCTGGTTAGCAATGAGCAGATTGAAAAAGAAACAGTCTATGTTTTGAGGCACTCCAGAAGCTTTGTTAAACCTACAGATTAGAAGACGAAAGCAAATCTAAAGGCTACGGCTGAACAGAGTTAAGACACAATAACTACAGATGTTATAGCAAGACTTTGAACAATTTGGAAAGGGGTCATGAATTTGGCCTGGGTTACATTGCAGTTAAGCTTTCCAACCAAGCTTTGAAAAGGTATGTGCTTCAGTGCATACCAATCTGGCGCATCTTCATCTTTCCAGAACTGCTCAGGTTGCTGCTAACGTAAACATCAAGGCAGCAGACAGACAGAAGTGGAGCACTGGTGGGCATGGGCTTGTACAAATGGTGATTTAATTTGTTTGGTTCACACAAAATAGTAGGGAAGGTGCTATGAATGAATGACATTGGAAAGGAAACCTGGCCAGAAAAAGAGCAAAAGTGGGATTTTGCAACCTGTCAGTCGTATATAGTTTTTCCATGCCCTCCGCCCCCCAGCCTCAGTCTACACCAGGGGTCCTCAAACTAAGGGCCAGGGGCCGGATACAGCCCTCCAAGGTCATTTTCCCGGCCCTCGCTCAAGCTCAACCCAAGTCTGAAATGACTTGAAAGCACACAACAACAACAATAACCCTATCTCATCAGCCAAAAGTAGACCCACACTTCCCATTGAAATATTAATAAGGTTATATTTATTAAAATTGTTCTTCATTTTAATTATTGTGTTTTTTGCACTACAAATAAAATATGTGCCGTGTGCATAGGAATTCATTCATGTTTTTTTCAAATTATAATCTGGCCCTCGAACAGTTTGAGGGACTGTGACCTGGCCCTCTGATTAAAAAGTTTGTGGACCCCTGGTCTACACCCTCAAAAAATCCACTCTCACAAAGGGACTTTTTATTGGAACCACCCATGACAAAACACTGGTCTTTTTGGTCCAAGGATGAGTTGTACACCTGCCAATTAAACAACAACATGGGCAGACAAAACCCAGAAGGACATTTTCAGCTCCACGTTGATCAAACTGGAGGAGGTATTTTATTGTGCCACAAAAGCAAAAACTGCCCCTCAGATCATTTTAGTCAAATGTGTGTGAATCAGAAATCATTCACATTTTAAATATAATTTAAGGAAATGGGTATGGAAGACTGGACCCAAAGGTAGAAATCTTGAGAGACCTATATGGAAGAAACAGATCCAGAGAAAGAAGAATTTGAGGGGAACAATCAAGTGGCACCTGTCTAGAGGAAGTCATTTTTAGTGACCAAGTAGGGACTTAAGTCAGTTGTCCTTCATAAGAGCTGGGAATATTTCCATATTTGAGAAAGAAGAAGAGGAGAGGGGGGAAAGGTATGTGACAGGACATTTTTTAGGCAGAAATAACAGATGTTCTTCCTGGGTGTCATTGTCTTTTATCCTTAGCTTGCTACTTCCTATCCCGATCCTAATATAGAACTTGAAAGAACGGAGATAAGAAGCACAGGTTTCCATTAAGGCTTTCCCACTTTCAAATACAGCAAGATGTATTTGAATCTAAATATAGCCTAAGAAGCAAGTTTCACCTCCAGTTTCTATGAAAAATAAGACACAGCCCAGCCAGTCAGATTTCCAGCTTCCTCTTAGCGTAGCACAATCCACATTCCTGCAGTCAGCAATAAAAAATCCCTAGGGTTTGCATTGGAATTGGAGTCATGGAGAACAGAGAAGCCCTTGTGAAGCTTTATGCGTTACTCAAATGCCAGATAGTTGGTAATCTTTTTTTTTTCAAATTAAAATTGAAGAGATGCTCCACTTTTGAAAGAGGTTGCATGTGTTAAGAGTAAGAATTAATCAACTTCAAAGGAAGCCTCATCTATATTTCTTAAATGAGTTACAGTTCCAAACATGCCTTCTGTGTGGAAAATAAGCCCAAAGCTTATCATGAAAATGGACTTGGATGGGTGCGTTGGCCTTAATGCCAGTTTCTAATTTCCTGTAGCACACAAGAGTGCCACAACAGTATGCTTGGGAAGTAATGTTTTCATGTGTGCTCAGAGAAATCACGAAAACGAATATGTCAGAATTTTCAGGCTCTTCTGGAAAGTCAGAATTTCTTGGTGATTGGAGCAAAGATAGAATTGGTAGGGAGCACCAATATTTAGTAAAAATATTGCATGGCCAGGAAACCTTCAATATCTCAAATCTAAGTTGAACAAAGATGTAAGTATTTAAAATGTGTCAGTGAGCATGTCAGTTTCATATGTAAGTAGTATTGTTGCATCCATACAGGAAAAAGCTATCTGCAGAGCAAAAGTGGGTGGAGCAATTTCTTGTTATTAAGGCAACACTGCCGTCACCCATATAACAAAGTTTCTGGCAATGCATTTTTCTTGCCAAGCCAATAAGGTGTGCCAATTTAATTTCTGACTCCAAGACATCCGCAACACCTCTCTCAGGGAAACCTGAGTTGAAACCGTTTCTCTAATCAAGTAGCAGTCCAAGCCAAATCCACCAGTCTAATTGTCACAGGAAAAGGCACTCAAAGGAAAAGCATGGGGCAGCATTGCTCTCACCAGACAAGGGAAAGTGGTGCAAAGGAGTGGTGGGACATGCAATCTCTTTGCCTAGGGACAGAAAGATGCCTGCATAGCAGGTGATGGCCACATAGTGGTAACAGTAGCAACTGCCAAGCAAAATAGGCAGATGGACTCAGAGTTAGCCTTTTGAGCCTAGGTAGACAACTCTAGATCTGAAGGAGTCCCTGTTGTTTGGCAACATTCTTGGATGTCTTTCTGAACTGCATGGGGACTGTAGACAGTCCTTTTATTTGGAACTTCTGTCACTATTCCAGATGCAGACATGATTGTCAAGCAACTCCTTTTGACTGGGCTAGACACCACGTAGACTGCAAGTGGTTCTTCATCGGGTCAGTTCTATTTATTAGAATGTGGCTCAGAAAACAAATGATGGTAACAAAGCAACTGTTGATAATATACAAGTCTAAAATTATTAGCCAACAGCTAATTTCTTCGTTCACTTGGAGCCTGGGACTCTTCTCTCATACCAGTGGTTCTCAACTTGTGGGTTCCCAGATGTTTTGGCCTTCAACTCCCAGATATTCTAACAGCTGGTAAATTGGCTGGGAATTCTGGGAGTTGTAGGCCAAAACACTGGGGACCCACAGGTTGAGAATCACTGTCTTATACCATATTCTAAGGTTGTGAGGTAGCACTCCAAAGAGCAAACTAGTATCTACAGTGACATTGCAAATAAAGGATTAAATGTAATTTTGGAGAGGGAAAAGGGTAAAGAATTGGTGGAGAAGGCAGTCTCTATTGAAGTAGTTTGTAGAATTTCATTTACCAGCTAAAGTTCTCCAGTACACAAGGCATCCACTGTTAGCCATAGGTCTGTTTCTCAATCGTAAATGACGATAGAGCTGAGGGATTAATCTGCAACTGAAGTACATAGCCTTAGCAATAGGGTTTACAGAATAGGTATGGCACTTCAGCATACCAAAAAAAATCATAAAGGAAGGATGGGAGGACACAAAGCCAGGCATGAAGAAAGGCTTTTCAGTAAAAACATATCCAGCCCATTTTCAAGATAGAAAAATGTTCGGGCAGTGCCAAGAAGGATGCAACTAGTGCCAACCTTCTACATGCTGAATAAAGGTTTATAAAGCCACTATACTTCCCTAAAAGCCACATTTATAGGCAAGTTGATAAATCCAAGATTTAAGCACTAGATAAAATTGCAATTCCCATGTCTGGGTTTCCCGGAATGCTGTTTGAAATCACTTGCTTTTCTGTGCAATTAGAAAGATGCTCAATTTAGAGACTTCTATTTTTTGGGAGAAAACATGTCTCCATCACCAAGGTTTATTTATCAGTCACTAGCATAGTATACAGGTACTTACCAGTATCTCACCCTTTAGAGGTTGGCAAAATTAGTGGTGCAGGTAAATAAAGAAAAGCAGGATGAGGGACAGAAGAGTGAAGAAAACCAAATAATGGAGTGGAAGGGGGAAGGGGGAAGCGGGAAGCACAAAAATGATAGGATAAAAAAGAAAAAGCAAGAAAAAAACAGTAAAAGAAAAAAGTTACATGCAATTAATTATAATTGTACAGTGTTAATGTTTCATTACAGTCTTTCCAAACAAAATTCAACATATTTAGATGCATTATATACACATTAACTTCATGCAAAAAGCTACATTTACAGTCTTCTGCTCAAGCCCTGCCTACCAGCAACGGGAAAAGACTCAAAAGAGACAACTTCCTTTCAAGGGTTCAAGACGGCATGATTCTGACTTGGAGATTTTCCTCTTCTACCATATTACAACTGGCATAGTGTGAGGGCCATTTCTAAAGGAAAAAATAAAGGCACACTGCAGAACTTATTCTGACCTAAACAATTAAGAAGCAATTCTATGGACACACTATACTTCCTGCAATTTGTAGACTCTACCATGTCATTTTCCTTTTTCAAATGATGCATGTGAAGAGTGTCAACTGCTTTGTTAAACTGGTGCTATGCTCACAAGCCAGGTCAACGTCCTGATCCATACGTGTGATCAGGTGTCTGATATTAAGTCCTATCAGAAGGAAGAAGACATCAATCAGTACCTGATTTGGTATTGCTCTTTTCTTATTTGCTTGGGTGTTTCTTTGCTGTGCACTGAAATAAAAAAAGGATAAAAAGATGATTTTACATTAAGCATGTCTATTATTATTATTATTATTATTATTATTATTATTATTATTATTATTATTATCATCGCACCTCCAACAAAGTAAACCTGCATATTAACAATGCTCAGAACTAGCAATGCATTTATTCCTATTCAAATCAAGCAAAGTTAAAGAAATGCAAAAAGGAGGTTCCAATAGCTGCAGGAAAAGTCCAAACATCTAGAAGTAACACAATAGATTTCTCCAACACCAGAAGTCTCATAACAAATGTGGTTGCAAAAGTTTGAGTCCTGAATGAATCAGAGAATAGATTTTAGATCTCTGCCATATTTCCAACAGCTGTCTCTCAAACTAAAAAGGGTAACCATAAGCATGAAGTAGGTTTTGAAATTAGGTTTAGAGAAAAATGCTATGTAATTTTGTTTTAAAATCAGTTTTTAGGGGTTGTTTGTATTTTTGCAACAAGAAATATTGATCATGCCTAAGAAAATGCTACTTCAAGACTTCCAGAAGAATGTTTGTACACTCTGTGATCCTGCTGAGAATAAAGAAGTCAAGTTTTCAAAGCAGCATGCGAAGATATTTGTCCTCAATTGCAAAAAAAGTGCCATGCATTAGGAAAGCAGTGCTACAAAACTGTAGGTCAACTGCTTAAGCTCATTCCATTACTTTAAGGGCATTTTTATTCCAAAGAAGCAAAGCTGAAAGGGTTATAGAATATCAACTTCCACAGATCTTATTCTATTATGTAGTAAAGAAAGTATAATCCACAGCATTGCCTGACACTTATTTTGCGGTTCACCTATGTTAATTAGTCTGGACCCCCTCCCCCCAAATATAACCTAAATCAGTGGTTCTCAAACTGTGCTCCTCCAGATGTTTTGGACTTCAGCTCCCACAATTCCTGACAGATGGTAAGCTGGCTGGGAATTCTGGAAGCTGAAGTCCAAAACAACTGGATCAATTTGCTGTCATTTGAAAACACCAACTTCCTTTGGGAAGGCATCAGTGAAGCAAGATGATTTAGAATATTTATCCTGACCAGTATATTACAAATCTTTAGAGCCTGCAGTAATATGGCCCAGTTGGCTGGATGCAACTCACCTTACACTACTGAATACATGTACACAAAATAAGCAATATAATCTTCTAGCTCAGTGGTTCTCAACCTGTGGGTCCCCAGATGTTTTGGCCTTCAACTCACAGAAAGCCTAACAGCTGGTAAACTGGCTGGGATTTCTGGGAGTTGAGTCTAGCCCAGTGGTTCTCAACTTGTGGGTCCCCAGGTGTTTTGGCCTACAGCTCCCAGAAATCCCAGAATCCCAGAAATCCCAGCCAGTTTACCAGCTGTTAGGCTTTCTGTGAGTTGAAGGCCAAAACATCTGGGGACCCACAGGTTGAGAACCACTGGTCTAGCCGATGGAAACATTTCTACCATGCAGCTTTGTGTTGAAAGGGGTTAAACATAGCAATCCAGTTCAGCCCATCTTGCATTAACCAGATCAATTTGCATCTTTCTTTTTAAACCTGAGTTCTTTCGGTAATAGAGAAAAAGTCAGGTTAAATGAGGAGAATAATCTATCTGAAAGCATGGATGGAAACTATAGAGAGCACCAAAAGTTATACACTCTCCCTATTGAAAACTTTTGATGAAAGCAGACTTGGAAAGAGGTAGTTCCACAAGCATAGAATGTTAACGAATATTGTATTTCTGATTATATCAACTTTTGATCACAGTGGTCATTCAAAGTCTGTTTCAGAAGTGGTACAGGCTTCATGATCACATGTCTATCTGTTATAGATCTAGCCATCTCTCTCAGAGCCTCCTCACTCAACTCCTGAAAGGAGGAGCTCCAGAAATGTTCACTAAGCTTAAAAGTCAGTCATTGTTTGTGGCCAGAAACTGCAGAGGGCTTTGGAGAAAGGATGGTTCTTTCTCATTTGTGATGGAGAACTGAGAAAGTAAGGAACAAGAAGAACTTTTGCCCACAACTGAAAAGATGTTCTTGCTTTCTTCTCTTGATCTATAGAACTAAGGAGATTGGCAATGAGAGGATCCTTCTACTGTGAAATGCAGTGATAGCTTGCTAACTTTCTAATTTCAACTTTCTTCCCAGTCTTTCATAAAACCCCTTCAATTAGTGCTCCAAAGGTTAGTCAAGCTGGAGGGCAGTCATAATAGTGATGCATTCTCACAGGCAGATACGCACCCAGCCACCACGTGCTGCTCAGTGTAACAGCTGGGGACATTGCGAGAAGTTTCAGAGACATCCATAGTGAAAAGAAAAGATTCAAAGCAAAACCAAGAAAGATTAATGAAAAGAAGAATCAATGATTTCAATGTGGAAGAAAGAAATGTGAAGTAGCAGACTGAACACAGTGCACATCTGGGCAACATTAGAGATGGGGGAGGGGGAAGAGGGGAAAATGAGCCATACAAACACAAAGCTTCAGAGATTTGATAATTAAAAGCACAGACATATTGGATAACTTGGTTTGTGAAAGGTATGTGGTCTACAAGGCCTTAAGACTGTGACTAGAAACTACTGAAACAGACCAGAGAGAAAAGCCTGAAGTTGCTGGTAATAGCTTATGGTAAATGGAAGTAGAAATTACCTTAGTAAAGAGAGAGGACATTCTGGATTCTAGGATATAGTTATGCAACAGGGTTTGGGTTCATCATGATAGCTTAAAAATATTGCCTCATCCATGGACAACACAAGGTTCAGATTATGGCATCCAGCTAAAATATATGCTCAGAAATTAGTGCTGTTACAACCCCAGGACCACTCTGAAGTAAGATGTTAAGTGAAGTAAGACAGGGTCTTCTTGACCAATGAAGGAATTAAATTGCTGCTACTAAAAAATCTTATATCTTGTAATGCAGCACTTAAAATGATTCTGTCAAAAACAGATCATAAGCTTTTCTTTGGAATAATTCTTCCATTAGAGATTAGTCATACAAATTCAAAAGAAGTATCAAAGGAATGTCAAAATCCTCAAGAAGTTGGATGATATAGTTGCTTTAAACAGCACAACCCTGTTCTAAACTACAGAATATTAAAACTTTATTTTTAACCCCCCCTATCTCCCCGAGGGGACCCAGTTTAAGCGGTCAATGAGGCTACAAATACAAGATTTCTTCCCATAAATATGAGAAAAAGAAAGCTGACTCAAAGACATGTTTTGGGGAAAGAATGTCAAAACATTTTGGAGAAGCCAGGTGAAAATATTGCAATTATACATGGGCATTTAAACACAAGAAGCAAGAAAACTCGAGGCTTGACTACTGTAACGCCCTCTACATTGGCCTTCCTTTGTCAGTGACCCGGAAACTGAAGCTGGTGCAAAATGCAGCGGCTCGTCTTCTTGCCAGGGTGCCGGCGAGGTGTCGTATCACCCCAGTTCTACAATAGCTGCACTGGCTACCAATTGAGTACCGGATTACTTTCAAGGTGGTGGTATTAACCTTTAAGGCCTTATATGGTCTGGGGCCAGCGTACCCGAGGGCCCGCTTATCCCCCTACCAACCCCAGAGATTACTTCGCTCCAAAGACCAAAATTTGCTTGAAGTCCCCAACATCCGGACTTATCATCTGTCCTCTACTAGGCAGAGAGCCTTCTCAATTGTGGCCCCTTTTTTATGGAATACCTTGCCAGTTGAAACCCAATCTATCTGAGACCTACTTGCTTTTCAGAAAGCCTGTAAAACCTTTCTCTTCCAACAAGCTTTCGATGGGTGAATAACTTGGGACTATGTCTGTTCTTGTTTTTATTGTATTTTAAAGTTAATTGTATTGTTTTAATCTACTGCTGTAAACCGCTCCGAGCCAAATTGGGAGTAGCAGTATACAAGTCAAATAAATAAATAAATAACTGAAAGGACTGTACACATGCTGGATACCACGGAAGCACAACAGCATTAGAAGGCAGAAATGCAGACAGTTGATCCTCCCCCTACCCTATTTCAAGAAGAAATCTACATTACAGTTGAAAATGTACCCAATTCCACACAGACTTGTATTCCCAAAGAGTGAGTGTAAAAGTTACAAGGAATGACTTCTTAAGCAATAATCAGCAAGACATAAATGAATCATCTAAGCATTTCTGAGTTCACAAAATGCTGTGGGTCAGCTGTTGTATACAAAAACCCAGACTACTGCAAAGCTAGGAGTGTGTGTTAGCTTGTTTCCACATACCACAAAAGGCTGCACCTCATCGCATGATTTATGAATGTGTAGCTGTGCAGCTAAGCAACTATAACATACTGCTCTTTTTATTTAAAAATATAATCAGTGCAACATTGGCAGGTACCACAAAATCACTGTCAGCCTCTTCATTTTCTTAAAGTCTCAAATCCAAGAAATTGTGTTTTCCCTTTAAAGCTCTCGTGCTAAATATGCCTGCAACTGTACACCACATCTCAATAGTTCCATACTCAATATTATTTGTACACAAAATAGGACCTTTTCTCTCAAGCACAGGCTAGATCTACACTGCCATATAATCCAGTTTCTGAATCCAGATTATCTGCTTTGAACTGGATTATATGAGTCTACATTGCCATATAATTCAGTTCAATTTAGGAATTTTGCACAAACTCAGAGCCCTCTAAACTCAGCACTTTTATTGCTCTACATAGTACTGTTTTTATGATGTTATGTTTTATTGTGATATGTTTCTATTTGGTTGTGTTTTGATTTTATTTTATTGCATTATGTTTTTAACTCTGTGCTCTCTGGGCTTGTCCCTTTGTAAGCCGCCTTGAGTCCCTTCGGAGAGATTGAGGCGGGATATAAAAATAAAGCTATTATTTTTATATTATTAAAGAAGATAATTTGCATTCAGAAACTGGATTATATTATTATTATTATTATTATTATTATTAACTTTATTTGTACCCCGCTAACATCTCCCAAAGGACTCGATGCGGCTTACAAAGGCCAAGGCCTCAATAAAAACAACCGCATAATAATGCACATAACATTATAAAGTAAATCAAAACGTTAAGCAATAACAGTAAATAATAAAAACAATACACCATAACACAATAGGACTAGAGCCGGGCCGAATGTAATGGGTACAGATTAAAAAGTGCTGAGTATGACAGGGGAATTTTGGATTTTAGGGTAAGTGCAATGTGCAGACAATCTTAAATCTCTGATAAAGTGCTTCTGGGACATATTGCTGGAATTTCCTATTCTGGAAAGGCACACCGGAACAGCCAGGTCTTCAAACTCTTCCTAAAGACTGCCAGAGTAAAGGCTTGTCTAAAGTCCTTGGGGAGGATGTTCCAAAGTCGGGGGCAGTGTAGATGGGCCACACACACATATGGAGAGGCACTCTGAAGGACTGCACTGCAGATCACTTTCCTGGAAACTGGTCAAAGCATTTTTCCTGAATGTGGTATAATACTTCCCTATTTTGGCTGGCTCTAAGTATTTATTATTTATTTATTTACGATATTTCTATCCCGCCTTTCTTGAACCCGAAGGTGACTCAAGGCTGCTTATAAGAACTTTCTGACTGTGAGAGTCGTTCAGCAGTGGAACTCTCTGCCCCGGAGTGTGGTGGAGGCTCCTTCTTTGGAAGCTTTTAAACAGAGCCTGGATGGCCATCTGTCCGGGGTACTTTGAATGCAATATTCCTGCTTCTTGGCAGTGGGTTGGACTGAATGGCCCATGAGGTCTCTTCCAACTCTATGATTCTATGATTCTATAATCAGGGAGAAATTTGATGCCTAACAATATACAATTAACAGAATTTTAAAAATACATTCAATAAAACATACAAAACCAATGCCTTCATTGTTAGTCTCATTGTCCATAAATCGTTGTCTGAGCCGTTCCAATGTTCACTTTCGTCTAATACCGTGTTTGACTGTTGCATTAGATAATAATGCAACATTATTATTAACATAAGTAGCTAGATATAGGCCTTTACTGGAGGAAAAGACAATGCTCCATTAAAATTTCTGAAATTTCGATGCATGCAATTTGCATTTCACTTCGGTATTGCTTGAAAAAAATCTCTTCAGAATGGAGGACACAAGCTAAAGCAATATATGTGTTATGTCTGTTCTCATTCATTCCCAGGCTATGGCTGGCCTTCAGTTTTGAACAGTATGCTGATCCTTCCTTTCTGAACCTAAAACAAAGCCCCATTTCCCTTTCTTGATTACTGGGAGAGAAATGATCAAGAAAAGACACTCTGCTAAGCAAACTAAAGAGCCTTGCTCCATGGTTTCTTCAGCAATTTCCATTCCAAGTAGAGGCAAGTGAATAACAAATACCCAGTAAAGCACTTATCTTAGTAGAGCCATATCTTCTTCTACCTACAAAGCCCTAAATGGTTTGGGACCCGCCTACCTGCGTGACCGCATCTCCATATATGAACCCACACGTTCCCTTCGATCATCTGGAGAGGCCCTGCTCATGATCCCACCGGCGTCGCAAGCGCACTTGATGGGGACGAGGGACAGGGCCTTCTCTGTGGTGGCCCCCCAACTCTGGAACTCTCTCCCAAAGGACATCAGACAAGCCCCAACGTTGGCAATCTTTAGGAAGAGCCTGAAGACCTGGCTGTTCCAGTGTGCCTTTCCAGAATAGGAAACTCCTAGCATCATGTCCCAAATGCACTTTGTGAGAGACCAGGATTGTCTGCACATTGCACCTACCTCCAAAAAACCTCTACATACCTCCTGTCAAGTTCAGCACTTTTAAATCGCACTAGCCCGGCCTGGCCTTTTAAACTGCCTTGATCAGACACAATTATTTTAAATATATGTGCTATTGTGGTTTTGAATGCTTATATTGTCTTGTAAATTTTATGTTTATGCCATTTTTTTTTGTATGTACTTTTTATGTTACTCTGGGGAGATAGAGTGGTATATAAATAAAGTTTTGTTGTTGTTATATGTGGTATATTAGGCTGTCTATGATTCCTCGGCATCCTGTGTTATCTGAATCCTTACTACTCTAAAGAACCTGAAAGTCACTATCTTTCAGAAAATTCAAGTTTGATCTCAGCTACATATAGCTAGTTTTAGGCAACCAATCCATATCCCTGAATCCAAATATTGGGATATGTGCAAACAGTCAGAATCTCCGGGGAAGAAAGCTATTCAACCACACTTCAACTTTAGCTTGAGCATCTGAAAGGCATCCAGTCACAAAATGCTGGTTAGCCAGGAAATTCAGCAGTCACACACAACGCTCCCCAGGCCACATACAGCTTCCCAGAATCTCTTCAGACTTTACTTTGCAGCAGATACTCACTTTGCAAATCCAATGAAGTCCTCGTGGTTAGTATTGATGTACGACAACTCTATGTCAATCAAGAGGAGAATCTAAAGAGACAAAAAATGAAAAGGCAAGTTCACCCAAAATGGCAACCAGTCGAAAAACTTATCCCACCTAGTATATAATTAGGAAATCAGTAAGGCTTGCTTGAATTTCATGCAGAATATCTTGGCGGTACCAGTCCATCATTGATTGGGGTTCCACAAACACCAAGAAAGACCATTAGATTAGAAATAAAGATATGACTGATTTTTAAAATGACATTAATGAAAGATCACACTGTTATCACATTCTAAAAACTTAATATTGAGCAAAACTATTTTTCCCTCATGAACTCTGAAGATCAAAAACGTTTTTGTCATAAAATTATATTATGTTCGTTTGGCTTTTGTTCCTTCTTCAAAGGAAATCACACTTCATATCCATAATGAAATTTGCAATATTTCCTATACATAAAAAACCTGTTATATTTATAAGATATTTGTTGTCCTATTATCTATATATATATATAATGCTCTGTGCATAATGAGTACCCTAAAAAAAAAAGAACCAATGAACGAAATCACACCAAATCTGGCAACAAAACGTCTCACAACACAAGGAGTGACTATCACTCAAAAATTATGATTTTGTCATTTGGGAGTTGTCGTTGCTGGGATTTATAGTTCAGCTATAATCAAAGAGCATTCTGGACTCCACCAACGATGGAATTGAACCAAACTTGGCACACAGGACTCCCCTGACCAACAGAAAACACTAGAAGGGTTTGGTGGGCATGGAGTTTTGGAGTTGTAGTTCACCTACATCTAGAGAGCACTGTGGACTCAAATAATGATGGATCTGGACCAAACTTGGCAGGAATATTCAATATGCCCAAATATAAACACAGATGGAGTTTGGGGGAAATAGACCTTGACATTTGGGATTTGTAGTTACTGGGATTTATAGTTCACCTATAATCAAGGAGCATTCTGAACCCCACCAATGACAGAATTGGGGCAAACTTCCCACACAGAATCCTCATGACCAACAGAAAATACTGTGTTTTCTGGTGGTCTCTGGCAATCCTTCTGACATCCCCTTGCAACACCCCCAGGGGTCCCAAACCCCAGGTTGAGAAATGCTGCCTTAAGGCTACCCAGTCCAACTCCCGTCAACAAGGCAAGGAAACATAATCAAAGCCCTCCTGACAAAGGGCCATCCAGCCATTCACACACATACATATATGTATATGACAGATGCAGTATCAAAGATTTGAAAGGGACCCCTAAAGAAGAACAATGATATGTTGCATGTTCCAGAGTAGGCCAACACTGACAAAGAAACAGCAAGAAATACTGTTTACCCACAAGCAGAAAGATATTACATATATTAGAAACCAACACTTTCTCATTACTTTATTTTCCAGGTCACCAGACTGGGCCACAGCAAAGTGCGGCAAGGGACCACTAGTATAATATATAAAGTCTACCAGTAAGTATCCATTACTTTTGTACTGATATAAAAGTCAGCTTGGAGTTAAGACACAGAAACAACCTATTGCAAGGTGTTAAGATCATAAAAGTGAGCCCAAGATGGAAATGGTATGAATGAACTGGTGGAATTCAAGAAGGAAATGAAACAGAAAAAATTCCAACTTTCTTCCTGTAGTGTTGGGTTTTCTTTGAGGCAGCAAAACAAACTTCAATCCTTTCCATGGGGGACATGGCAGAAATGTACAAAGCTATAATTAGGATGGTCAGTTAATACATACAGCTATATTCAGTTAAGTCTTTAATTTTGCGTGTGTGTGTGTTAGGAGTGACTTGAGAAACTGCAAGTTGCTTCTGATGTGAGAGAATTGGCTGTTTGCAAGGACGTTGCCCAGGGAATGTCCGGATCTTTTTGATGTTTTGCCATCCTTGTGGGAGACTTCCCTCATGTCCCTGCATAGGGAGCTGGAGCTGATAGAGGGAGCTCATCCGCGCTCTTTCCGGATTCAAACCTCCAACCTGTCGGTCTTCAAGGGTTTAACCCATTGTGCTACCAAGGACTCCAAGTCTTTAAATGAAAAAAACTTTGATTACTTCTTGGTGTCAGGAGATGTCTTTCAAATATTTGTGCTTTCCTTGATTTGGTTCTCAAGGAAATAGTTATTCGTGTATTTCTAGTTGCTTGCAAAAGTTGGCAATGCAGCAATAAAGTAGTTATGCATTTCCTGTTTCTTTTAAAATAAAAGGTCATTTCCTAATGTAGTGGTGGTGAGTGCGTTGTGAAAGAGAAGCTCTGTGTGTACACAAAGTCAGCTACTGAGAGAATTTCAGTTCTCTTTTAGAGTTGAGTTCCTCAGTTGAGTTCAGCTCTCCAGGAGAAGGAAGAGACTGGGGATACTTCAGTAATGGCTTTTCCTGAATTTTATAAGTGAAACTGTCCTATTGAGTGGTGGCAGCATGCAATCCACTACTAAGGTGTCCTTGGTCTAACCACCAGGCAGTGAGGGAGAAGTCAGTTTGAGGGAGACTAGGGAATCAGCCAGAAATCTCTGACCCAGAAAAATATACAGCATGCCAGTCAGAAGGGCCCTACAAGAGAAATAAAAAGATAAACTTAAAATGGCTGAATTGGACTTAAAACAGATCCTTGAACATGTTCAGTGTGTTCCAAGAGGGTGTAAACATGGGTTGTTGTAGGTTTTTTCGGGCTATATGGCCATGTTCCAGAGACATTCTCTCCTGGCTCGAGAGCAGTACGTGTGAAAAAGATCTTGGAGTCCTCGTGGACAACAAGTTAAACATGAGCCAACAATGTGATGTGGCGAAAAAAAAGACAATGGGATTTTGGCCTGCATCAATAGGAGCATAGTGTCTAGATCTAGGGAAGTAATGCTACCCGTCTATTCTGCCTTGTTAGATCACACCTGGAATATTGTGTCCAATTCTGGGCACCATAATTCAAGAGAGATATTGAGAAGCTGGAATGTGTCCAGAGGAGGCGACTAAAATGATCAAGGGTCTGGAGAACAAGCCCTATGAGGAGCGGCTTAAGGAGCCGAGCATGTTTAGCCTGAAGAAGAGAAGGCTGAGAGGAGATATGATAGCCATGTATAAATATGTGAGAGGAAGCCACAGGGAGGAGGGAGCAAGCTTGTTTTCTGCTTCCTTGGAGACTAGGAGCGGAACAATGGCTTCAAGTTCAGCAGTGGAACCTTCTGCCCCGGAGTGTGGTGGAGGCTCCTTCTTTGGAAGCTTTTAAACAGAGGCTGGATGGCCATCTGTCAGGGGTGATTTGAATGCAATATTCCTGCTTCTTGGCAAGGAGTTGGACTGGATGGCCCATGAGGTCTCTTCCAACTCTTTGATTCTATGATTCTATGACGTTTCACCTGCATCTACGGCAAGCATCCTCAGAGGTAGTGATGTCTGTTGGAACTAGGAAAATTGGGTTTATATATCTGTTGAATGATTAGGGTGGGAGAAAGAACTCTTGGCTGCTGGAGCTAGGTGTGAATGTTTCAACTGACCACCTTGATTAGCATTTGATGGCCTGGCGGTTTTTTGGTGTGGCTTGTTAGTGCCTGGGGAAATCTTTTGTTGAGAGGTGATTCATTGTCCCTGAATGTTTCGTCTCTGTTGTTTGCTGTTGTAATTTTAGAGGTTTTTTAAATACTGGTGGAATTTTTGTTTTTGTCTGTTGGTGTGGACAGCTATCTTTTTCTCCATTTTTCTGTAAGTGAGGTTGTCTATTTTGTCCCAGTCCTGGGAATTCATCTTCTGGCTGATGTTGATATGGAGGTGCAACAGTTCCTTGTCTGCGTTTGCGAGTTCTTTGCGGATGGTGTGAATTCTCTCTCGTAAGAGGTTGCGATCCAGGCGATCATAGATCTGGCAAGCCTATGGTGTTTTGAAGGTCCTTATGGCTGCAAGAAATTGTGGGATGGTATCTGTGTCTCTGCAGCATAGAAGGAAAGTCAGGGAGCACAGTATATGTGCTTTCCTGGTCCTTAGTTTTTCCAATTTTCATGTGTCTTGGAACAGTTTCTCCCCGTAGAGTTGTTCAATGTATTGTCGAAGGCTTTCATGGCCGGAATCACTGGACTGTTGTAGGTTTTTTTGGGCTATATGACCCCTGTGCCGGCAGGACTGAAGACTGACAGGTCGCAGGTTCAAATCCGGGAAGAGGCGGATGAGCTCCCTCTATCAGCTCCAGCTCCACATGCGGGGACATGAGAGAAGCCTCCCACAAGGATGATAAAAACATCAAATCATCTGGGCGTCCCCTGGGCAATGTCCTTACAGATGGCCAATTCTCTCACACCAGAAGCGACTTGCAGTTTCTCAAGTCGCTCCTGACACGACAAAAAAAAAAAAGCTACACTGTAGCTCAAATCCAAATCTGTTCTTAATTACCCAGTACCTTCTTTGCAGGATTGCAAATTCAATCATTTTGTTTCTTCATTTTTCTGTTTATTGCAAAGGCAACAAAGTTGGTTCTCACGAATGCAATACACAGCAATATATTCAATGTTTGACTATAAGATGGGAATTCCTGGTTGCTAAATATATGCAACAGATTCAAGCCTACATCTTTCTATCAGCATTACAATCAATAAGATTTTTAAAAAGCAAATTGCAAATGGTTAGGCTGGGTCATCAAAACATGCAGTAACGTACAGTATTGTAGAATTTGCTAATCTCCAGAATTCAAGTAAACTTGCTGTACCTAAATAGTGGGCCCTGCAAGCCCTTCCTTAAATGCAGTTCTGACAGCAGATTCAACAGAAAACTAACACATAGAATGGGTTATATCTTTTGCTTTGCAGCAGAAGTAGGAATTATGAAGTCTCCAGACAGCCCTTTGTAAAGTCCCTGAAACTCCTGTCAAATATTCTATAATTTCCACAAAACATTTCAGCCAAAAACCCCATTCTTCAGCTGGAAAAGGGTGGGGGGGAAACAGAGTGAGGAGAGCTCAATCCTAATCTTCACCATTCCTGTGCTGAAAAATGCTGTTACAACACCCTCCCCAGCCAGAAACAGGAGCATCTTGCAAAAACTAATCTAAAAGTATCTCAAAATAGCAGCTGTAACAATGTGACCAGGAGCCCCCAGTGGTGCAGTGCGTTAAAGCACTGAGCTGCTGAGCTTGTTGACCTAAAGGTCACAGGTTTGAATTCAGGGAGCGGCATGAGCTTCCGCTGTCAGTCCCAGCTTCTGCCAACGTAGTAGTTCGAAAACATGCAAATGTGAGAAGCTCAATAGGTAATGCTTCGGCGGAAAGGTAACGGCGCTCCATGCAGTCATGCCGGCCACATGACCTTGGAGGTGTCTATGGACAATGCCGGCTCTTTGTCTTAGAAATGGAGATGAACACCACACCCCAGAGTTGGACATGACTGGACTTCGTGTCAGGGGAAAACCTTTACTTTTACTTAACAATGTGACTGGGCCCTTCAGAGGCACCACGGGGTCTCTACCCCTATTTTACAAGACATTTAATATTAGGATTGAGCTCTCCTCACTCAGTCCCACCCAGGTAAGAGTAAAACACTGGGATTTTGGCGCAGCCGGCTGAGTGTCAGCTGCATTAAGATCACTCTGACCAAAAGGTCATTATTTCGAAGCCAGCCCGGGTTGGAGTGGGTTTCCAACCAATTGTGTGTAGCCTGTTGCCGATCTTTGCAACCCGAAAGACAGTTGCATCTGTCAAGTAGGAAAATTAGGTACCACCTTAAAGTGTGGGGAGGCTAAATTAACAGATTTATGAGGCCATAAAGAAGACTCCAGCAAAGCATTCCAGCGGGGAAGCATGCGGGCAATGCGGAAGTGCTTCATCAGTGTCGGAGATGAACAATGAAAGCGACAGCTCCCCTGGTGGCCAGAAAAAGTTAAATAGCCTCTGTGTATGTCTGTATATGTTTGTATGTCAAAAATTGGCATTGAATGTTTGCCATATATGTGTACACTGTAATCCGCCCTGAGTCCCCTGCAGGGTGAGAAGGGCAGAATATAAAAGCTGTAAATAAATAAATAAATAAATAAATAAATAAATAAATGTAAATAAACAACTAAGTCTGCTCACCTGGTCCTTGGTTTTCCCCTCACGTTCTCTGATGTACGTAGTAACAATTCTCTCAGTTTCTTCTCGCAGTCTGGGGTAAGAACCAAGCTGAGGACAAGGGGGAAAGAGATCAGATCTCTGCAGCATCACACATTAATTCACATAGATACAAAGGGACAGAGGAAGGGAAGGAACGGGTTGTCTCCCAGCTATACCATTTACAAAGTAAAGAATCAAGGGGGGAGGCTACTTCAGTAAAGATCCCCTAAAATATGGGTGTCTTAATATATACCTTATGCTCCCCTATGGTCTTTTTCTGGGAAACAACCCAAGATCCCTGTGATGTTTAGAGGAGAAAAGGAAGACACAGGTGGCTGGATATTAGTGCTACAGGAGGAAAGAGAGCTACCTGTGTTTTTATTAAATATAAAAGGCTACTATAAGTTATTTGATTACATAATGCCAAAGTGCTCCTTCATCTTAAATAGTATTGGAGCTCTTTACTCAGTATGTATGTACAACTCTTCTGGCACGCAAGAGTCCAAAAGCAGTGTCCTCGAGGCTTCAGAATTTGGATCCACTAAAGCTGCTCCAGTCCGAGCCATACCTGTGCAGTGCTACTGAAGGACCTTGCTATGAAGCCACTCCAAGGATAGAAGCCCATAGGAAAGGTAATCCAACAACCATAAAGCCAAATGGGCAAATGAGCATTCTGGTTAAGGTCCCCTGAAGGGGACACAGCCTGAATGTTTTAAGGAACAGCAACTTTTAGAGGAGTCCAGCTGGGCACAAACACAGCTTGGCCTTACATAAATACAGGACATGTTTTCTTTTACATAGGCATCACAAGCAGCCATATTCCAGGAGATAGGAAAACGTAGGGAGATGAGGAAAAAGAGTACAGACTCATTACCTTCTCTGCACACTTTTTAATGACCATGGCCAGCTCTGAGACCACCAGATCAACACACTTCAAACTGGGCTCTTTGAGCTTTATAATCTGTTTTTTCACTATGGCTTCAAAAGCCATGTCAGGTGTGAAGAGCCCCGTCCTGTACCATGCAGAAAGCGCGAACAGAAAGGCGAGAATTCGAAGAACAGGGAGAAAAAAAAGTAACAGAGAGATTCAACAGGTTAGTAATGTGCAAATGAAAAAGCAGCAGCACTTCCTCAGGAAGATCTTTCTTATGCTGTAAACTACTAACAAGGAATTAGCCCTCCAAGGATCTCTTGAGTCGAGCTGCTCAGTAGCACTCACAACAGCCCCAAGACTTGGCAAAGGAATTGTGTCTTGGCTTCCTATTACCTGAGAGGCCTTTCAAATGATAATAGGAGGGGTTTGGCAAAAAGCATGAAAATGTTCTTGCTGACAAAGGCAGAAAAAAATACCCTGCACAGAGAGAGGGGAATTGGATAATGGCTTTATCTTTTTCCTGTAATCATTAGTTTGATCAGGAATTGCCAAATAGTAAAGCAGATCAGGACTTGAAATGATGGGCCTGCTCCTGACCTTTTATGTAGTCACCGAACTCGCTGCAAAAATGTGAACATTGTTTTTTCATTTTGTTTTTAAAGACGCAGGCCAACCTCACCTCTGGGAGTATCAGTCACGTCTGTGAGTATGACAGCTCCTCAATCCTCTAACAACAAATCCATTCTTTAAAAATGGAAGTGAGATCTTAAAAACCAGATGTGACCTTCCAGTCATTTCCTGTTTCATTCTGAGTAACTGGTATAGCTCCTGAAAAATGTTAAGAACCAGAAACAATGGCTATCTGACCCTGAAACTTGTCCATTCCTGATAGAAAAGTAATGGGTGATACAGTCAAAAGGCATCAATCAAACTTCTAAAGGATTGGAAAGGCCAAAAAAGCTCAGCTATGTTTGAATGAGACACATATTTCTGCCTTCCTCGAGTGCTATATTGCTGCCTACTTGCCCCTTGAGAGGGTTATTGAACATGGGCTGGGATAGGGACTGCATTTATACTACAAAACATAGTTGAGTGGAACTAATTTATATTTTGGATGTTATTTGGAGCAAGTGTGGTAAAAAATCCTTATTCAGCAAGACTCAATCACATGCTGAGTGCAAATCCTTTTCCATGTGGCAAACAGATGTGAGGTGGTGGGGTAATGGGGTAGTGGAGAAGAAGGCCATAATAAAAATATTCACAATTTTGGATGCCATTAGGTTTTTAAAAACTGGTTTGCACTCTTGCTGCAGTTCTTGCCAACACAGAAAATCAAATCCCAAAGATACTGGAATCCTTTGGTGTGGATATGGCCTATGTGTTTCCAGGCAGTATGAGGAAAGAGGGCTGACATGATTGGATGCTGATCTGTATATAAAAATAGTACCCTAATGTATCTGTGGGAATGTCAAGCTGCAGTCCTTCTCCTGAACATGTTAGGTTCCATAAGCAGAAAATATTCTGCATGGAGCATCACAACCTTCTACATATAATCTGAAGTGGTATTTATTTATTATTTATTTACGGCATTTATATGCTGCCCTTCTCACGCTGAAAGGGACTCAGAGCGGCTCCTCAAGCCTCTAACAACAAATCCATTCTTTAAAAATGGAAGTGAGATCTTAAAAACCAGATGTGACCTTCCAGTCATTTCCTGTTTCATTCTGAGTAACTGGTATAGCTCCTGAAAAATGTATTCATACAATATATTATATTATTAGCATAGTACAATATCAGTATTATATATTACTATATTGCACTATACCATTATATTGCAATATTATTAATAATATTACATGTAATGTAAATATATAATTATAATATTGTATTATTATTACTAGTATATGTGGTACAAGCCCACAGGAAGGCTGACATCAGTAAAATGTGGTTTGCTTTGGTAGTTTGTCATTCATGTTAATGTTTACAGACTACCCATCTTGCCCCACAATGTCGAGATATTTAGTCTGCAAAGAATGTCTCTTCCCAATCTCTGATATTTGTCTGTCATTGTAGTGTCTTTGTAGTGCCGCCAAACACTTCCATTTCACAGCTTTCTCCTATACCCAGCTCTTTTGAAGGTCAATAGGAACTCAAGTGTTAGATAAGTGTTGCCTTTGGCTCAGTCTAGGAGTATGAGTATACTAGAGGACAGGTCCACTTTAAATATTCCTTTAGCATATTAACTCAAGAAAGCTGCTCAACGTCTGCTCAGACACCTTGCAGGGCAAAAGACAGCAGAAGATCCCGTTACATTTGGACAGATGGAAATTGAAGGACCTTGGAGAGCAAGTGCTGGCTTCTTCACATTACATCAACAAAAGCACACAATTTCTCTGTCAGAAACAGACCCAAGGTCCAATCTATTGCATACACCACTGCAACAAGCAAGCAATGTAAACCGCTCTTAAGGGGAGCATCTTCACTATTTTTGTTAATAACAGGTTCTTGCCAAGGCAACATGAACCTGAGGCTTCAGCCTGAACACCTTGCTTTTCAATCCCGAAAAGAGAGCAAGGAGAAGTCAGTTACCTATGGTGTCAGCTTTTCAATATGTAAATAACCATATGGACAAGACGACTGCATAGGAACATTGCTGCTCTCAACAGATGAATGCCTTTACAGTGATTGTGATTCATTACTTCAACCAATACATTGGAAACAAATTTGCACAAGTGACATCTTTGCTCCGTGAAAACTTACATTTTGCAAAAAACTTAAGGAAGCGGTTTAAATGGCAAATCAAGAAGCCATGCACTTAGAGAGGGGTCAGGAGTCAAGAAGGATCTGCCCACTTGCCTCAGCAACCTCCAGAGAGCTTAGAAACACTTATGTTATGAGGATGAAAGCAGGAAAGGCTGTGGCCCAGAGCAGTCCTGCTTGCATTGACACACAATACAAAAATTGCAATCTGAATAATATAGATGTTGTACGGTAGCACCTCGTCAGAAGCTTGTGAAACAGGACAGTGTCTCCCACTGAAAAAACCCTAGCTTCCGTTTCTGCATCAACCAATCAAGATTTCAGAAGGTGCCTGCAAGCAATGCTGGGAGGTTGCTGAAGGCAAGATGGGCAGATTAGAACAGTGCAGTTTGGGCAGATTTCCCCACCCCAGTCAAAAAGAGCTAGGCTGCCTCCAGCTAGTTTCAATACCTTACTGGTACATTGTCTAACTGTATTGATTAACTCCTGAATAACCAGGTCGACACACTTCAAACAAGGCTCTTTCAGCTTGACCACCTGCTTTTTCACAATGGCCTCAAATGCCAAGTCTGGTGTGAACAGCCCCGTCCTACAGTCATCCACACGCAGGAGGGAAGGAGGGCACAGACATGGCAGAGAAAAAAAAAAAACAAGGGGGAAAGAACACAGTTTAAAGACTGGAAATATTCTACATTGCAATTCCCATCAGACAATAATTTTGTGATTTAAAAAGTTCCCTCTCACCAGTAACACACTTTCATTAAATAATACAGGCCCCAAAATCATCAGAAAATGAAAAGGCTGTTGAGGGCAAGAGAGAAAATAAAATAGGTTTCTGCTATATGGCAAAATTCTGCAAACTGAATACAGTAATGGTTGATTGACATGGATGTAGAAGGGAAAGAAGCAGTTGACATTCTAAGGATACAAACTTTATGGGAGGGAGTAAAAGATAACTCACAACAGAGGCCAGAGAAAAGTAAAGGATGGAGAGTTGGTAAGGTATCATTATTACAGATATTTTTGCCAAAACAGGTAAAGGGGGAAAGGGGCATAACATCTTTTGTTCTGGAAGCAATGAACTTCACAGGAAGTAATAATCTTCTCCTCCCCAAGCAGAATTTCAGAACCTCCTGGCCTATATATTCAATCTTTGACCCATTTATAGAGATATTTAAACAGATGTATTTCTAAGTTTATATTTAATTATTTGCAGAAGCAGACCACTATATCTTGAATTTTTATTTGCATAACAAACAAAACAAAGATGGCTGAGAGGCACCACTCAGAAGTGCTGAACTATTTTCACTGCTCCCTTGTGTGATGGATGTGGTACAATTACTTGCCAATAGAAGGGCAGCCCTAGGCTTTTCTTTTCCCTCCTTTCTTGATCAAACATCTTCAAGGAGGGGAGGAATGTAAAGCTCCATGCATGCTGAAAGGAGATCATCATTTTAGTTCCCTGCATCTTCTCAGTAATATATTCCTTCATGGGCAAAATGAGAGACACTATTGGTAGCAGAGGCTTCTCAGCCTGATGGCCAATATGCCTTAGAAGTCCAATATATCACAAAGCACAAATCCCAAATGTGATGTTGCACTATATCAAATCAGCTAACTGTTGCAATACTTGCCTCACACCATGGATGTTTTTGATCGCATAGCTGATTTCTCGCCTCAAATCCTTCTCATCAAACTCCATCTAAAAGGAAAAGAGCCCAATACTAAAGCAGGCTGAAAGACAATTGTTCCATGCATTCCTAATCTTTTTTTTTCTTTCTTACTTACAATTGCCAACATAGTGATGAACCATAATCACAAATCATCTTTAGAGAGAACTGAGGTCTCGTTCCAGGAAGCAAAGATATACAGGGTGAGGCAGCATAACTTCCTTTTTTAAAATGCGCACCATTCAGTCGGTTGAAGACGTAGCGGAGCGCTAGTGGTCTCGTTCGAGAGGCGGGAGTATAAAGTTTTGTCCTGACACAGTTCAGTCGCCATCATGCGTTGGAACAGTGAGGAGCGTGCTTTTGCCGTTGAGGCCTACTTTTCGAGCGGATTTGGAGTGGCCGGCCCGCTCTCCAGATTTGGCCCCTTGTGATTTTTTTCTATGGGGTTTTTTGAAATCCCGTGTTTATGTGAACCGTCCAAGGACCCTACAAGATTTGAAGACCAACATCCAGGAAGAAATTGCCAACATAACGCCTGCTATGCTGGCAAGAGTCATGACAAACAGAAATCGGTTTACTCAGTGTATGGAGAATGGGGGACGTCACCTACCTAATTTGATCTTCAAAACTACGTAAAACAAAACTTTAGGTATGTGCCTACATTATAAAAAAAATTTTCTGATTCATACAATGGGTTTTATTAAGTTTTGAAAAAAGGAAGTTATGCTGCCTCACCCTGTAGTAGGCAAGAGCAGGTTACTTACCCATGAACATTGGCCTCAGTGAAAAGAGGGCATCCCTAAAGCAGTAGCTCCAGAACATTTTTTCTGATACCTCTCTCAAATGTGACTACTACTCACATCATTCCTTAAGCAGCATGGCAACTGCAGTGAAATTAATGTGGAGGACATTCATGTGGGGAGAATGAACATAATAGGCAATATTAACAAACTACAGTAGCTATCCAAAAATATAAAGAACAAACAACTAATTTCCCTCCCCGCTTTCTTTGGAGGAAAGATTTGGCAACTCAGAAAGGCCTTAATCAAAACGAGACTAGCTTCCATTTGAAGTTCCATCCACCAAAAGTCATGTGAAGGTACACACAACCAGACTAGGGTCCTATAGAAAATGCCTTTTGTCATCCATCAAAAGCCATGTGCAAGTGTAGGACACAACAACCAGACTAGCTTCCCTTTGAAGATCCTTCTATGACTGGAGCCATATAGAAAATGTATTTTGTCATCCACCAAAAGATGTAGCCATTTTCAAATGTAGGACACACAGCAAATTCCCTAATCATCTTGTAGAAGAAAGCAGTATTTACAAGTCTGTGCTTTGAATGCATACATCTCCTATGAAAACCTACAGCAACAGATGAAGTAAACACATTTGAAAATCACCTAATCCCTCTGGAGAGCACTGTCCCCATCACTTTTACCTTGACTAGTTCAAAGGGGAACCTTTCATGGAAGATGCGATTTATTCGGGCTCCACCTGAGAGTTCAAGGGTGTCCACCTGGTCTCCAGATCCTTCGATTCTCTTCTCAAAGTCTACAGCAAACTGCTGGACCATCCTGCACACAGAGATAAATGGAGGTGAATAAAATATTTCCACCACCCTAAAATTGTCTGTATCATCAAAAGCTCTGACCAGCCAATCAGGGACATATATTCAAACTAATGTTTTATTGGATCAGTATTTGTTGATCTATATGTCCAAAAATAATGCAACACAGAAAGAAGAGACGAACGTCTTAGTAAAGCTGTTCTTAATGCACATGTTAATTTTTTAAATGTATGTATCATTGTTACAACATAATTTTATACATTTTCTTTATAATGGAAAAAACAGCAAAACAAAAAACCAACTCCACATAAAAAGTAATAGAATTAGAACCCAGAGGTTTTATTTTTAAAAGAACGTGTCTTACCCTATCTGAACGTTACAGTAGATCAGAAGTGGATCCAATAAGAGTAATAAACACACACAACTGTATATGTAACCTACACATTCAGCCTATGCAGTCTGCGCATTCATAAATATATCAGTTGTGAAAACTCAGCTGTTCTTTTTGATTAGGAATTACCTCAGCACAATGAACACAGCCTAGACTTTTCCTCATCAAAGAGAATTCAAACAGGCCGGTTTACAAAAAATAGATTTCCTCCTGAACATCAAAGTTTCCCTCCATACTAGGTGACTAAGAAAGCCAAGCTGGAGAGTTTCATACTAACATGGCATTGGGGGCTGTGCGGTGGTGGCTGGAGTGTGGAGGGATCGGTATGTTGTTTTTGTGATGTGTGCTGGGGAAATAATTTAATTACATTGTACAATATATAATGACAATAAAGTTATTCTATTCTGGGTTGTTGTAGGTTTTTTCGGGCTATATGGTAAAAATAATTCTGATTCATGCAATGGGTTTTATTAAATTTTGAAAAAAGGAAGTTATGCTGCCTCACCCTGTAGTAGGCAAGAGCAGGTTACTTACCCATGAACATTGGCCTCAGTGAAAAGAGGGCATCCCTAAAGCAGTAGCTCCAGAACATTTTTTCTGATACCTCTCTCAAATGTGACTACTACTCACACCATTCCTTAAGCAGCATGGCAACTGCAGTGAAATTAATGTGGAGGACATTCATGTGGGGAGCATGAACATAACAGGCAATATTAACAAACTACAGTAGCTATCCAAAAATATAAAGAACAAACAACTAATTTCCCTCCCCGCTTTCTTTGGAGGAAAGATTTGGCAACTCAGAAAGGCCTTAATCAAAACGAGACTAGCTTCCATTTGAAGTTCCATCCACCAAAAGTCATGTGAAGGTACACACAACCAGACTAGGGTCCTATAGAAAATGCCTTTTGTCATCCATCAAAAGCCATGTGCAAGTGTAGGACACAACAACCAGACTAGCTTCCCTTTGAAGATCCTTCTATGACTGGAGCCATATAGAAAATGTATTTTGTCATCCACCAAAAGATGTAGCCATTTTCAAATGTAGGACACACAGCAAATTCCCTAATCATCTTGTAGAAGAAAGCAGTATTTACAAGTCTGTGCTTTGAATGCATACATCTCCTATGAAAACCTACAGCAACAGATGAAGTAAACACATTTGAAAATCACCTAATCCCTCTGGAGAGCACTGTCCCCATCACTTTTACCTTGACTAGTTCAAAGGGGAACCTTTCATGGAAGATGCGATTTATTCGGGCTCCACCTGAGAGTTCAAGGGTGTCCACCTGGTCTCCAGATCCTTCGATTCTCTTCTCAAAGTCTACAGCAAACTGCTGGACCATCCTGCACACAGAGATAAATGGAGGTGAATAAAATATTTCCACCACCCTAAAATTGTCTGTATCATCAAAAGCTCTGACCAGCCAATCAGGGACATATATTCAAACTAATGTTTTATTGGATCAGTATTTGTTGATCTATATGTCCAAAAATAATGCAACACAGAAAGAAGAGACGAACGTCTTAGTAAAGCTGTTCTTAATGCACATGTTAATTTTTTAAATGTATGTATCATTGTTACAACATAATTTTATACATTTTCTTTATAATGGAAAAAACAGCAAAACAAAAAACCAACTCCACATAAAAAGTAATAGAATTAGAACCCAGAGGTTTTATTTTTAAAAGGACGTGTCTTACCCTATCTGAACGTTACAGTAGATCAGAAGTGGGTCCAATAAGAGTAATAAACACACACAACTGTATATGTAACCTACACATTCAGCCTATGCAGTCTGCGCATTCATAAATATATCAGTTGTGAAAACTCAGCTGTTCTTTTTGATTAGGAATTACCTCAGCACAATGAACACAGCCTAGACTTTTCCTCATCAAAGAGAATTCAAACAGGCCGGTTTACAAAAAATAGATTTCCTCCTGAACATCAAAGTTTCCCTCCATACTAGGTGACTAAGAAAGCCAAGCTGGAGAGTTTCATACTGACATGGCATTGGGGGCTGCGCAGTGGTGGCTGGAGTGTGGAGGGATGGGTATGTTGTTTTTGTGATGTGTGCTGGGGAAATAATTTAATTACATTATACAATATATAATGGCAATAAAGTTATTCTCTTCTGGGTTGTTGTAAGTTTTTTCGGGCTATATGGCCATGTTCTAGAGGCATTCTCTCCTGACTTTTCGCCTGCATCTATGGCAGTGTTTCTCAACCTGAGGGGGTAATGAGGGGTGTCAGAGGGGTCATCAAAGACCATCAGAAAACACAGTATTTTCTGATAGTCACAGGGGTTCTGTGTGGGAAGTTTGGCAATTCTATTTTTGGTGGAGTTCAGAATGTTCTTTGATTGTAATGAACTATAAATCCCAGCAACTACAACTCCCAAATGTCAAGATCTATTTTCCCCAGACTCCACCAGTGTTCACATTTGGGCATATTGAGTATTCATGCCAAGTTTGGTCCAGATCCACCATTGCATGAGTCCACAATGCTCTCTGGATATAGGTGAACTACAACTCCCAAACTCAAGGTCAATGCCCATCAAACCCTTCCAGTGTTTTCCATTGGTCATGGGAGCCAAGTTTGGTTCAAATCCATCCCTGGTGGAGTTCGGAATGCTCTTTGATTACAAGTGAATTATAAATCCCAGCAACTACAACTCCCAAATTATAAAATGAATCCTCCCCCAACCCCAATAGCATTCACATTTGGGTATATTGGGTATTTGTGCCCAGTTTGGTCCAGTGAATGAAAATGCATCCTGCATATCACACATTTACATTATGATTTATAACAGTAGTAAAATGACTGTTATGAAGTAGCAACAAAAAAAAATATTATGGTTGGGGGTCACCACAACATGAGGGACTGTATTAAGGGGTCACGGCATTAGGAAGGTTGAGAACCATTGATCTATGGCAAGCATCCTCAGAGGTAGTAAGGTCTGTTGGAACTAGGAAATGGGTTTATATATCTGTGGAATGACCAAGGGGGGACAAAGAACTTTTGTCTGTTGGAGCTAGGTGTTAATGTTTCCACTGACCACCTTGATTAGCATTGTCAGTTTTTTGGTGTGGCTTGTTAGTGCCTGGGGAAATCTTTTGTTGAGAGGTGATTAGATGTCCCTGATTGTTTCCTCTCTGTTGTTTTGCTGTTGTAATTTTAGAGTTTTTTAATACTGGTAGCCAGATTTTGTTCATTTTCATATTAAATCATGAACCTACAACAACCCTGTGATTCCGGCTATGAAAGCCTTCAACAATACATTATTCTATTCTATTCTAAAAGCATATTCCACTCGACACTGTTTGCACACCAACAGAAACAAGGTACGCTTACTGTTCCTTTATAAGCAAGGTGATCCACAGATACCAAGAACTACTATCCTGATGCTCTGATAAGAGGAGAGAGCAATATCAGCAGAATGTGAGGCCTCTGGACATTTCAGCACATGAGGAGGCAGAGAAAGCAAAAGCACCCCATGAAAGACACCCTCCCCCCCCCCCCCCCCAAACTGTTCTGTGGTCTTTGAACAGCTTACATAAAAATCACTTGTTGTGGTACAGCACAAAACAAACTTCCAAAATTTAGCTTTCAAACACAGTGGAACGTTCTGGTGAGTTCATGGGGGAAGGAAGATACTTTGCAATTGATATGGAGGCCTAAAAGCTACATTCTCTAATGAAGCCTGCCTCCACCTAGTGGTCAGCCAGAAGCTTTTTTGCTCAGTTCCAAAATTGTAAATCAGTAATTGTATTTGTTGAAAAATAAGTTTAAGATGCAGATCTGGGTGCCAGACTGCACAGCAGTGTAGGTATTCTTTAAGTACAAATGGAAGGTCCAAAACCATTTTAAGGCCACAAGACAGCGCTTTGTCTTTATGCCATAGACCTCAGACCAAGTCTCTTTCCATAGTTATCTTCTGATGCACAATGCTCTTTCTCTTCAGACACATAAACATGAGTTGTATAAGATCTGTGATATATCAAAAACAGTGTTGCCCTGGATTCCTCTGGCACTATATCTCCCTCCCTTTTTAACACTCTTGAAAATCTTCCTTATCATTACGACGTTTAACTCTCACACCCTGCTCCAACAAAACCCAGAAGAAATGTCACTGCATTATTTTACATACATCCCTTGCTATCTGTATCTTCTTCCCACTCTCCATTAAAATGTTTTAGCATTCTTCCAGGATAAAAGCCCATCATATGGGAAGTTATAAAATAAAAAGTCATATAAGAATAGAAACAACTTCTTGATGTTTGATATGAGATTTTCCCCAATAAAATTAAATTTTCTTATTTCTTGGAAGCTATATTCTATACCAGGGGTTCTCAAACTAAGGCCAGGGGCTGAATATGGCCCTCCAAGGTCATTTACCCGGCCCTTGCTCAGGGTCAACCTAAGTCTGAAACAACTTGAAAGCTCACTACTACAATAACAACAACAACAATCCTACTGTCGAAGGCTTTCATGGTCGGAATCACTGGGTTGTTGTAGGTTTTTTCGGGCTATATGGCCATGTTCTAGAGGCATCTAGAACATGGCCATATAGCCCAAAAAATCCTACAACAACCCAACAACAATCCTATCTCATCAGCCCACACTTCTCATTGAAATACGAATAAGTTTATATTTGTTAAAATTGTTCTTCATTTTAATTATTGTATTGTTTTTAAGTGTTTTTTGCACTACAAATAAGGTATGTGCAGTGTGCATAGGAATTCATTCATGTTTTTTTCAAATTATAATCCAGCCCTCCAACAGTTTGAGGGACTGTGACCTGGCCCTCTGTTTAAAAAGTTTGAGGACCCCTGTCCTATACAGTCTAGAAAGTTCAACAAAAAAAAAAACCAATTAAAAAAACCTGGGACAACATATCAATTTGGGATCAGTGTAACTACTGTACCCTGCCTCTTATTAAACAAAAAAATTACCTCTCTAAGTAGAGCAGCAAAAAGCAAGAGATTCATCCATACTGGCAAACCCCAAAAGAAGTAAGACTCAATCTACTTTCCCCCCACAATGCCACTTTTGGCCTTTTTAAATGCCTAGGGAAACAGCAGAAAAGGCAACAATGTGAGACTAGACCCTTTGGTGACATTAATGCCTAAATTCCATATTAAAATCCATACATTTGGTCCCAAAACCTGTTTTCGACTTATACATGAGGTAATTTCATCCATGAGTATATACAATGGGTGCAATCTCTTTAGCACTCTATAGACATTTTCTTCTAGGACTTGCATCATCCATCAATTGATGGTGGACAGTGGAGAAGTAGGTCAAGAACAACTATGGGGACAAAGGTTTCCCCTCCTTTTTCCTAAAGCCTAACACAAGGAGGAAGAAAGCAACGCAAACAAAAGGCAGAATTTAGTGTAAATTTTGACCTACTGCAGCAAGGCTTTGGTTTTTCGTGTAGGGTCATCAGGGCGAAAATTCTTGTATTCTTCCACCTCTTTCTCTAGAGACAGCAGCTGACTTTGGAGTTTGCTACGCAGGGATGGCAGTGTTTCTCGGATATGGTTTGTCAATTGCTTTGGTGAAAAGTACACAGAAATATACAGTAATTTAACATTGGTATCTTTACAAGCAGGACTACTTACTGCCAAGAGAACAGACCCTTTCTAGCAAAAATGGGCCCCTCTTTTTTTTCAGATACTTACTAGTCTCATTTGCTTTCAAATAGGTGAGGGGACAAACCTCTTATCAGGTAGAGGGRGTGAGAAATTGCCATACTCTAAAAATGCCCTAAATACACTGTTTACGATAAGTATACCACCCAGGGCCATAGCTGGGGGGGGGGGGKGTTAAAAGATCAACCCCACCTTGAAATGTGTCAGGTTAAAAAAGAAACCTGGTTTACACATAGATTGGTTAATCAGTTTAAATTCATGAGTAAACCAGGTTTCGGGGAGGGGGGTTTAGAACCCTTTCGGGGGGTAAGCCCTTAACCCCCCCCCCCGAACCACCCCCCAGTTACAGCCTTGACACCACCCTTTCTGCATATGAGTAATTAGGAACAATTGCGTACATATTTCACACTAAGTACTATGATTCTGTCAACTCTGCAAGAAGTAGAGGTGAGCTAGAAATCAAGGCCCTTTCTTTTGACTTACCCTGCGTATTTGAAGCTTAAACCAATTCTGAACTGAATCACACTATAAACTTGTGAAAATTGGGATTGGCAGAAGAAGAAGAAAACCTTACAAATTTGTGCTGAGACTTAAGAGCCATCTCCCTCCCTGATGCGGCACTATTTCAAGTTTACGGAGTTATTTATTTAATTTATGTCCCACTTTTCCCCACAAATAAGATCCAAACCAGTTAGAAAGAGTCAGAAAAAAGATCCAAAAAAGACAAACCTACCTGATTGAGAACCTTCTGCAAGTGCGGAGTTCCCATACGGTCTGCCATGTGTCTGTAAGCAGGATGGGAAAGGAAGAACTTCCGCTCAGCTGCCAGCGCTGCTCTGATGTCCTTTTTGCCATCAATGTCCTTCTGGCTCCGGTTTACAACTCCAATGTAGCCTGTAGGTGGATATTACCCAAAGTTAGTTTCTGTCATAAAGCTTGCTCAGTGTTAATTCTGAGAGGGGAGGCTTGATCATATTAGGAGCCCCTGGTAGCACAGTGGGTTAAACCCCTGTGCCGGCAGGACTGAAGGTCGCAGGTTTGAATCTGGGGAGAGGTGGATGAGCTCCCTTTATCACCTCCAGCTCCTCATATGGGGACATGAGAGAAGCCTCCCACAAGGATGATAAAAATATCAAATTATCCAGGCGTCCCCTGGGCAACGTCCTTGCAGACGGCCAATTCTCTCACACCAGGAGCGACTTGCAGCTTCTCAAGTCGCTCCTGACACGACAAAAAAAAAAATTAGAGAAGCAACTAAAGGAGACCAAATCACCGTGACAACACAGAGAATGCAACATAACCCATTTCTATTATAGAACTGTGACAAGTCACACACTTTGAGTTTCCCTGTCGAGAGAAAAATGGAATATAAATAAACACAACAATAACAATAACAATAATCCTTACTTCAAAATATATGAGCACATGTGAGGAGAGTGCAGGTTTCAATTGGCAAGGGCTTAGATCTCATCATTTACCATAGGATCTTCCCCACTGTTCCTGGACTCACATCCAATTTCTCAGACTGCCATTCTTAGCACATGAAAATATTGGAACTCAATATTTACAGAAAACTAAAGGTTTTTTTAATTTTTGAAAAGGCGTGAATAGGCTTATTTTGCTTATTACCATTTAAAGAAGATGGCAAGAGGCAATCATAGAATCAAAGAGTTGGAAGAGACCTCACGGGCCATCCAGTCCAACTCCCTGCCAAGAAGCAGGAACATTGCATTCAAAGCACCCCTGACAGATGGCAATCCAGCCTCTGCTTAAAAGCTTCCAAAGAAGGAGCCTCCACTACACTCCATGGCAGAGAGTTCCAGTGCTCAATAAAACATCAATGTCTGACTCTCAATTCAATTGTCAAATCATGTTTGGATCCAATTCCAAAGGAACATGGAACTTACAACAGCCTACAAAAATAACTAAAACAGTAGTCATTTTTGAGCAAAAATGTAATAATGTGATTGTTTCCAAGGAAGTACAAATTGAATGTCCTTTATCTGAAATGCCTGGGACCAGAAATGTTAAGTATTAAAGTTTTTTTTTTCTCCAGATTTTGAAATACTTGCATATATATTATGAGATATCTTGGAAATGGGGCACAAGCCGAAACACAACATTCATTTCTGTTTCATTTACACATAGCCTGAAGGTAATTTTAGGCAAACCACTTTTGTGCATGAAACAAAATCTATGTACACTGAACCGTCAAAAGGAAAGGGGCTGTAATCTCAGCCACCAATATGGACAATTTTGGACTACTTTTTTTCTGGGTCCAGATCCACTCTATCTCTTTTTTCCATTCCCCAGCTACCCCGCAAGCCTGCAGTTTGCAGCCATTGCCATTTTTGAGCTTCCCCCACCATGTGCAGCAACCACAGATTCTCCAATCCAATTGGAAGTTTCAGCACCCGTTCTATATGATGACTCCTGTGTATAAGACTACTCCCGCATATAAGACTACTCCCACGTATAAGACTACCCCACGTATAAAACGACCCCTGACTTTTGAGAAGATTTTCTTGGGTTAAAAAGTAGTCTTATACACCAGAATATATGGTATATTCACTTACTATAGGACTGCTGGGCACAACATAACTGCATACACATTAACTGTATATTGCATGATCATTGTGGCATATATTTAGAAACATATAATTAATCTACATGCTTCCTTCATCCAAGCTTCTTTATGAAACTCTTCCTTTACAGAAGACCAGAGATTAGACAAGGCTGAATTCAATCTGCAAAATAGTCCTTGGTTTAAATCAGGAATCTACCTCTCCGCAAAGGTAACAGTTTGTTCTCCAGGACATCTCTGGCATCCGTGCCTTCATCCATCAGATCTAGCTTGGTCATCACCCCAATTGTCCGTAAGCCTGAGAACAAAACAGAACCGCCGGTCAAACGGGATGCAAAGACATAGGAGAGCAAATAAGGACATCACAGAAATGACATCACACACTATTATTTAGTGGATAAATTTGCCTCAACAAAATACCATAATCGAAGCTGTGATAATGAGAAGTAGGGTGCAAGGTTCACCTGGCACCCTATACAGTGGCAGAAGTAGTATAATAAATGACAAAATACTAGGCATCTCAGGGTCATTAGGCTATTTTTTTCTGTTTTAGCAAGTTCCCGATCCTTTACACTGCAATACAATATAGAATAGAATTCAAAGTCATTAAAACTGAGGGTGACAACGACTTTGTCTTATTCTGCTTTGTATTTGAAAGTTATGAGTCATCTTAATTTTATGACTTCTTCCACTATATTCTTTCAGCTTCCAGTTCTCAACCAGGAAATTCCTTTGAAAGATCAGAATTGTACTTCCAATATGTGACTGTAGACAGTCCCTCAAACTGTTAGAGGGTCAGATTGTAATTTGAAAAAAACATGAATGAATTCCTATGCACACTGCACATATCTTATTTGTAGTACAAAAAACACTTAGAAACAATACAATAATAAAAATGAAGAACAATTTTAATAAATATAAGCTTATTAGTATTTCAATAGTGTGGGCCTGCTTTTGGCTGATGAGATAGGATTGTTGTTGTTGTTGTTGTTGTTGTTGTTGTTGTGTGCTTTCAAGTTGTTTCAGACTTGGGTTGACCCTGAGCGAGGGCCAGGTAAATGACCTTGGAAGGCCGTATCTGAGCCCCAGGCCTTAGTTTGAGGACCCCTGCTGTAGAAGATCACTTTAATACTGATCTATTCAGTTTTGGACAGGCCTCCTATTTGAGGAGAATACGGTTTCAAATTTCCACATTGTCATGGGCTATATAAGAAAGAAAGAAAGAAAGAAAGAAAGAAAGAAAGAAAGAAAGAAAGAAAGAAAAGACTACCACTTTACCTTGTGGGTCCACTTCTTTCGCCATTTTGAGAGCATCCGAGTTGGCCAAATCCATGTTGGCTGGAGTCACAGCAAGAATCAAGCTGCTCTCTCTGCTAATGAACTGCAAGATCATATCTTTGATCTGGTACTCAATGTCTTGGGGTTGGTCACCCACAGGCACCTTAGTGATACCCGGAAGGTCAATCAAAGTCAGATTCAATACTACAAAAATAAATAAATAAAATAAAGAGTAAAGGACAAAAAAACCCTTCAAGATACACTTTGCAAAACCTTACCACACAAGGGACTCGTCTATTAAAAATCAGAACCGAATATTTAAACAACAGTTTATAAATATTTTTTTCAATATGTAAAAGAAAACCAGAAGGCAAGAAGATTTCATATATGTTCCTCACCATAATTTTGTGTTTTACAAGGTATAGTTATGGCTACTACGTTTACAAAGAGTTCCAAGAGCATGCCATTTTACCACATCGTATTTTACCAAACATAATGTACACCATTCTTACTGCCAATATTGGCAGCAAATATTGTAATAATCCACTCTGAACTATCTGCTTCCCCCCCCCCCCCAATGTACTTTCAAGTACTCTCAACAATTCTCATATGTATGTATGTAATTAGCTATACCCATTTTTAAACAGGTTTCCCCAGGAAGCACAAAATCATACCTACCATGTGGTGAATACACCCTCAGGTTAATGGGAATGGGAGAGATGCCTTTGTTTGTTCCTGTGACCCTGTCTGTTTCCGATTCAATCTCCTGCCGGACTTCATCAAAATCTGTAAACTTCTTGGATTTACAATGTAAAAATTCTGCATATTCTGAAAAAAAAACAAAAAAACAGAAGCCTCTAATAAGCCTTTCTTTGGGGAGAGGGGGAACATCCCCAAGAGCTTTCTACTATCAACACTTGCCTTACCATGCTCTCTTGATTTTAGGGTTTAGAATCATAGACTTGGAAGAGACCTCATGGACCATCCAGTCCAACCCCCTGCCAAAAAGCAGGAAAATCATTCAAAGCAAGTTGCCCATTTCATTTTTGAGACCAAAAAGTTCTGGGAAGATGAGCTTTATTTATTTATTTATTTATGTCCTGCTTCATCTCTTCATACAGAGACTCAAAGCAACTCACAATCAAAACATTGTAACCTAAAATATACAAATATCTATATAAATAAAAATGTAATGTTAGTTTGTGGGATTAATGTAACTCAAAAACCACTGGATGAATTGACACCAAATTTGGACACAATACACCTATCAGGCCAACAAGTGACCATCACTCATAGAATCACTGAAAAACACAGCAGAAGAGACTTAAAAACCCAAAAAATACATTACAACGCATGCTCAAAACCACATATACGAGGGGTATTTTTTAAGTAAGGTCCGTTTGAACATAAGTACACAACGAAAGTTTATTTCAAAAAAGTAAATTTATTTTCAGTGGTTCTCATCTTTTTAATGCTGCAATCCCTTAATGCAGTTCCTCATGTTGTGGTGACCCCCAACCATAAAATTATTTTTGTTGCTACTTCACAACTGTAATTTTGCTACTGTTATGAATCGTAATGTAAATATCTGATATGCGGGATGTATTTACACGCACTGGACCAAATTTGGCACAAATACTCAACACACCCAAATGTGAATACTGGTGGGGTTGGGGGGGGATTGATCTTGTCATTTGGGAGTTGTAGTTGCTGGGATTTATAGTTCACCTACAATCAAAGAGCATTTTGAACTCCACCAACGATGGAATTGAACCAAACTTGGCACACAGAATTCCCATGAACAACAGAAAATACTGGAAGGGTTTGGTAGGCATTGACTTTGAGTTTTGGAGTTGGAGTTCACCTAAATCCAGAGAGCACTGTGGTTTCAAACCATGATGGCTCTGGACCAAACTTGGCATGAATACTCAATATGTTCAAATTTGAACACTGGCGTAGTTAGGGGAAAATAGACCTTAACGTTTGGGAGTTGTAGTTCCTGGGATTTATAGTTTACCTATAGTTAAAAAGCATTCACCAATGATGGAATTGAACCAATCTTGGCACACAGAACTCCTATGACCAACAGAAAATACTGGAAGGGTTTGGTGCGCATTGATCTTGAGTTTTGGAATGTTAGTTCACCTACATCCAGAAAGCAGGTGGGGGGCTTTTGATGGGAGGATTCGCTGTCTGTTTCCAAAAAGGAAAAGAAGGACAGGCGAAGAGATCTTCAGCCTTCTCTACCAAAGGAGATCCTAAGATCATCAGAAATATGTGTTTTCTGAAGGTCTTTGGTGACCCCTCTGAAACCTCCCTTGTGATCTCCCCAGGGGTCCCGACCCCAGGTTGGAAAAGCACTGTCTTAGAGAGACTTCTTTCAAGCATTACGAAAGTAAACACTCATTTAACTGTATTATTTCCAGCTTCTTCTCCTTGGATCTCTTTGAGAGCATCCCAATCCCTGCATATTTCCAATTTCCTATTCCTGGACTGCAACTCCCAGCAATCTTCCAGATAGATAGATGAGATAGAGATTAATAGTTAGGTAGACAGATCTACCTAACTATTAGGAGGACTGCTGGGACTTAAAGTCCATTAATAAGTAGAGAAGGAAGAAAGGGAGAAAAGAGGAAGGGAAAGAAAGGGGGGGAGGAAGGGAAGAGGAAGAGAAGGAAGGAAGGCGAGAAGGAAAAAGAAAAGGAAGGGAGGAAGGGAGGAAGGGAGGAAGGGAGGAAGGGAGGGAGGGAGGGAGGAGGGGGAGGGAAGGGGAGGAGAGGAAGGGAAGGGAGGAAGGGAGGAAGGGAGGGAGGGAGGGAGGAAGGAAGGAAGGAAGGAAGGAAGGAAGGAAGGAAGGAAGGGGAGAAAGAAAGAAGGAGAGAAAGGAGGAGGGAAGGTTGGCCACTACAATGCGTGGCAGGTACAGCTAGTTTAATATAATATCCTACAAATCTGAATCAAATATTTGCACCGAAAAACAAAAAAAACTATCCCACCTTATACAAAGCAACAATCAAAATAAAAGAAACACATTTCCCTATCTAATTATTCATTTGATAGGCAACAAAGTGCTAATTTGCAAACATCATGAAACCACATGGAACATAACAGAAAAAAATAACTCAGAGCAAGGAGAAATTCTACCATTTTTGATTGAGCCGTTACTTTTTAGAGTGTAGCTCTCAGAGCCTTTCCAGCCAAAGGTGCCACTGGTCATGCTGTCTAGGGGATCTGGGGACTTCTAGGTCGAAGGTGTAACTTTTGAAAGCTCTGATTCCAGGGAAGGCCTGCACAACTGGTGGTCTTCCAGGTATTTGGGACTTCAACTCCCCGAAGCCCTAGCCAGCTTGTCCAATTCTGGGAACTAAAGCCCAAAACACCTGGACGGTCACCGGGTTTCTAGGAGAATCTCTGTTCAAGCAGAAATTCTGTATGATCACAATGCTGCCTAAACAAAAGATCTGGAACACTTCTTTAAAACACAATGAGACAATTCCATACCTGTTTTAGAGAAGATAAGCTGAAGGATAAGTGGTCGCCTTGTGACAATTCCAGAGCCACGGGGGAGGAAATCTCTGTAAAATATTTTTACAAGATAGTATTAATTTACTGACTTAATTAATGATTGCAAAATATCACAATTAAGAGGTTTTACAAATAAAATGTTTTAAGCAAACTTTCCACAGAATCTTAAGTCCACAGTGTATAAATAATAATTTTTTTGTAAGAGCACAGTAATGAAAACAAGAGGAAAATCATTGTGTAGAAAAATGCACCATTTTAGCATGCACTGAAATGATAATAATAATTAATACAATTCATCATTTTCAGTTTTCACTTTTAATGATAGCCCTTTCCATTAAAATAGTTAATATTAGTAAGAGTTGATGAGACTGATTCTCCCTTAACTATTCATAAAAGTAAACTGAGCCTTTACAAACATATATATGGAGCTAGATAGAGTAAAGAAGTCCTTGAAATATCCATGACACATAGTTAGTTACCACTTAGAGGCCTCTAACAGCAATTGACTTCCTGATCATTTTACCAACTACAACCTATAATCTGTACTCCCTCTTTATTTTCTCAAATGTTCAAATATTGCATTTGGTACTTTCATAGAGTTGGAAGCAATTATAGAGGTCACTGACTCCAATTCTGCACCATACATTAATACACAATTAAAGTACTGCTAAAAGATGCCCAACTCCACTTAATTACCCCCAAAGAGTCCCACTATCCCAAAGGCAACATATTCCATTTCCTAGGATCTACGCAGCCTTATTCAGAAGCACTACTTTCAAGGCTTCAAAGATCATAGCCTTTCTAGTAATAAGAATAAGAATAATAAAACTGTTTTTGAAAAAAATTATGCATGACCTTTTGGGAAATGGAAATCTCCATAACCTTTCGAAAAATGGCATTCATAACCATTTGGGAAAATCACAAATCTCCCTGATAAGAGTTAAAAACTCGCTTGAGTCAACCTTCTCCTTAGTGGTAAATATCCACTAGCATTTATGCAAGGTAATTGGATCTCTCAGCTGTTAAAACTGATATACCTAGATATTTCTTTGAACTGTTAGGGACAAAGATATGACAATGCACAGAACATGGAGAGTGAGAGAGTGAGCAGAGTTTCAGAAGTGTTTCTTTCAGTTGCCCTCAAAAAATCTACTCTCCCTTAAAACATCTTGGTTGAAGTCATGCTCAAGAGACAAAAATAAGTAGACTTCTTTAAAAGTAACATATCCGGTTTACTCGCAAACTTCATGTATTCATCATACAGGTACTTTGCATATCAATGCAGTTACAGATAGGATTTGAAGTATGGTAATTTCTCTGTGTAGGTAATCAACAGTCCATAATCTAAGCATCTCTCTATTCTGAGAGTCTAATAGGAGTCTATGTCTAGTCTGAAAGTCCAGTGCAGTCTCTGTTCTCTAAAGCATTCTCTTTCAACTGACTTCTAAAAGCATACTGTTTCTAAAATAGAGTCTGAGTCCTATACAGTCCCAGTCTACATTGCCTTTTACGCTTTTGAAGAGCAAACATCTCTAAATATGAGGAACTCTTCTTTCTGTGTTATAATTAGGGGAGGGTGGAAGGAAGAGTAATTTAGATTAGGAAAAAAAAGAATTGATTTTCTGATTGTTCAATGAACACAAACTTTGTTTCTTACAGAAAAAGTATCTGTATAACATTAACGACAGGCTATTATTATAGACAGGACTCCCTGGTGGCACAGCAGGTTAAACCACTGAGCTGCTGAACTTGCTGACCGAAAGTTCAGCGGGTGGGGTGAGCTCCCACTGTTAAACCCAGCTTCTGCCAACCTAGCAGTTTGAAAACATGCAAATGTGAATAGATCAATAGGTACCGCTTCTGCAGG